AAGTATCTAGCTTAACTGCCCCTAAATCATCCTGATCGAATTAAATTACCAAATTATTGTATTATTGTGTTCTTTTCTTGATTTTCTTATTTAGGCAACATCAAATTACCATTAATATATACTCCCTCCGTCCCAATACAATAGTCTTGTTTATCATTTTTGTTCGTTCCAAAACAATAGTCTCATTTCCATAAATAATCATATTATCATAAAACTATCCCTATATTTTCATTATTATACACAATTGTCACTACTTTTTACACTAATATACTCATGGGGGGGGGGCAAAAAAAAAGTCATTTATCTTACTTTTTACCAACTACCAATATAATTTCAATATTTCTTAAATCACGTGCCCAACACAATAAAATAAGGATACTATTTTCTAATATAATAATTATACTACCACTTAACATAATAAATACCTTTAAAACTTTCAATATATTACAAAAATGTTATTACTTTTATATTATATAATACTAATAAGGATATTTTTATCTTTTTTCACTAAAATCCAATATAATACTGATATTAGAAAATTTAAGTGCAAAAGACAAATATTATTATTTTAATCGAGACGAAGATAGTATTATTTTTTAATAAAAATAAAATAAAAAGAAAATAGATGCATAATATTCCCTCCATCTCATCTTAATTGATATCTTTTATATTTTTGTCTATCACATAACAATTGATATTTTCTATTTGGGTAAAATTCATTAAATCAAAATATATTTAACAAAATAAATCAACTTAATTAACTACATATCATATAACATCATACATCACGCAGAATTCATTAAAAACTCTTTTATTTTTATCTCTCTTCTAAAAAATAAATATTTTTATAGACGTTTAAAACTTCGTATCTTTTACAAAATTAGTTTATAGTATTAATTATAAATAAATAAACATTTATTTATTTATTTATTTACTTGTATTGCACAAAATTTTGGGTGTGATTGTTTAGTAAAATGGTTTGGAGATATATTTTGTTACGTGAGACATAGAAAATTGTTCAAATAATATAAATATAATAAGTGTATATAATATATTATTTTTTTTAGGAAATATAATTTTGGAGAAATGTGTTTTTTTACAAAACGGATACACCGTTTATTTTATACTAAAGGTTATTCATATTACATATATTTTTTATTGCGATAAAATTTTAAAAATATCCAAATATATATTTTAATTTTTTAATCATGTATATAAAATTTATTTTAAAACTATCAATATTATTAATTATATAAAAATAATAATATTAAAAATTTAAATAATATTATAACTTACTATTATTGACTAATTAAACACGGTTATCTTAAATACATTATAACTAATGAAAGATATTAATTTATCAAGAAGGACGACGGAAATTATATACATGTGATATAAAAATAAAAGAAAAAAGAATCATTTAAAAATAAATAATAATAATAAATAATAATTATTAGGCAAAGTTGCTCATAACTCTATCGTGGTTTCGAAATTTAGCAAAAAGTTTCCTTTTATTTTAAAAATTGTGGCACTCCCTTATACTTTAAAATGTTGAATAAAACTCGTTGTGGATTCGAAACTCAGTGTAAATACTCATATTACTTTAAAAATTGCATGACGCACCTTTATACATTAAAAAATATTGCATGAAACCCACGTCATGCATATAATATAGATATGAAATTATATTCTCATCACATCAAGCAGGTTTCATGGTTGTGGGGTTTTATGCAACGTTTGCAATTTTTAAAGTACATGAAAGTTTTACGCTGAATTTCGAAACTACATGGGAGTTATGGGCATGGACGGAACTACACAAGGGCTTGAGGGGGCAATTGACCCCAAGTCCAATTTTTTGTGATTTTTTTAGTGTTAAAAATATTAATTTTTATGTATTTATATACAATTTGACCTTCCAAAATTATCTAAATTCATATATAATTCTTTCATTATTTTTTAATTTATATATTTTTATTAGTTAAATATTAAATAAATTACAACATTTTCTCCCTGAAATTTAGACGTTAGTTTCGTCACTGATTATAAGCAATTTTCGTATTAATAATAATAATAATAGTCCCGTAAGGGATGACCTGATGGTGTAGGGGTTGGACTTGTGACCGTGAGTTTATAGTTCAAACCCCGATGCCTCAGGTCACCTTGCATAGGTTCGACAGGAGATTTATCTAATGCACACTTTCGAATAGCGGCTGTGAGTTCCCAAGTTATAAATAAATAATGATAATAATAATAATAGAGATGAAATGGATGGGGCCGGTTGAGACAAACATGATTGCATTGCATTGTAGGTTTGCCAAATTGCATAAAGAGGGCTTCCCATCAATCTATTTCAACTCTATATAAATATATATTTTATTTATATATTCTTTTAATTTTTTTTTTTCTGGATGAAGTGCAAATCCGCGTGTGTACTGTTCGAACCCGACAGAAAAGTCATATAACAGGTGACATGAGGCGTCGGGGTTTGAACCCATGACCCACGACCACACCTCTAACTTCTACACCACCAGACCATCCTTACGAATACCACCAGACCATCCTTTACGAATTGCACGTTTGCCAAATTGCATAAAGAGGACTTCCCATTAATTTTTTATACTATATATATTTTTAATTTTATCATTTAAAATTCAAATTTAACTATTAAACGAATTAGATAGGAGTATTAGTAAAATATAGTTAAGTTTTAAATTGAATAATTAATTGTTAATTATTACTTATAAAAGAAAAATAGACCAATTTGATAGGACAATAAAAAAAAAAGGAAAAAATGTATTAAATATTATTTAAATAAAATATACAAATTTTCAAATCTGATCTAATTATCAAAGAAACAGACCTGAATTTATTTTCATTTTGCTTTGTATAATAATGGGTTTGTTCCCATAATGTTTTGAATGGGACGATTCTAATATATAGATATTAATATATATATATATTTTGTTTCCATATATAAGTTTATATTTATTTATTTATTTATTTATTTATTTTTTTAAATTATACATTTAATTTCACATTTTAAATTTTATAATTTATAATTTATTATTTTTATTAAATTAATTAATTATCTTAATTAAAATATATAATTATTTATATTATATTATAATTAATTTTAGTAATATATTTTTAAATATTTATTAATTCTATCGATTCTAAATTTTTATATCTATGATAATTAGGATATAATATGTGAGACAAGAGAGTACATATAGGGTGTGTTTGTTTGGGGGTTTGAATTTTGAGTTGGGATTTGAATAGTAAAAATTTTGAATTTGAATAGTTTGTGATATAAATAGGTGATGATGTGATGTTTTGAATGTAAAATTGATTTTTAGTATAATATAAAAAATAAAAAATAGGTGTTTGATTTGATTTTTTGGGGAGAAAATTTTGGATGAATAGTGGAATTTAATCCAAATCCATCAAACGAACACACCCATAATATACATGTTTTATTTTTCAACTTACTGTTTTATAAAGTGTATATTTGTGTGTATATATATATATATAATTAATTATTTTTAAATTAAAAAATATTACAATTATAGATGAAAATAGACCAGACCTCCTGTCAGGGCCTATCGTCTAGTCTACATAAACTTTGTCTAGTCTAATATACTCCCTCCGTTCCACATACCACGTCCATATTGCCGTTTCTGTCCGTCCCACATATCATGTCACTATCCTTTTTTGAAAAATAATTACACACTTTAATCTCATTTTAAACTTTTTAATTTTATTTTTTTAAAATTTTAATCAAACTAATTAGTTATCTTAATCTTAATTTATAATTATTTATATTATCGGATAATTATTTTCACTAATACATTTTTAATTATCTAATAATTACACCCCTCCTAAAATACCGTGTCTACGGTGTAGCAGCAGACATGGTATGTGAGAAGGAGGGAGCATTTATTAAAAAAGTCAAGTAAAAAAAAATTTTAAAGCTTTTTTATTTATATAGATGAGACTTAAGTTTTAATTTTTTTTTTAATTAAAAAAAAAAACTTATTTATTATTATTATTTTTTAATAATTTTTTTCATTATTATATATTAAAAATAACTTAATATCTAATAATAATAATATTAAATAATTTTAATTATAAATTTATTATAGAAAATAAAATGTTTAACTTTTTAAATGTATATTTAATAATTATATTTAGTTCTAAATTTGCCAAAATAAATAAATAAATATAATTATTATATAGACTTTTAAACAGATTTCTAGTCAGATCAGACTTTTAAAAAATAACATGCTCAGGTTTTTAAAATATTTTTTCTTTTAGCTTAAAGGTTGGACTCAGACCAAATATTTTTAAATATTTTTAAAAAAATCAGACTTATTTATCGAAACTTAACGTATTTTTACGTATCAAATATTCTTCAATATTTATTCAAATTAATTGTAGAATATTTGAAACGAAAAGAGAGTACTTTTATTTATTTATTATTATATATATATATAAATAGTTACAGTGAAAAGGTGAAAAATCAATCCATAGATATGTACAGTGCAAAATCCAATAATGTCTCTGATGCAGAATCTATGCTCTGCTCTTCTCACCACCATCTGTTCCTTTGATTGGCCCCTCCTCCACTTCCACTCGCCCCTCTCCCCACACAACAAAAATTCCTTTTTCTTAAATTAAATATAAAATTAAAATAAAGTAAAATAAAATAAATTCATTTTCCATTTCGGGTGTGTTTGTTTTTTAGAATTTGAATTTTGAGTTAAATAGTAAAAATTTCGATGTTTTGAATATAAAATTAAATTTTAATATAATACAAAAATAAAAAATATTTATTTGATTTGATATTTTTGAAAAAATAAAAGGATAAATAATATATTTGGAAGAGAATCCCAAACAAACACACCCTTCACCCTTCTTGTTTCCTTCACTCCACTGCAATTTAAATTAAAAATTTATTCTATTCTTCTCTTCTTCTTCCATCAATTTAATTTGCAAAAAGATCTCTTTCACTCAAAAGGCCTATAAAAGATTTTAATATATATATATTCTAACTGAATAATTAAAGGAACGGTTTTTATTTTGTATTTTTATTTAATTTAATTTGTTTTTGTTTTTTTGTGGGTGGTGGTGAGGATCGTGTGCTCGTACGGATAAGGTTTGGTGGTGGCCGGAATATGCCGACGCCGGTGAGCGTTGCTCGGCAATGCTTGGCGGACGCGGCGGCGGCGGTTCTAGACGACGCTGTCACCGTCGCGAAGCGGCGGGGCCATGGCCAGACGACGTCGTTGCACGCGGTCTCTGCTTTGTTGGCTTTGCCGTCTTCCGCCCTCCGTGAGGCCTGCGCACGCGCCAGGAGCAGCGCGTACTCTCCACGCCTGCAGTTCCGGGCGTTGGAGCTCTGCGTCGGCGTCGCGCTTGATAGAATTTCGGTTTCGAAGACTGGTGGTGGTGGTGGTGGAGGGGAGCAGGAGGCGCCGCCGGTGTCGAATTCACTCATGGCGGCGATTAAGAGATCGCAGGCTAACCAGAGGCGCCATCCCGAGACCTTCCATCTCTACCAGTTTAGCTCGAGCTCGCCGTCGATCTCCGCCGTGAAGGTCGAGCTGAAGCACTTCGTAATGTCGATTCTCGACGATCCGATCGTCAGCCGTGTCTTCGACGACGCCGGTTTCCGGACGCACGAGATCAAATTGGCGGTCCTCAACCCTCTCACCATGTCCAGATTCTCTTCTACCTCCTCCCGTCCGCCGCCTCTTTTCCTCTGCAACCTCCGCGATTTTGATCACAACAAACCCTATCCTAATTTCCCCTTCCCCGACGCCGGCGACGACAATTCACGACGGATTAGTGAAATTCTCCTCACTACCAACCGGAGAAAGAATCCACTCCTCATCGGCGCCTGCGCCGGTGCAGCCTACCGGAATTTCACCGATTCCCTAACCAGAGGCGACGCCGAACACCTTCCCAAAGAAATCAACGGCCTGAAAGTGGCATCCATCGAGCACAGCCTCTCCGAATTCATCAACGGAGCTATTACTGAAGATTCCATGAAATTGAAGCTCCAACAATTACTGGATGGTTCCCCTGCACCGGGAATCCTCGCTGCCTGTGGAGATCTGAAAATGTTTATAGAATCCGAATCCTCCGGCGCTGTTGGCTCCGTAGTTGCAGAGCTGAAGAAGCTGCTAACCAGACCTGGTTCAAAATTGTGGCTGATCGGGTATCTTGCAGGCGATGATGATTATACTAAGCTGGTTAAGCAGCTTCCTTGCATAGAACAGGATTTGGACTTTCATCTGCTCCCCATCACGACTTCCACTGCAGGAAAGTGTTTCAAATCAAGGTCAGATTTCCATTTCTTCATCAGTTTCTTCCTCTTGTTGTTGCTGTTATTCTGCACTGCTCTGTTATGTGCTGCATTCGGTTTTCTAGAATATCTCAGTGATGATAAAATTGGAATTAGGGATTGGGTGCCATTGCAATGCTTCTTGAAGCTGAAATACCTGAGAAACAACTTATTATCTTCATTGTTCAATTAGTTCATCACATTATTTACACTGCTCATATTCTTGTTTGTGTAAATTCTATGCTTGTTGCATTGTTCTTGCTTGTCATTTATTCGGTGGTTTCTTCATCATCTTGGGATATTTCATTTGATGGAATATTACTTGCCCGCCGAATCAGTTTATAGAAGTTGGAACTGTTTTGAACTCTCTGCAATAGTTGTTTTAGTTAATTTTGTTTTGTATCTGTGTATTATCTTCATTGTATACATTGCCCATATTCTTGGTTGCGTAAATTCTATGCTTGTTGCATTGTTCTTGCTTCCTGTTTCTTCGGTGGTTTATTTGTCAACTTGGGGATATTTCATGTAAAGGAATATTGCTGGCCCGCTGAACCAGCTTAAGTGTTGAAATTAATAGAACTTATAGAACTTGGAATGGTTTCAAACTCTCCTCAAGAGGATGATAATTCGATTTACTTGCACTTACTTTAATCAGTGTGCAATTCTGCTATAGATGTTGAGTTAATTTTGGTTGGGATAGTGTAGTGTCTTCATTGTTCAATTAGTTCATCACATGATATACATCGCTCATACTCTTGTTTGTGTAAATTCTGCCCATTGTTCTAGATTGTGGCTTCTTCGGTGGTTTATTTGTCAACTTAGGATATTATATTTGAAAGAACATTGCTGGCCCGCAGAACCGGCTTTAGTGTTGAAATTGAACCTGTGGAGCTATGTTCTGGTCTGAGTTCATAGAAGTTGGAATGGTTTCAAACGCACTGCAAGTTTATCGATTTATTTGCACTCCCTTTTAACGAGCGTGCATTTCTGCAATAGTTGTTGAGTCAATTTTCGTTTGTATCGTCTGTTAACTGCACATTTTGATTTGCAAGTCACTCAGTTGCTTTGCTTTACTCTCATACGCTTGCAGTTTGATGAAGTCGTTTGTACCATTTGGTGGATTCTTTCCTATACCTTCTGAGCTTGAAAGTCCATCTACCACTGCAATTCAATCTTCGAAACTTTGCAATTCATGCAATGAAAAATGCGAGCTCGAAGTGGATGCTGCTCTGAAGGGGCAATCTGGCGATTCGGGTACCTACAAGGGGCCGGGGGATCTGTCTTCTTGTCTTCAAATTACAGGCTGCAAAACAAGTCTCAAGACATCTAGCAGGGTAGAGGTTCGTTATTCGTTTCGGTTTTAAAAAAATAATTTATGGCGCGAACTGTTATATGTTTTTTAAACATGTCTGCTGTTATTTCAGTACAGACCAAAGAAGACAAAGCTCTACTCGACGCCCGAATCTTGGGTCTGCGGAGAAAATGGAACGATATCTGCCAGAGGCTTCATTGCACCCGGAAATCTAAGGGCGAAGTTATAAAACCCGACTCGCACACTTCTACCTTCCCTTCTTTCCGAAAATTTCCTAATTTAAATCCTTGCGTAGCTTCAGAGTTGCGGAAGAACTCTCAATCTGAGTCGGATGTTTATACATCTTCTCGGCCTGTTTTACGCGTGACCACAGATTTGAGGCTCGGAACAATCTACAATTCTGCTGTTGATTGTGGACGAAAACCCGACTGGCAAGACAGCATTCAGAATTCGGAATCATCTAGAAGCTGTGAGAAATCATCCGGTCAGGTTTCTCAATCTCCATCTTGCTCGCACAATTTTGAAAATTACGTAAAAGACCTCGAACAGCCGTGGAAAGGTTTAGCCGAGAAGGTATATTGGCAGGCAGAAGCTGTGCGAACGGTTAGCGAAACTATATCGCGCTTCAGAACTGGCAGTCGTGTTCGACAGCTCCTGAATGGTAGAAATGTCTGGCTCGCCTTTTCGGGATTAGACATTGTCGGTAAGAGAAAAATAGCTGCCTCGGTTGCAGAGATACTGTTCGGAAAGAACGAACACTTCATACGTTTAAATCTCGACGCCCGGGATATGAGCTGTGAAGTTAACTCGGTTATTGATTGTTACGATTCCCAACGGTATGGTAATGTGATGTCTGGAAGAAAAACAATCGTCGATCATCTGGCAGAAGAGCTGAGAATGCATCCTCATTCAGTCGTGCTACTCGAAAACGTCGAGAAGGCTGATTTCTTGGTCCAGCAAAGTTTATTGCAAGCCGTGAAGACGGGTAAATTCCGGGATTCTTACGGTCGGGATATCAACATCAGTAATGCTATCTTTGTTCTCGCATCGACTGTCCAAAAGCGATGCGACGATCCACATTTAACGTCGGAGTTTCCAGAAGAAAAAATACGTGAGGCCCAGAACCTGCAGATGCAAATCTCGGTCGAATCTGCGCGAGGAATCGAGAAAAGTGAAAGTTCGGGGAATGTTTTAGTGAGCTGTAAAAGGAAATATGTCGAAAATGATTCGACCAGCTCGAAACGAGCGCGCGGGTTTCCAAGATCCGTCATCGACTTAAACTTGCCGGTAGTCGAGGAGAACAGCACGATCGACGACGACGACGATGATAACTCGGCTGATTCTTCGGAATTAATTTGGTTGGAAGAGCTGCTGGGTCACGTAGACGAAAATGTGTTATTCAAACCATTCGATTTCGACGCGCTCTACAGTCGTATACTGAAGGATATCGACACTTTGGTAAGGAAAGCCGTCGGAGTTGCAAATGTATTAGAGATTCACGAGGACGTAATGGCGCAAATGCTTGCGGCGGGTTGGGTAGCCAGCGACGAGAGTGCGTTGCGGGATTGGATCGAACACGTTCTATGTCGAGCTATTCGAGAAATCGGGCGGAAGCGCAGTGACACTGGCGGCGGCGATTCGATCGTGAAACTAATGCCGTGCGACGGGGCTGTTATCGACGTCGACTCCCGGGCCCCCGGGAGTTGCCTTCCGGCGAGGATAAATTTGATCTGAGGCTATTATTCAGGTATGTTTGTATGTATGTATTATGTATGTATGTACGTACGTTTATTAGAGTTACAGGTACTGGATCTACTGCTATTGATACATTACATAAATATATATATATGTCTCTTTTGGGAGTAAAGAAGCCATTAGTGTTTTGTGCTTGCTGCTATTTATTTGGGTCTGTAGTATAGTTTAGTGCAAGGTGGACGCAGATCGATGCTTGATATCTGAACTAAATAATTACACAAAATCGTAAATTGTATTCGAACTTAAAATTTTGGTTAACCGAAAATATTTGTAATATTTGCAAATAATTCGAACCGAACTAAAATTAAAAAATAATTAAAATTTTAATTAAATCAAAATATTTGCAAATATTTCAAATATTTGAACAGTAGTCGAACTGAAACTGAATCGAATATAATTATTAATATAAAATTTAAAATATAATAGTATAACTATATAAATATATTTAGTTCGGGTAACCGCACTAAAAAAAAATATAAAAAATCAAAATCGAATCGAACCTAACAAATATCAAAGATTCAGTATTTGTATTCGAACCAAATTTGCTTGGTTAATTGAAAATTCGGTTCGGTTCGGTTCAACGATTCGGTTCGATTTTTTTGTCCACCCTTAGTTTAGTGTAGTCTGTATGTTAGACGTGCTTAGTGTAACAACAACAACAACAACAACAACAATAATAATAATAATAATAATAATAATACTCCCTCCATCTACTTTTCGCACGTAGATTTTTTAATATTAGTTTTATAATGAGTTATAGCGAAAAATACAAAAATATTCCTATTAGTATTGTATAATATAGAAGTAACTACAATTCATGTAATATAATGTAAGTTGGAAGGGTATTTATTATGTTAGGTAGGTAATATAATTACAAAATGGTAATCTTAATTTGAGACGGATAAAAATGAAAAATGGTAACCTTTAAATTGCAAGTAGGGAGTAATAAAATTTAAAATGAATAGAGCTTAGAGGTGTTGGAGTTATTTTTAAAGTGTTAGATTTAATGAGTATATTTGTTTTGTATTTTTAATTTAAAGTATTTTTTATATTAGATATAAAAAAATATATCAATAATATAAAAAAACATTATATTTTTTTCATAATATTAATTGAGAAATTTATCCAAAAATTTTGTTGGATAAACACTCATTATTTTTTACAATTCTAAATTTATTAATTTCTTTTAAGAATAGTACAGATATATTGTAAAGAATACAAATAGATGAGATATAATCCGGAACAAAATAGTATAGAGTTTTAGAAATAGGGTAATTTAATTGTTTTTTTTTCTTTTTCAAAATATTATTTTTTCTCATTTAAATTTATAGTCTTTTTTTTTTTTTTTGTCATTCAAAAATTTTATAGTTTTTTTTAGTAAAAATATAATTTTTTAATTTTTACTACTATAAAAAAAAAAAAGTTTATTTTTAATTTAAATAGTTGTTTAATGTGATATTTTTAATATAAAATTAATTTTAAATACAATATAAAAAATATTTAAAAAATAAATACTATTTAATTTGATATTTTTAGGAAGAAAAAAATTTTATAAATAATAATAAAAAACAAATCAAAACACCCAAACAAAACTCTAAAAAGTATACTAATATTCAAATTAACAAAAACATACTCTCAAAATCAAACAACTTTATCGAATAGAAATATGCATGTACAATAAAAATATGTAATCTAAAAAACATTTCATTCGAATTTGATTTCTCATCGCTTATTGTCTAATAATAATAATATAAAAAAAAAAGTACATCGAAAGAAAATTTGAGATTCTCTCATTCAACTTCTGACTCTTGATTTTATATGGTTATCTCGATTATATACGATTGATTTTCCTTTTCATGGTTGCTGTCCTCGTCCTCATCTCCTAAGCTCAGTTTTGTCGAATCTTCTTCTTGATCTTGCTGACTTTGATTGCTATCCTCGTCTTGATCTTGTTGACTTTCGTTGCTATCCTCATCTTTGTCGATATTGCGAGTGCACCACCGTGACACTACACAAGCCACTAGGGATACAACAAAAACGATCGCCAAGATGATGAATGCGAGCGTGTATGAGCCATTGGAGATGGAATGCATGTTTTTTTTTTTTTCACTATGAGGAATTATGAATATTAGAATACAAATTTGAAATTTTTTTATTTATTTATAGTGATCAGCAAATCGTCTAAATAAATAAAAAGTTCTATAAAATTTTTAAATAAGGCAAGTATCAAAAATAATATATATATATTTCCAAATATATCTTTAACAATGGAAAAAATATCTTTACTTTTTAGAGTTCTTTGTTGTTTGTGTACATGTAAAAATTTAGTTGTGTTTATATATATATATATATATCTATTATTGAAGCCTTGGCAAAATAAGAAATATCCAATATTTGAAATTTTATTTTTGGAATTACAAAACATCAATATATTTACCATCATGTATTAGTCGACAACTTTCTATATATAATGGACTTAGTAACATTCTAGGTATAGTTAATATTTATGGAAAGTGTCAAAAAAGAAGATGTCCCTCGTTTGTTTGGGGGATTTTTATGGACTTTTATTCCTCATCAATTTTTTTTTTTTTTTTTCAAAAAATATCAAATCCAAGTACATATTTTTTATTTTTTATATTATATTAAAAAATAATTTTATATTCAAATTATCACATCAATGTCTATTTATATCACATCGTATCACTAATCCAATTCAAAAATTTTAATATTCAAATCTCAAATCTCAATTTAAAATTCAAACCCAAACAAACAATATTTACCAATATAATTTCTTCTCTGGAAAATTATATTATACATTTTTTTTTCCATTTAATATATTATATACAAAAAACATATATATTAAAAATTCATCAAATAATTATTTATATTACATTAAATAATTACTTCTTCCGTCAAGCTATAGAGGATTGCTTTGCCCACGTACGACATTCATTTCTATAGTTTTGGTAAATTTGACTTTAATGAAATTTCAAATAAACAATTTTTTTATCTATATTTAAAACTCATCATTTTTTTTTATAAATATATTTATTTATTGTATCATATAAGATTTTATTTTCTACATAATAATTTTGATATTATATATTTTATTGAGATATTGTGTTTAAAATATTTAAATGCCTATTTTAATTTTTTAAAATATTGGAGTTACAGTTGGAATAAAATTACTGTAACAACTGTATATTCGGAGTTAAAACTGGATAAATAGAGATGATGGGTTGGAGATGGCCTAAGAGCATTTCCACACCATTTTTGCCATTATGCTGCTCCAACCATACGCCATTTTATACACCAAATATAGAGTCTGCTACAGTGCACTGTAGCAAACGCCATTTCTTTTTATTTTTTATTTTTTTATTTTTTATTTATTTTTTATTTTTTAAAATTATAAATTTAATTTTTAAATTTAATTTTTATTTTTAATTTTTTTTTAAAAATTTTATTTTAAATTATAAAAATAAAAAATTATTTAAAATAATAAAAAATTGAATATTTGAAGAATAATAGTGAAAAATAAAGTTATAATTGAAATAAAATTCCTGTAACAATATTTAAAATGAAAAACTTCTCGGCTGCGGGATCGTCATAAAAATAAAAAATAAAAAAAAATGAGAAACTTCTATTTTTATTTTCTCTGTTTATCCAATTTGTCTTGACATCAGGACACGTGTCAAAACAAACTACCATTCCAGAGTATCAAAATATCTAAAGCTCTCGTTTCCGTTTGTGCCGATTCTTTTTTTGTTATTAAATGCGCCAAATCCTTCAACCCTTCCTTCCCTCCATATCTGCTCTCACGCCATGAGCGGTTTGGTCGTTGCCTTCCGCTCATGCTCATGCTCACCCTCAGCTCCGAGGTCTCCGCTTGTTTCTTCTCCGCGGATTTCTCAGGCTCGCCTTCTCCTGGAGCTATGGCCGTCGCGGAGGGCCAACTTCAACCGGAATTGCTTAGTTTGGAGGATTAGTAGCCGGAGAGCTCGGGCGGATGTTGATTCGGAAGTGGCGGAGTTGCCGCAGAAGTCTGTGCGGTTTGAAGAAGTCTATTTGACGGATGACGATGGCGGAGGAGAAGACGCCGCTGCGATCCCGTGGTGGGAGCAGTTTCCGAAGCGTTGGGTGATTGTTCTTCTGTGCTTTTCGGCTTTCCTGCTATGCAATATGGACAGAGTAAGCTATGCATTTTTTAGTGTTTTTTTTTTTTTTTTTTTTTAACAGCGATTTTTTGAGTATGCTTTTGGATCTGTCCTTCGTTTGTGTTGGCAATGAGATGAGTAGCTACATGAATAGAATATAGCTGTTTGATTTGGATCAAGACTGTTGGAAATGTCAGAATATAAATTTAGCATTTCAAAATTTTGTGTTAGTTTGTATTGGTTTTTGAACATCAATTTTAGTTTAGATTAGTTTCTCTAAGTTTGCGACGGCTTAGACAGTGTTGTGAACCCCAAATTTGGAGTTGTAGAGTTCAATTTATCCGAATATGGAGCAGAAATAGAGAGAATTGGTGGGTAAATGGTGCAAAAGCTGATTTTTTTATCTAAATAACAGTCAAACGGAATCAACCATTTGTCTAAAAGCCTCAGACTACTTCATTTCCAAAATTAAGAATATAACCTCAAAATGTAGGTACTCATTTAATAGTATTGCTAAACTACTAAACCCTGCTCACTATAATTAAAACAAGTCCATGCAATAAGCAAGAGACAAACCTAACCTAAAATAAATAAAAAATCCATTTATAAAAGCCAAAGAAATAATAAATACCGATAAATAAAAGCCCAAACCTGCAAAAGCAAGCCTAAGCCAGTCCTCGCCTGTTGTATACCAGCAGAAATTTTCCCCCTCCCTATTAATGTATTGAACTATTCTCAGTTGAGAACAATATATTCATTGTGTGTGGTAGATATAATTTTATGCTAAAAATAGTTGTAGAATGTAAGTTATTTGTAAGTCAATCATAGTGAGTTTCATCTTAGCGTTGCTCACCTTCCTTCAAACAAAATTTGTATTCGTAGCTTGTTCATTGTTCCTCCTCCCCTTTCCACCGGTTTCATGATCTATTCTATGTAGGATGATGGTGGCGAATCTGAACTATCACTTCCCATTTTTAGCATATTTTCTAATAAACTCTCATTTTCTTTTTCTTGTGGTTGTGTAATGATGCATATATCACTGTTTATTGATCACATATTGCAAAATTTGAGTTTCAAAATTCAAGCAGATATTATCCTGCAGGTAAACATGAGCATTGCAATTCTACCAATGTCATCAGAGTTCCACTGGTCACCAACAACTGTGGGTTTAATTCAATCTTCATTTTTCTGGGGTTATCTTCTTACTCAGGTAATAAAGATGACCTTATTTATTTTACAATCAATAAATAAGTTTGTACATATATCATGTGTTAACAGCTTTAGTATTCGAATATGGGTTGGAATCTCAATTTGTGAGAAATTTCATCATAAGTTTCACTCCTTGACATTGATCTTACTTGGATTATCTATTTGACGAAAAACTATTAATTTTTCTTATTTTCCTCTAGTTTTGTCACTGTGTCAATGCAACTGCTATTCTACTTATTTTATCTTCTCCAGCAGACTTGCCAGTTGATACGGTATAATTGTTTTACATTGTGAAGCTCAGGTTGCAGGAGGTATATGGGCAGACACAGTTGGTGGCAAGTTTGTTCTGGGATTTGGTGTTGTTTGGTGGTCGATTGCAACAGTACTCACTCCTATTGCTGCAAAAGTTGGCTTGCCTTTTTTACTTGTGGTTCGAGCTTTCATGGGTGTTGGTGAGGTTAGTCACATTCTTGATTAATAATTTTCCTCTGTTCTCTTGTTCTGTTGGAATACATCAGTGAAGAGTATGATACCTTTGCTTTTATATTCATGATAGTATCCTGTGGTTATCATAGGATATATTATCATTCTCGACATCATTTTCTAGGCTTTCTCTGGGTTTACATTGGTTACTCTTTCACAGGGAGTGGCAATGCCTGCAATGAATAATATACTGTCGAAATGGGTTCCTGTATCAGAGAGAAGTAGATCACTGGCACTGGTATACAGTGGGATGTACCTTGGATCTGTAACCGGTCTGGCATTTTCACCTATGCTGATCCATAAATTTGGGTGGCCTTCTGTTTTTTATTCATTTGGTTCATTGGGCACGGTTTGGATCATGACGTGGATCAACAAGGTGATTTACCAACTGGAAGCCTTGACATGTTTTCATCAGACCACATTTTTGTCTTCTCTCTAGCTTTTGAATAACAAGTAATGTTGAAATAAAATGCATGATGCAGGCACAAAGTTCTCCCCTTGAGGATCCTCAGCTATTGCCTAGCGAAAAGAAGCTGATTCTTCATAGCTGCTCGTCAAAAGAACCTGTTAAATCAATACCGTGGAGATTAATATTGTCAAAACCACCAGTGTGGGCTCTGATAATTTCTCATTTCTGCCACAACTGGGGGACATTTATCCTTCTTACTTGGATGCCAACATATTACCACCAGGTACATAGATTAATCTTGGTTTTGCATGTCTGTATCAGCTGGTCCTTCTAGTATTGCTGAAATTCTTTATCTATGACCATGGGACTTGCTAGAAGATAATACAGTATTATTCTCCACTTTCCATAAAGAAATTACATGTACAAGAATATCATGGAGAACAGGAGTTCTGTTTCTTCCGTATGATGTCACTTGTAAGAGCAAGTTTGCATTTGCTCACTGTAACTCATGACATCTTCCACTACAAAAGTATTTCCACCTCAAAAAATTATCAACCACATGATGATACTCCTAATACATAATCGGATCCAACTCCTCTGCTAGCAAATAGGGTCTTAGTGTTCCTGTTAAGATTAAACTTTGAAGACCAATATAGGAGATTCTGTTCTTCACCCTTTGCCTGTGGTGTACGTGGTGGGCTATGATTGTTTTTCAAAATGCAATCAACAGTGCTTCTAATATGTGGTGTGCACATGTGTTACTTTAAGAAACTGATACTGATTTTTTATGTAATTGGAAACTATGTAGGTGTTGAAGTTCAATCTTACGGAATCAGGACTTTTTTCTGTCTTCCCATGGCTTACTATGGCCTTTTCTGCCAATTTGGGTGGCTGGATTGCTGATACCCTTGTGAGTAAAGGCGTACCTGTGACCACAGTTAGAAAGGTATATATTCTTCTAAATATTACATATGCAATGTAAAGCTGCCCAATGAATGCTGTTGCTGTGCTTCTGGCAAGAAATCTTTTGGGAAAAAAAAAAATATTCGAAACTTTCTTTTGTAGAACACGATTCAAAGACAGAGAACACTTGGGACTCACAAAAATAAATGAATGTTTGCATATAGAGTAGAGAAACCAGCAACCATATACGTGTTCAATCACATACCCCTGCGACCAAAGTTATCCGAACATCTATAATTACAGAAGTAGATTCCATGACAGGATTTAATGCATTATATTGTATTTTCTTATCACATTGAACTGAAAGCAGGGGAATACTTAACTTTAGTTTCTTATCACACTGTCTTGTACTTGCAATCTTCAATTATAGTACTTCTGCAAGTAGCAATATGCAATGATCTAGATTCTTCATTACATTTTATTAAAATCATCTACTTCAGTCCAAGAGCTATTGGATGCTGAATGATATTATTGTAGTTAATTCAGCATATTGTATTTCCAATTTTCCGTCTCTCTCAAATTCTCAATGTGATTAGTTTATTTTGTATACTTTCAGCTAATGCAAACGGTAGGATTTTTGGGCCCTGCTTTCTTCTTAACTCAGTTGAGCCATATCAATTCTCCCACCATGGCAGTTTTGTGCATGGCATGCAGTCAGGTATGCATCTTCGTTTGCTAAAACTATCAGAAAAGAAAGAAAATTATAGGCGTGGTTACTTTTATTTTGGTGATATGTGTTGTTTTAAATTATGAAAATTTTACGATGAAAATGGGTGTTGGATAGATGCTTTGAATGAGAATAACTGTTGGATATGATTGGAGAGAAAATAAAAACACACTGTAGAAACAGTGTGATATTGGAAATGAAAACACATATACCTATATCTTGTGAATAAACAATTTACATGAGAATTTTGTTAGAATAAAGAGGAATTGGGTCATAAAAATAAAAATAAATAAATAAGAAAAACAAAAGAAAGAAAGGTGTACTCATTTAATAGTTTCATATTGCTTTTAATTTTTTATCATTCTTGTGCAGGGAACTGATGCCTTTTCACAGTCAGGATTATATTCAAATCATCAAGATATTGCTCCTCGATATTCTGTAAGAATTTTGTCTATGAATTTACTTAATCTTGACCTAACTATTCCCATTCAACCTAATTCAGCACTTAGTCTCGTGTCTACTTTTCAGGACATGTTTAATTTTTAACTATATAATTTTTTGATTATTTTGAATGATTAAACAGTAGCATTATAAAATAATTTAATGTTTACTTTAACAAATTGCTACATATGATTATTAATATTTAATATTAATATTAGCATAGGCTGTCCTAGTAAGGATCAAATATCTTAATTATGTTAATAGATAAAATAATATTATTCAACCTAATTAAATACACTCTTAAAAGTATAAACTATAAGAAATCCTGTTAGAGTAGAAAGCATCTAGGCTTGATTTTGAAATATTTTTTACTTATAGCTTTGCTTCCTTAATTTGAAGTTCTTTTGACATCATCTCTATTAAAATCTCAATTACCCTGAGTACATGAAAATTTTCTTGCATTTGAATGTGAGAGTCGTAATTAAGAATAAAGGTAAGTAATTTGGTAGAGAGTTCACCTTTCATATATGGAACAACCTTCTATAGTGTGAATATTTTCTACCCTTGACAGAAATCAAAGGAAAATGCCCAAAAACAGCAGAATTCAACACAAATGTTTTATTGTGTAGTAATTAATAGCAATATCATATAGACGATGAATTTGGAAAAATGAACAATTTGCATGAACGAGCATCATGCTGTCACAAAATAAGAAAAGGATGATTGCATAATCACTTAAATTGTTTGAACATTTTACTACAGGGTGTACTTCTTGGTCTATCTAACACTGCTGGAGTGTTGGCTGGTGTTTTTGGTACTGCAGCAACTGGTTATATACTACAACATGGTATGTTCCTACGGAAGACTTGAAAAACATCTGATTGATTTTTCTGCATAATATATATATATATTTAATCTTATAATATAGAAAAATTTATAACTTTGATATCGTAAAAAAATACATTATCATTTTGGTCATTTGAGTGAGAATTTTTGTTCTTTTTCGTATCTATCTCTAAAACTGTTTTTTTAAAATTTCAATCAAAAAGACCACGTACTTTTTATCTTTTTGGTTGAAATTTTTGTTCTTTAGATCTATCTTTTCGGATTTTTTACAAATATAATTGAATATTGCCCACATGTTACTTTTTATAAGGGATGTACGAATATTGTGCTTAAAATTATTATAGATAGATACAAGATAATTTTAATATAAAGTCCACTTAAAAGAGCCGAAAATTATATATATTTTTTTTATAGTAGCCCTCTCTAATTTGTTAAAAAAAGCCTTGGCCAACTCTTAAAATGTGCGCATTTAATTAGTTTATAGTTTAAATTTATTATAGTTCTTTTAAAGCTATATATGTTCAATATTCCAGGGTCTTGGGACAATGTGTTCGAAGTTTCGGTGGGTCTCTACCTGGTTGGCACCGTTGTCTTTAATCTTTTCTCGACCGGTGAGAAAATATTGGATTGAGATCGGATACAGAGACTTATTACATGTCTTTAAAAAGCCTCTCAAGATACAGAGATTCATCTCATTGATATTCACACAACTGGATAAAGTAGCTCTGGTAAATCCGTTCGCTGGAGGCTCGTTTGTTAGGTGAGCTGAATTTTTTCGAGAGACCAGTGGGCTGAGGGTCGGTGAAATCTCTGGCCGATGAACTGATTGAAAGGTGAATGCATGTCATCCAGAAGACTATTTCAGTATAGGTACACATCTTCAAGGTATATATATATATACTTTGTATATATTTCTATTCTTTTCATTGGAAATTTTTATTTCTTGAAACCTTTTGGTGGAAGACACAATTTAAGTCACAATGTAATTCTCTGTTACAATAGATAATCCCATCAAATTATTCACTTCAGTTTCTCAAAAATCTTTCATTTGTTTGGTTAGCTTATATGAGATGGAGATGATTGGGTTTCGGACCACTTCTTTTACCATTCATTGTTAAAATGTGTATATTATTTCTTCTTATAAAATATTATCTTATAATACAATTTAAATAAACATTTAAATCAAAACACAAGCTAAACAAATCCTTAGTGTTGCAACTGCATATTTGGAGTTACTGTAGCAACTGCAAACTCGATAAATGGAGTTGATGGGTGGAAAATGGCCTTAGTTTTGCAAAAACAATTTTGGGTGTGTTTGATTATCAAGTTGGTACTATGCTCTCAATTTTTTCTTTTTATTTTTAAAAAAATATTACATCATATGAGATCCATTAAAAATATTTTCAAAATTTTATATTTCTATTTCTCTAATTGATAAACAAACTTCCTGTTTATTTATAAAATTTATAATTTTTGTTTTATTAAAATCCAGTTACTAAAAATATTGCGGTGGCAACATCTAATAATTGCAGCAACCCAAATCTTATAAGTTGAATTATTTTGCAGTCTCCATTAGAAAGTCCTCGTAGATCCGAAACACTCTGCAGCATTTCTTTTTTTGTTTGTCCCAAAGTCACTGCAATAAATAATTAATTATATTTTTATTTATATATATATTAATATACACTTTCTTTTATCTCATCACACCACTTAAATAAATAAAAAAAAAACAAATAATTATTTCTCTCTCAATCACATCATTTAATCTTCAAATTACCATACTTAATACTAAAATTGTTTGTTTCTATGTTGAACTACCTGAGTTGAATTAAGTGTCAAAAATTGTATATTGTGATATAAATAAGTGTTGATACGATGTTTTGAATGTAAAATTAATTTTTAGTATAATATAAAAAATAAAAAAATAGATATTTGATTTGATGTTTTTTTAAGGAAAAAAATTTGATGAATAGTTAAAGTCGACAAAAATCCTTCAAATGAACACACCCTAAGATTCTATGCATAACTAATCTACTTCTAATGGAACCACAAGATATCCATTTTTACATCAACTCCTGGTATTGAATTAAAACGATCAATCCTTACGGTAATAATTGCGAAAACTAGTAATAGCATCATACATTCTCATGCACGCAGTCGTGCGTGCACAGCATTTATACCACAGTCGATTAATTACAACTATGATTTTCACATTGTGAAGTGAGTGTGCGTGGATACCTCAGAATCACAGTTTGCTGGGGAGTCTTCTACTGAAATAAGAATGGCGACCTTCGGCAACAATCTCCCCAGTTTGTTTGTTTCGTAATGTAACACTCGCTGCTGCGTAACTCCCAAGCCTACCTAAACGTCTTGAGATGATCTCCAACTCGTCCTGCAATCAAATACAATATCAAACATTAAAAATATTCTTATATTTGTATAATTTTTGTACAAATATCTTTCTATTAATATTACGGGACACTAATATTCAAAAATCAATACACAAAAAGTAAATGCAGAGCTAGAGCCAAAGCCAGGTAGTATATAAAAGCATTTACAAAACAGAATCTTGGTTGCTCTTAGTATCATTCCGTATGGTGCTTGACAACATCTCAAATATATATGGATAGATAAATCAATAACGCAATATTTGTGCTAATGTAATACAAATGTAACATATGAACTAATAGCACGTGACATAGACGTTCATACCGCACATCTGTAAAGTATTAATTGAAAAATTCAAATAAAAAAAAAAATTTAAAACACCCCTAAGTACATATTTTCCATTAAACCATGACATAAAAAATATTACTCCATTTGTACCATTAATAAATAATTATTACTTTCGTTGTTATCCAAATTTATTACCATTTTTTTTTCCTGTCATCTAAATTTATTCCCATTTCCTTTTTAGTAAAAAAAAATACTACATTTTCTATTTTTTTTTACTGTGAAAGAAAAAATTTTTATTTTTACTTAATTTTTCTTAAAACCTATGTCCGATTAAATAGGTATAAATTTACATGCCGGAGGAAGTATATAATAAATAATTATAGATTAATTTAATTAAGATTAAAAAAATTTAAATTATGAAATTTAAAATATAACTAAAATATATAATTACTTTTCCAAAACAAAATGATAAATTATGTAAGACCTGCAAAAATGAAAAAAATGGTGTGTTTCTTTACACAAATTTTCTCAAATTTTACTATTTGGCCTCTGCATTTTCCGAAATAAATACACTTTCTTCCCTTACAAAACATCTCATCAAATATTATTTTAATACTGTATCTAACATTTAAAACATCAGATCTAACATTTAATTTCCATACTAAGTAGGAGAAGAGATGATAATAATTACATAGAGAAGCAGCCATATAATTACAGGGGACACCAATAATAATCAGGGGAAGAACATACAGATCCAACAAGAAATTGCAGCAAATCACCCAATATATATGAACAATCAAAAACCTTTTTGTGCAGTCAACCAACACCAATACCGAATTACCAAAACCCTAGACAGAAAAACAGGTTCGCACCATAGAGGTAAACCTAAAAAACTAGCAGAGGAATCATTCATCATTCATCAGAGGACTTACATTCACCTTGGCGGGCGATAAATACGAGATCGACGTATCTACCGACAAATCCATGGGCTGGCCAGGCTCGTGGATCGCCGCGGAGCCTACTTCGTCAATTATTGAGGCAATCGCACCCGCAGCGAAGTTTCCGTCGGAGTCCTGAGCTTATTGAAGCCAAAATAAGAAGAATTGATTAATTGATTGCTATGGAAGGAGGATTAATCGATGGAAATAGGGAGGAGTAGTCTATTAGGGTTTAGATTGTTTACAGTGAGGCGCGGAGGCACTGTGAAGGAGCAGAAGATGGAATCGGAGTCAAGTCGGTCGACCTTGATGCCTTTGGTGAGGAAATATTCGTAGAAGGTGGACTCTGCGTGGGGCTTGTGGGGAGGGATGATGAGGTCAGCAACGCCATAGCCGTCGTCCGCTGCTTTCTTCTCCAGAAATTCTCTCGCCTTCTCCATTAGAGGATGATACTGTTTGTTAATCACAGCCACAACACGGCTACTTCCAACTATTGTTGATACTTGAGCTAATATTTGACTAAAAAATAAATAAATAAATGCAATAACGCCACACCAAGCCAGCTTCCATCTATTGTTGATACTTCAGCTTAAAAAAAAATCCAGACATAAAATACTTTTTTCTTCTAATAACTAGGGCTTGTTTCTTTAGCCCAGCCGTTTTTGTTTGCACAGTGAAAATAGGGATAGCAATGGTCCGAGCAGACCTGAGACTCGACTCGGATCCGACTTATTTATTTGGGATCGAGTCCAATTATACGGACATCGGGTCCGGATCCGAGTCGGGTATTGTGTACCCTTATCGGGTTCGGATCGGGTCTCGGGTCAAATGGTGGACCATATCCGGACCCGGATCCGACTCGGACCCGATTAATATATTACTAATATATTAATTATATATATATGAAAAAATTAATTTTTAATACTATAAATTATATTAAAAGTACGTTTTAAGTTTTATTTATGTATTATTTTATTATAATATTTTTGAATAAAATATATAAATTTTAATATATATCGGGTCTAGGTCCGGGTTCGGGTTTAAGTTAAATTTTAAAAATTAAAAAAACAATTTCGGGTCCATCGGGTCTTGTCGGGTATTATTCGGGTCGGGTCCGGGTATGATCGGGTCCAGTTCGGGTCTCGGGTCCAACTATGTGTATTCGGGTCGGATCTCGGGTCCGGCTGGATCCGACTCATTGCCATCCCTACCGAAAAAAAGAAACTTTTTCACAGTGGTAGTTACTTTTTTTGAAAATTGTATAGAATATGTCTTACAAGTAGAATATATAAAGAGTACACGCTAAGAAGACCTAATCTAATTTAGTAATCTAAAAATCAACGGTTCACAACTTTTAAACAAAGTAATGTCTTTGATCGGGTACGGGTCGCGATTGGTCCGCCGATATTCGGGTTCGGGTTACCCGATACCATGTCACCTAGGCTGGAAACTCACAATATTTTGGACTAATCGGGATAGCATCATGGCGTCGTTGAGGCGTCGCCAAGGCATCTCCGAGCCACCTTGTTTGATATGGCTTCCCAAAAAGCACCAGAACGCCATGGTGCCGCCATGACAACAAACACTATAAACTGTTGCATCATTCAATGGATTAAATCTGAAATAGTTCAATGGTCATCCATTCGAGGTAACTGTGGAACTTATTTGAAGCAAATGGAGGGCAATATAATCATGAGTCACGACAATTACATAATAACTCATTTCACGTTGTTCGTAATGCAATCATGCATGCTGCTATTAACTGTCCTTTCATGCTCTTTCCCGTAATCCCACATTTCGAATAATCTTAGTGGTGTCATATTTTTATATACTTACAAAGACTTAACAATCTCATGCAAAGTTGTATAAAGATATACATTTCTAAATTTTTTAAGAAAATATTTAGGGTTTTTATACCACTTCGTTTCTATCCAATAAATACATGAAATTTACAACATAATAGTTTCTTCAAGAATGTCATCCAAAACCCTAGAACATTAAAGAACTATACTTAATGGAGTTTGAGTTTCAAGCTATTGGAGGAAAAGATTTCACACCCATTTACAAAAATTAATCATTTACGAATAAAATTCAACCAAATGAGTATTATACCACAAAGAAAAACTCAAACACGGAAGGATGCATCTAGGTTAAGTTTTAACCGACGCTTTCGAAACGAACCGAATAAGGTTGCAGGTCTATGGTTTATGGGCAACCTCGAACCAGACCATAGCGAAGATCAAAGCCCTGAATATGGAATTAAAATTTATATAAATTATTATTTTAATAAATATTTATTTAGATATTTTTAGTTAAATTTTTTTATATTTAAATTTTCACTTATTTTTTAATAAAAAGAATATTTTTTATATTATTTTTTAACCATATTTTTTTTATTTTTAAAAATATTTTATATAAATTTATAAAATTTTATTTATAAATAATACATCCTATTTAATTTTTTTATATTTTTTAATTAAAATTTTGTATTAAAATTTTTATTATTTTTGTAACTGGTTCACCACACAAAGAAAATCATTTGCTACAAAAATATAGTTAAAAAATAGCTTTTGCAATGAAATAATGGTTAGCGGATGAGAATTCGTTACAAATAAATATTATTTTGATAGTGATAACTTATTAAATTTATTATTTTTTATAAAATAATAATAATTTTAATTATTTAATGTTATTTTAACTATTTTTTTATTACTTCTCTATTTTAACTATAGTGTACAATAAACATATAAATTTAAAAGATATATAATTAATAAATAATTATTATATAATTAAAATAATTAAAGATTATAATTAAAATTAAAATATTAATAAATTATAAATTAAAAATTTTAAAATAAAATTAAAATATACTATTTTTTTATTAAAAAAATAACATAAGATATGAGAAGTAAAGAAATGTAATATAGACAAGATATGTAGGACAAAAGAGTATATATTAACATATTGTGTAAATAAAAATTAAATAAATATAAAAAAAATTAATATATTATTCGGACACCAATTTAATTATATTTCAAAAGCAAACATTTAAAAGAATAAACCTTACAATGTGCTTCTACGTATTTATAGTTGTTCGTATCTTTTATTGGATGGGTTAGATTGTACGTAAAAATATTAATTTTCTAGGATGTTTATTTATTTATTTATTAATTATTATTATCAGTATTCTAGAGACTTTATAGAATAATTTATATTAATTATATATATATATATAATAAAATGGCATTGGATTCCACAACATTAGGTGAGATTTTTGTTTTGTTTTTTTTTTTATTTTATGAATGTGTTTGTTTATGAGATTTTGATTTTGATTTTATTATTTGTAAAATAATTTTTTTAAAACAAAAAATAAAATATTTAATTTATATGTAAAAATTATAAAAGTTCTTAGGGTGTGTTTGTTAGAGGGTTTGGATTTTGAGTTGGGATTTGAATAGTAAAAGTTTTGAATTTGAATAGTTATATGATATAATATAAATAGGTGTTGATGTGATGTTTTGAATATTAAATTAATTTTTAATATAATATAAAAAATAAAAAATAGGTGTTTGATTTGATATTTTTAGAAAAAAAAAATGATGAATATTGTATTTAAAATCCAATTTTCGAACAAACACACCCTTAAATGTGTCCACATGTATATTATTTGAAAGATAACTGATTTTTAAAAAAATGTTATCTATAAATATAATACCCTATATCCTAATATATATATATATATATAATAAAATCAATAAAATACACAAAAGTCAATAAAACATAAGGTTTGGTTGTTTAGTGTTGTAGTTTGATTTTTTTTTACTTTTTTTTTTTTTTTTGGTAAAGTACAATGAATCGTGTTAAATATAAATATTTTTGTGTTAAATTATTTATTTTTATAAGATAAAAAAATATAAATATTGAGGATCGTATTAAAAAGATAATAACAATTAGATTAACAAATCCTTACAAAATACAATATTATTTTCTATAATATTTTTACAATTTTTTATATTTAAAACCACATAAAATTATTAATAAACACACCTTTTTAAGTATTTTGTAAATAAATTTATATTTATATTAAAAAATATAAGTAAATTGTTTTTAATTAAAAACTTTAAAACGAACAAACAAAATTATTTAATTCATGAATACTTTATTCTGAATTTTGAATAATAAAAATTAAAATTGAAATAATTATTTAATATAATATAATTATATATTGATGCAATAATTAAAATAATAAAATTTAATAAAAAATCCCACAAACAAAAACACACCCTAAAAGTTTAATATGTTAATAGATACTAGTATTAAAACAATAATACATAATCGTATAAAGATATGATATCCCGTAAGAGATGAGTTGGTGGTGTGAGGAGTGAATTTATGTGAAGTGCATAAAATTATATCGGTAATATATAAAAAATAATATTTTATATTGAATGTTAATTTTTGTGAAATAATAGAATATATATTAGAAATAGTGAAAAAAAAAAAATTGGAAGAACACACCTTATATTTTCAAAAATATTGTAAATTTCATAAAAAATTCAAATTATGAAATAGAATAATATACACTTTTCAAATTAGAAGTGTGTTAATAAGCAATTTTTTTTATTTATTTATTTTAGAATTTGATACATATAACTAAGTTTTGCTTACTTATATGGTTTCGGAAGTTTTACTATTATTTATTAATAATAAGTTTTTTTTTTTAATCTTATTTCTTATGTCCATCAAAATTATGTTGTTTTTTTTTCGGTATATTTATGTATAATTTTATACTAAAAAAATTATTTATAATTTCATTATTTTTACTTCAACTAACAATAAATATTTTGTCACTATCTTTTTAAATTTCACTATATTTTAATCAAGATCATAATAAACTTTCTATGTGTTTGTTTGAAGGTTTCGATTTTGAATTAGTAAAATATTACATTTGAATAATTATTTAATATAATATAAATAGATGTTGATGTGATATTTTATGAATGATATAAATCTTGAAAAAAAAATTTCCAACCAAATGCATAATATTTCTCTTTTACTTTTTACTTACTTTAAATTTATATTAAAATATATAATTATTTCTTAATCTTTATGTTCACCAATTATAAATAATTTTCATCGATAGATAAAATACATCAAATACTCAAATATTTACTATTTTAAAAAATTTCAACCTTCCCTAATTTTCTATACCTGAGGTTGTTAACATATATAGAGAGACGAGGTTTTAGTTCTAGAAAATCAGCCGAATATTTCATTTATTGGCAAGAGAGGTCGAACATCGCAAATTGTAATAACTTGGCACAACAAAGCTTCTGACCCTAATGGCCTTTGCGGGACCTCGGGGACCAGAGACTCTACCTTCGTCAGAGTGTTGACAGACTTTTTCTACACTAGAGATATCGTCTTCGAGGTATTTAATAAATTCGCTTAATCATTCAACTCAATAGAATATATTTAATTAGAAGAGATTAACTTAAAAAGTTGTACTAACAATTTTTTTTTATGTTAAGTATTAAGAAGCGTGTAAATAATATTTTATTTTAAATTATTAATTTTTTATGAATCGATAAAATCTATATTATATATGTCATGTGAATATATGCATACATTATATTTTCTTGTAATATTAAGTGAAAAATCATGTTGAAAGAATATATTGTATATAGAAATATACTATTTTTTCTTGTAAAATATTAAACCAAAACCTAAGTAAATAAACAAACTTTAAGTTTGTTTATTATTATTATTATTATTATTATTATTATTATTATTATTATTATAGCTATAACATAGGTGTTGAATATATTGTTTTATATGAAAAAAATTATTTTTTTTATAAGAATTGAAAAAAAAAAAAGACATAGAGCTATTGGTTTTTTCTTGTTCTGTGCGTGTTTATTTTTACGTAAGTATTTTTAATATTAGATAAAAAAAAAATATTGAATTTTATATTTTGTATGAAAATTGATATATTCTTTTTAGATAATTTTAAAATTGTATATAAAAAAAATCAAAATTATAAATTTCATTAATTTAACGTATCACTTTACTTTATTCACAGAACAAGCAGTAGCATTGAGAATCTTACGCGAGAAGGCTATGTTTTACAAAATAGGATTTTTGGGCTCACATGACACACTTTTGGATGACTTCGATCCCACTATTTTTTCCGATGTTACATTTAAGATTTTATTGATTTTATATTTGGCAATGGAAGATCTCTCTATTAAGTATGTCAAAGTCATTGATTATTTTTTTGGCAAGATTATATTTGTATAGACAATTAGTATTATTATTGCAAACGGATGTACTTATTAATGAAAATATGCATTTTTTTTTATGATATTAATTAAGAATGTTTGATTTTCGTGGCAAGCAATCCGTAAGCAATAGCAGTCCATTACCTGACTCACAGCGGATGAAAATGCTGGCTTTTGCATAATTAGGGAAACTGGCTGATGTACCTAGACATGGGGAATTACTCACGGACAATATATTCTCAAACTCAATTTGATTTTAAGTACTGTCTGAATGATGGAGCGATTTCGGCTATTCAGAACATATATCAATGATACTATTTATCAATAGTAATATTTTTTAAAATATCCCATTATATTTTTTGTTCTTATTTTCGTAATTTTTTTTAGAAATTATGTAAAAGATATTTATTATTTTATTATCTTTTTTATTTTTAATTATTATAATTTTTACTTTTTTTTAATTAAATTTTTTTCATATATTGAGATTTTTCAAAATTAAAGTATTTTTTTTTATCTAATTTAAATAGTAGATTATATATATTTCTTTCAAAATAAATAATGTATGTTATAATTGATAGTAAACTTATTAAATAATAGCTACGTCCAAATATATCCAAAGTTATTTAAAATTATTTGTTTTTAAAAAGAGTATTTAATTACTTTTTCCTAAATTGTATTTGAAAAATGAATAATAAAAAAAAAATCGATATTGAAAAATTTGTAACTAAAATGTTTGAAAACAACTATTTTAATATAATTACTTATATTTATCTTTCAAATAAGTAAATATATATATATATATATTTATACCTCTAAAGATCTTTATTTTTTTTTCGCAATAAGTAGAAATAGTAATAGAAACACTTATGGAATAGAGGGAGTATTATAATTATATTAATATATTGTATAAATAATAGTAATAAAAATTAAAAAATATATATATATATTATTCAAACACGAGTTTATATTGGAAAGACAAATATTATGAACATTGAATATTACAATGTGCTTCTTCGTATTTATACTAATTCATATAATTTGTTGAATGGGATCGACTGAAACAATAATATTAATTTTCTAGAATGTTTATTTTTTATTATTAATATTTTAGAGACTTTGTAGAATGATTTAGATTAATTATTTAGTAAGTTTATATATATATATAAATCAAGTTTATAACATGTGCTATGAGTTATTATTTTATACTATTAAATTATATAATAATTTTATTTTAATAAATAATAATTATAGTTTTTTTTTATATATAAAATATATTATCCTAATCAAATCACTTTAAAAATTAATATACAAAAAAATTGAAAAATTAGTTTGTATAAAATAAGAACAACAAAATAGATATTGTCTCCGTCCCACATTGGATGTCTGAGTCACTGTAGACACGAGAATTTAGGATAAGTATAATTAGTAGATAATTACGAATGTATTAGTAAAAATAATTATCTTATAATATAAATAATTATAAATTAAGATTAAGATAACTGATTAGTTTAATTAAAATTAAAAAAATTTAAATTAGAAAATTTAAATGAGATTAAAGTGTGTAATCATTTTTCGAAAAAGAAAAGTGACATGAGACGTGGGATTGACATAAACTGTGGACATTAAGATGGAGGGGAGGGAGAATTAATAAAATACATGCACATAATGAAAAAACTAATTATTTAAAAAATATAATAAAAAAAGACTGAAATACATTTGAGAATAGTTCATATGTATATATAAAAAATACATTATTTATCTTTGTATTGTCGTTTCTTTCGTATCTATAGTCTATAATATAAACAAACTCACATAATTTGTTCATAAATACTAATATTTAGCATTAAAATAATAATATCTAATCGTAAAGATATGATATTAAATAAATCATATAATTAGATATAATCAGTTACATGTATATATATATACACATACAAAAAGAGAAGATAACGAAACAAGTTCTTTACTTTTAAGATTTGACCCTTCCCTGTCAGAGGTTCTGTTTGCGAGCAGGAAGATCGATAATTACAAACCCTTATTACTGCTTACAGCTAAGATCGACAATCATCTTCCATGGCCAGAAGAATTAAGTTATCTTCAGCACGACGTCGTTTCTTGATATTACTGATGCTATCCTTCACTATTCTCAGCTCCATTCAAAATAGCAAGAGCAAAGCCTTCGCCAGCATCGATTACATTACTTGGGACGATCTAAGAATCCCTAATAATAACACAAGACCAGTGTCTCCAATACAATTGGACGATCCCAATAATAACGTTACGACGACGACGATAATCGTCGTCGATCAGCAGGGATACGGTAATTCTACGACAGTGCAGGGCGCCGTCGATATGGTACCGCAAGATAACAAGGCAAGAGTCAAGATTCACATTCGTCCCGGAGTTTACAAGTACGTCGAAAGCCTCTCTTTTTTTAAAAAAAAAAAAAATTACTTATAATTCAATTATGATTTGAAAAGTTTTTAGTGATTTAGAAATTCCATCCGACTTTCTTAGGATTTGTTAGTATTTTGATTTGATCTTTTTTTATGTGAGGTATAAGGAATTGACTCTGTAATATAAAAATACTACTCTCTCCGTTCATATACCGTGTCTGCTATGCTATAGACACGATATTTTAGGAGAAGTGTAATTTTTAAATAATTAAGAATGTACTAGAGAAAATAATTATCCTATAATATAAATAATTATAAATTAAGATTAAGATAACTAATTAGTTTAATTAAAATTAAAAAAAAAATAAATTAAAAATTTTAAAATGAGATTAAAGTGTATAATTATTTTCGAAAAAGAAAAGTGACATGGAATGTAATTATCTTCTATCCAAAAATTATGTAGGGTTTTTTTGTTATGTATATTTATGCATGCTCCATTTATACTAATCTTTTATAGTTGATGTTGTTAATACATAGAGAGAAGATTTTGGTTCCAGAAAATAAACCGTATATTTCATTTATTGGCGAGAGAGGTCAAGCGTCACAAACTGTAATAACTTGGCACGACAAAGCTTCTGACCCTAATGGCCTTGGCGGGACCTTGGGGACTAGAGACTCGGCCTCCGTCACAGTGTTGTCGGACTTTTTCTGCGCTAGAGATATCGTCTTCGAGGTATTTAATAAATTCGTTTAATCATTCAATTCGAGAAAATATATTTAATTAGAAGAGATGAACTTAAAAAAAAATTGTACTAACACTTTTTTTTTTATATTAAGTATTAAGAAACAGTGTAAATTTGTATGAGCTTATAAAATTTATATCATATATTATGTGAATATATGTATATATTATATTTTCTTATAATATTAAGTGAAAAATCATGTTAGAAAGAATACATTATATACATAGAAATATACTATTTCTTGTAAAATATTAAACCATAATCCAACTAAACAAACTTTATTATTATAACATACGTGTTAAATATAATGTTTTATATGAAAAAAATTATTTTTTTAATAAAAATTAAAAAAAAAAATATAGAGCCAATGGATTTTTCTGTTGGGTGCGTGCATGTTTTTGTGTGTGTATATTTTTAATACTAGGTAAAAAAATTGTTCAATTTTATATTTTATAGGTAATTATGAGATTGTATAATAAAAAATCGAAAGAAACTTCAAAACTATTATTTTATGACGAAGTATCACTTTTCTTTATTCACAGAACTCAGTGGTGGAGCCTCCAGGTGGAGTAGAAGGGTTCCAAGCAATTGCATTCAGAATCTCCGGTGAGAAAGCAATGTTTTACAAAGTAAAATTTTTGGGCTCACAAGACACACTTTGGGATGACTTTGGATCCCACTATTTTCTCCGGTGTTACATTAAAGGTTCTGTTGATTTTATATTTGGCAATGGAAGATCTCTCTATCGAGTACGTCAAGTCATTGATTTTTTTTTTTTTTTATTGCAAACAGATGTACGTATGAATGAAAATATACATTTTTTTGTTGATGATATTAATTAGAAATGTTTGATCTTTGTGGCGAGCAATCCGTACGCAATAGCAGCCCATCACCGAGACACAGCAGATGAAAGCACTGGCTTTTCATTCGTAAGGTGCATAATTAGGGGAAGCGGGCCGGTGTACCTAGGTAGGGCATGGGGGAATTACTCGCGAACAATATATTCTCAAACTCAATTTGACCTTGAAGTACTGCCTGAAGGATGGAGCGATTGGGGCTATCCAGATAGAGACAGGTATGAATGATACTATTTATCAATAGTAATATTTTAAAAAATATCCTATTAAATATTTATTTTTTATTATAAAATATCATATCAAATATTAAATTTACTATTTAAAAAACTTTCAAAATTTTAAAAGTATTTTTCTAGATGGAGCCGTCTAATGAATGACCTAATGAAATAGTATCTTTAAATATTATCATCTAATACTATTTTTTTTTTCTTATTATTAGCACTGCTATGTTCGGAGAGTATAATTGCCGAGGTCGAGGAGCTGACCGAAGCCAAAGAGTTCGGTGGTCGAAAGCTCTAACTTTTTCTGAAGCTCAACCATATCAAACTATTGAATTTATAAAAGGACAACAATGGTTAAGATTATAATTTTACATCATATATATATGTATATATTCAAAGTGATATGAGTAATTATATTTTTTGTTCTTGTTCTTTGTACGATTATTTATCATGGAAAATGCTACTCAATGTGTATGATTATTAGCTGAGTTCATGTTTTAAATATTTTTATTTGGGATGAAATTTTCTCAAATTTTTTCTTATTTATAATTAAAAGAATGAAATAAAATAAAAAAATAACAACAAGATCAAGATGGCTCGGAGCCATGTCATAAGGCTCAAGTCTAAGATCCTCGGGTGTTTTCTATATATATTTTTTAATTTTATATTTAAGTTTGAATTTTTATTATTTAAATTGAATTTAAATAATACTCTCTCTATCCCAAAAGTATAGTCTTATTGTGTTGGACGGGATTTAAGAAATACTGATATTATATTGACAGTTGATAAAAAGTAAGGATAAATGAATTTTTTGTCCTTGTAAGTATATTAGTGTAAAAAGTAGTGACAATTGAATAATAATAATAAAAAAGTACGAATAGTTTTATGGTGATTTGATTATTGATAGAAATGAGACTATTGTTTTGGAACGGATAAAAATGATAAACAATACACGCAGGGAGTATTTGATATAATGCTATATGAGATAAATAATATATACTCCCTTGTCCCATAAAATTATGTTGATTTTGTTTGACGCGGATATGGTAGGCAAAAATTATAGAAGAGTATGATAAGAAAATATGTTAAACGAGTGATAAAATAATAGTGGGATAAATAAATAAAATTAATGATAAATTAATTATTATTTGCTAAACTCATAATAATAAAATTGTAGATGTATAAAATTATTTAATATAAATAAATTCTGTATAAATTTAGCAAATGGAGAAAAAAAGAAATAATTATATAATTTTGGCAAAAAAAAGAAAAAAATTGTTAATAGCCGGAATAGCGATAGTGACATGCCCACAAGAGATAACGTATGCGCGTACATGCTCTGTTTAGGCGATACATTTTCACCAATTTGAAACTATTTATTTTTAAAAAAATATTACATTAAATATATTTTTTCCTTCATAAAAATCAAATCAAATACTGATTTTTTTATTTTTTTTCAAACTTTTAAATTTTCAAAAACCTCAAAACATCCCTATCTAAATACACCCTCGAGAGTTTCTTTACAGGTGTCAATTTATTTATTTTGTGTGTTTGTTTGAAGGATTTTGCAAAAACTACACTATTTATCCAAACAAAATTTCGCAAAAATATTAAATCAAATACCTAATTTTTATTTTCTATATTACTCTAAAAATCAATTTTACATTCAAAACATCGAATACCTTTTTATATTACATTATACAACTATTCAAATTCAAAAACTTTTACTGTTCAAATTTCAACTCAAAATCCAAACATTCAAACAAACACACCATAAGTTTGTTCACTTAGTTAAAAAAATACAATATACACACACCTTAACATAATATATATATCTCTATATAATACAATATACATACATCAACAATTATACTATAAAATTAGCACTGTTTTTTATATTATCAATTTGTTCATATCTAATACTACTTCATCAGTCTCATTTACTTTTTGCGTGTTTATTTTTAAATATTAATTATTATATAAAAACATACGTATAAAAAAAATGACAAAAATATTTCTATTAGTGTCTTATAATACTGTTATAATAATATTTATGCAAAAAAAAATTATACAAATATAATGATATTTTTAATGTTAAGTAAAATAATGTAAAAGATAAATGAAACAATTATAATCGGACGAAGAGAATAAAGAAAAATATATATTTATTAAAAATATTGGAGTAAACAAAAACTCTATTCATTTAACAATTAACTTTTTTTTCAAAAAAATATAAATTAAGTAAGTGGAGAATTTTTTTTTATTATTATTATTTTAAAATTTTAAAATTTCAATAACTAAATAAAACCTTATTTTCTTTGTTAAAAGAATTAACGGGCGATTGGGTTTAAAATTTAATGCTAAATCCGCCTTAATTAATTGCGGCTACCAAACAATCCCTTAATTTGGTGCTTTTCTGGAATGAACAATTATGTCCAAAACACCGCTGTTGACAGTTTCCTTGTCAGTTCTCTCACTCCTGAAAATTTAATCTCAAAATTTGCCCGGGAGGGAGGGAGAGTAGTAGTGAGGTAGAGCGAACGATGGATCGAGTGCCGGCCGGGAACGAGCTTGGTTTCCGGGTTGCCTTCACTGGCTACAGCGGCCATGTTAGGATTGAACCCGAGTCTCCTGTCGAAGTCGAACGCCCCAGCAATCGTCTCGACGGTCTCCCCGATTTAATCCTTGTCAGTGTTCTATCTGGGCTATGAAGTTTCTATTTTTTATATATGTTGAAAATGTAGTTGCCTTCGTCGCTTTTTCTAGTTTTTTTTTTTGTTTCATGGGTTAGGGTTCACCTGGAAGCAATTTCATATGTTCTGCGCCTGATTTTTCTTGTAGTTTGGAAACAATTGTTTTGTTGAGTTTTGTATGTTTGTGTGGCAGCCGCCGGCGTTCCCTGAAGAAACGCCTGAAACGATAAGGGGGTACATAAAGGAGAAATTTCTACTTCCAAGATTGGATGAAGATCTTTTTACTCCACAAAATGCAGGCAAGCAATGGGATTTTGACTGGTTTGACAGAGCCAAAGTTGAGCTGGAGCCGTCGAAGCCCCGGTCTGTGGTTATACCATCTTGGGAAATGCCTTTCCGACGCAAGAAGGGTAAAGGGGGAAGGTGGGAACCAGAGTCAGTGGAGGTACTGGTTTATTTATTAGGATTTTTGCTGACACCAGGATTCAGTCTTTTGAATTTGTATCTGTAGCATGTTCCGAGTTCCGGTCATAGTTAATCTATAGAATATGATGTATGCAACCTCAAGTTTATTCACTGATTTGATACATAGAAATTCTGAAATAATAATTGAAATTGTACTTCTAGGTGGATGTATCGCAGCTGACAATAGAAGGTGAGGATTTGAGTGCTATGCCGCGCATTGTTGAACCTTCCAAGGATTTTGTGCGAGGAAGTGTCAATAATCGTCCTTTTCGCCCTGGTGGATTGGATGAAAATGGTTCTTTGGGAAAGACACTACCTGATGGTGCTTGTAATGGTGAATGGGCACTTGAGGTTTTGCGTGGGAGTCAGCCACAAGTTCTTCCCCCTGGTTTTAAAAGTGGATTGGATCTAGGTCAGCTTGAGGTAAAGCTACTAAATGGAGTAATGAAATATCTCATTTTCAATTGATACGTTGTATTGCACCATTCAATGATAATTACATCCTTACTATTTATCAAAATGTGAAGGCACATCCATATAGATGGGATATTGGTGAGGAAACAAGCATCAAAAAAGAGACAGAACATGTGAAAATGGTTAGTTCTGCCTCTTATGATTTTGTTGTATTGATACAATAAGGTCTTCTTTATAGTGTGCGAGTAGTTAAGGTCTGTTTGGTTGTGTTTTGGTGTTCTTTTAGTATTTTAGGAATAATGAGTTTTTTTTTGTTAGTTAGTGGAAATTATGAAAGTGTTTCGGGAAATTGTTATGTTGTTTTGGTGAAGTAATTTTTTATTATTTTAAAAATGTTTTATGAGAGTAATAGAGTTTTTATTGGGGGATCGTGGGTAATTTTTTTATTGGAAATGGTGTAATGTGTAAAAGAACTAAAACTAAAAATGTTTAATTGAAATAGTTGTTTGATGTGCTATATATAAGTATTTGATTTGATGTTTAGAATATATTTTTTTTAAATACTCCCCCTGTCATTGAAAAATATGTTCATTTTCCCGTTTTGTTTGTCATCCAAAACTATTCTCATTACTGTTTTTAGTAAAAAAAATCATACATCTTGTTATTTGTTGTACTTTTTTTACCATAAAAGACAGTAATTATCACTTATTACCCATCCATGTTATAACATGTGACAAAAGTATAAACATATTTTTTCAGGCCAGGGGAAGTATAATATATTAAATGAAAAATACATGTATGATGTAATGTTTGGGAGGGGGGAAGGGATGGGGCTTTGGGAATAGGTTTGTGTAGATGCATACTGAAAATGGGGGTTGAAAACACAACTAAACAATGTGCTATACACAAGCTCTAAGACATTCTGTCCTTGACTTTCTTGTTTACTTGTATTTGAGAATATTCAAATATATGAAATATTTTCTGATTTTATTGAGAAGCCTTAGCAGTTCAGGATTTCTTGTTCATTGTCTTAATGCCCATCTTTTTCCATAAACTGCAGAGCGAATTGTCAGTGCAGTTTGATGATTTGTTCAAGAAAGCTTGGGAAGATGATGTTCTGAAATTTGTTGATGATGGTCAGTGCTGGGTGCATGTAACATATACTTTTGTTATTTACTTCATTTAAAGGGCAGTGGAAGGTGCTCTACAATGTGGATATGAGATAATCTTTCTGTTTTATTATCAAACATCTCTGTACTGTTCTCGGGTTGTTTAGTCATATTTTTAATGAGTCATCAAATATTTCAATATCTTTCTATATGGTTAACTGGTGTCCAATCTTCCCATCAGTTGGGATGAGCTAGACACATTGTTTTTATTGGTGTGAGTGGCATTTTGATTACTTTGGAAGAATGGAATCATTTTTTACTTTTTTATTATGATACTTTAATTTCCTTAGAAGTGTATAATAAGCTTATTAATAGAAGATAATGATCTCATACTACAAGGGTATCGAATACTTAAAAGAAATTAAGATCTGTGTTAACGTAGTTTGATCTGATGGCCTAAAGTATAATAGGTTTGTTCTTCTTTCTCCATATTATTTACAGCAATAACTTTGGCAACTTAGTGGTGATTTTGAAGGGGAAGGAGAGATAAGTGGGAGTTTCTTTTTGTCCTGGTGCTTGATGAATTGAACACTTTTTGTATCGATGGACATAAATTTGTTCTACTTATGACTGATGAATTACTGATACAGAGAATTAATAACTCCTTTTGAGCATGTGGTTGTTAGTCTAATTCAGAACTGCATGTATTTTCTTTCTTTTGAAAATGTTGACTTGTTAAAGAAAAATAGAATCTTTTTGCTACAATAGCAACCGCGTTTTTTTTTTTTTTTTTGTTAATTTCAACCATATTTAGGCTCTTTTGCCTCGTCAGTTTAAACTTTAACTTCAATTGTATTCATTGTTTCTTTCCTCCATTGAAAGAGTTTGCATTTATGTCATTCAAATAGATTGCAGATGCGAATCTATTTTTAAAGCATTTAAGTAGTTTGGGTACTTTTAGTCTCTTACCATTTTTTTTTCAACAACACTGATGTTACAAGCTGTTTTTGTGGTTGCATGCCAGGGGCAGACACAGAGAGTAAGCCTGCCGAGGAATCTGGTCAAATAATAATTGAGGAAGAGCTGCATGCAGTTGATGATGTTTCCATAAAAGAGTCTACCATGCTTGATGAAATTCTGTCTGTCAAAGCAGAGTCAACACCAAATGATGGAGATAAAAGTAGTGGTGGACAGCAGCCAAAAGAGGTAATGGTTTCCCTATTACTATCCACTCTGTAAATGCTGTAATGTGTGATCCTCTTATCGTAAGTGGTTTTATTCCTTGATCTAGCTGGCTAAATGAATGATTTATTTACAGGGTTGGGCTCTTAGGCATGGAACTGAAGAGATTGCAGAACGGTTTAATGAACTTGTTCCAGATATGGCACTAAGTTTTCCTTTTGAACTAGATCCTTTCCAAAAGGAGGTATTGTTCATGACCAAGCTAAATTAGAATTAAATATAAACATTACTGCACAATTGAATTACTTAGCGTAAAATTGAAGTAGCATTGATGTGAGATGTCTGGTTGATTGACTTGATGAGGTGCTAGTGTGCTTCTGGTAAGGGTTTTGGTATTTTGATATGCATTTTTGTTTGAACAGAAGTGCATATTTTCTGTTGCAGAGTTAATACATTTTTCATTTTCAAGACTATTTAATCAAAAATCTGATTGTGGCTACTCTCTTGCTATCACTTACGCTACTATTTAACTTGTATATGCCATTACTTTTACGAGAACATTTTTGAATTGCTTAAATTTTATTCATGAACAAGGTTCTGTATTTGTATTAATTATAGGCCATATTTTATCTTGAAAGAGGGGATTCGGTCTTTGTGGCAGCTCATACATCTGCTGGAAAGACAGTCGTTGCGGAGTATGCGTTTGCTCTTGCTTCTAAAGTATGCCGCTATTTCTGGGTGTTTGTGCTTATTGTTTAAAGTAATACATGAAGGATAGTTTATGATAACTTTGAACATATGCAGCACTGCACGAGAGCTGTATATACTGCTCCTATTAAGACAATCAGCAATCAAAAGTACAGAGATTTCTGTGGAAAATTTGATGTTGGCCTCCTCACAGGTGATATTAGCTTGAGGCCTGAGGCTTCTTGTCTTATCATGACCACTGAGATATTAAGATCCATGCTTTATAGAGGCGCTGATATCATACGTGACATAGAATGGGTGTGGCCTCTTTCTCATATTTTATCTTTCCTTTTGCGATGCTTGGCCTTATAGAATCTGTTAAATTTAATAAAACTTATGGTTATCTTATTCTGTATGTGGAAAGGTTATATTTGATGAAGTGCACTATGTTAATGACGTCGAAAGAGGTGTGGTTTGGGAAGAAGTAATTATCATGCTTCCCAGGCACATCAACTTTGTGCTTCTTTCGGCCACGGTATGAATTGTTCTGAACTCCTTGGTTTAAATTCTGTTGGTAATTTTGTAACATTTACCCTTTAAAAAACACCATATCAAACACCTATTTTCCATTTGAAACATCTCAACCAACATCTATTTTAATTTAAAACATCTCATACCACACCTTTTCAATTCAATCTACTATTTCCAAAACAATCCAAAGCACCCCCAAATCACAAACAAACACAGCCGTGATCTTAATTTCCGTAATTAATGTTGTTCAGTATGTAAATTTCTAACTTGCCTAAGATGGTATGAGAGTTTATATGATTTCACCAGACAGCTGTAGTGCTCCATTACATTTAAGTTCATACCTTGATTCCACTGTATTAATAATGCGCCAATCGCATATATAGTAAATCCTCTTTGAGTAGTCATGCACAAGGATGTGGCTCCTACTCCCACCAAATATTTTGATAATTTACTTTTGTAAGCTACTATATTGATCGAGGAATCCTAGATGTTGTAAGAGTAAAGGATTGTTCTCAAAAGATATTATTCTCTTTACCAAACATATGCATTTCATAAATAACTTAAGGATATACATTTGCGATTGGATCTCAATGGCACAGCTAAATGCTATTTACTTTATACAGGTTCCTAACACAATTGAATTCGCTGACTGGATTGGCAGGACAAAGCAAAAACAAATTCGTGTTACTGGGTCAGTAGCATATTCTGGAGATCTTCATTGTGGTTGCTTTACATGTTATGACTTGCTTTCAACCGTGTTTAGGCCAGCCTCACATGTTTGCTATTGCTAGTAGCTTTCTGCCATTCATGATTGTATGACATAGGCATCTCGTGGTGATATTTCCCACTAAATTAGCATTCTTAAAAGAAGCATCCATTAAAAGAAATTCCACATATTTGGATGAATGGCTCATTTCCTTTAAAAATATTTACACAATAGTTAGTATACTTTTTGTTAATTAAAACATTAGAAATCATTTTCAATCTTTTAATTTATAAAGGTGTGTTTGTTTGGGGGTTTGGATTTTGAGTTGGGATTTGAATTGTAAAAATTTTGAATTTGAATAGTTGTATAATGTGATATAAATAGGTGTTGATGTCATGTTTTGAATGTAAAATTGATTTTTAGTATAATATAAAAAATGAAAAATAGGTGTTTGATTTAATGTTTTTTGGAGGAAAAAAATGGGATGAATAGTGTATTTAAAATCCAATCCCCCAAACAAACACACCCTAATTAGAAAGTGAGAAGGCATCCCAGGAACTTAATGTTAATAATGTGATTTAAATAAGTAGACACACATGACACAACACAGAACACAAAAAAGAAAGATAGATTTGCTACGCTTCCATCTTATAAGACGATTATATTTGAGCCTATTTAGGGTGTGTTTGGTTTGAGGGAAAGGAGGCGAGGGAAGGGGAGAGGAGGAAAAAAAATTTAATGATGGTGTTTAGACGTAGGGTATATTTCCAAAATATTATATTGACCGACTAGTATTGCTATTTATTTTAGAGATTAAGATACTCTTGTAAAACGAGGCTGAATCATAGTACTAGGGTTAAGAAAAAACAGAAGACAAACAAAAGGAGGAGTCGCTAGATTCCAGTAGAAACCTCTTCATTTCCTCTAGCAGCACGTGTAACCAAAAAGTCAGCCAATCCCTTAGCACTTCTAGGCACATGTGAAACATGACCACAGGGTATTCAGAGATGGAAAGGCACATCTTGTTGAAAGTGCGATCAAATGCACATGGGACATATACTGTTGTTAAATCGACCCTTACTTTGTGTGTGTGTGTGTGTGTGTGTGTTGGTAATATAACAACCATCGGTCCATCACAATCATTTATTCAATATGGACTAAGTTCAGGTGCTTTGTAGTGTAAAAGTTCAGGTGAAACATCAGTATTGAAATTAAAATCGCATTGTCAAAAGTCAAAACATTTGCTTATGTATTATTATTTTTGTAACATCACAGTAAATTATGAAAATGTTGCCAGGAAAATAAATGGTGTAATAGGATGTATTGTCAAAATTCTTATTGTTTGCATAATTTAGGAAGATTAGAGTGTACACTGTTACTAACATAAGTGTTGTTTCCACCATGTGTTTTTCTCTTTAAACAGGACCACCAAAAGGCCAGTACCCCTGGAGCACGTCCTTTTCTATTCTGGAGAGCTTTACAAAATATGTGAAAATGAAAAGATTATACCCCAGGGAATAAAGGCTGCCAAAGATGTGTACAAGAAGAAAAACTCAGCTACAGCAACTGGCCCAGGATCTCATATGGGGTCATCTGCAGCCACTGAGAGGTCCAGGAATCAGAGACATGAAAATACTTCTCAAGCAAAGCAGAAAAAACATTCTGGATCCATGAATGTTGGTAACTTTAGGGCACAGAACAGTGGTAATAACAATTGGGGTTCAAGGAGAGCAGAAGCCAACATATGGTTGACGCTTATCAATAAGCTTTCTAAGAATTCTCTTTTACCTGTAAGTTTGAAATATTTAACTTATGTTCCCCTCCTGCGATCATTTAAACACATTTCATTACTATTTAATCTATCATTTCCCTTCAAAACATCACACCAAATGCCTATTTTCCATTTACAACATCACATCCAACAATTATTTTCACCTTGAAAACATCAAAACCTAAAGCACCAAAACAAACGCAAAACACTAGCACACACTCACAAGTTTTTTGTTCCCCCAGGCCTGGACAACTCATATTATACATTTTCCGATTCATATTTTAATGCTGCCTTGTAAATAAATGTGCATGTTGAGTCGCAAATTTTAGATATTAGACAATCACATGGCTGACTGCTGTTTGTCTTCCTTTATTTATTTATATATTTTAGGTTTCTGTTTTTGGTAACAGAGAACCTTCAGTAAATGTTAACCTTGTGTTTACAGGTGGTTATATTCTGCTTTTCAAAGAATCGCTGTGATAAATCAGCTGACAACTTGACAGGAACTGATCTAACGACTTCCTCTGAGAAAAGTGAAATTCGAGTTTTTTGTGATAAAGCATTTTCAAGGCTTAAAGGTTCAGACAGGAACCTACCGCAGGTGTTGTATTGAATTTTTATTGGTGCATAAATATCTGGGATGGATTCTTATGCCCTGATGTTACAGATTGTTAGAGTTCAAAGCCTTCTTCGAAGAGGAATTGGTGTACACCATGCTGGATTGCTTCCCATTGTCAAGGAAATTGTTGAAATGCTATTCTGTCGTGGCGTCGTCAAGGTAAAGTATTTATGTGAATGTATGATGCTATTTGGCATAGTATTTGATTCTGGAAAGTAATGCTGTCCTTAATTGGACCACTGTATTTAAACTTGAAATTTATCATTAACATAAATATAAGAATATAATAAATGCTAATTCTGATTCATGGACACATGGGGTGTTATAATTTTTCTAAATTTAGGTTTACTCTATCTCTGTATAGGCTATGTATAGATATGTATTCATCTATTAGGTCTGTGGTATGAACGCAGAAAGAAGTCTCCTGTATGTTAATGCTTTCCTTATCTAATAGTAAATGAAATCAGAGTTACATTTCCCAATTTTGTTTGGTCCTTCATTAGAAAATATCAAAATACTGAAAATGGGGTATGATAAATACAAAAAGGCAGTTTATAAGTTAAATCACTCCATTCAACATGATTTGAAAATTTAAGATGAGTGAATGCCTGTCATTGCATATTTATGCACTGTGAATGGTGTAGGGTCATGATTATTTTCTTATAAGTTTAGATTAATGATTTTAGAGCAGGAAATCTCATGCTCAGATTTTCATTATGAATGAACGTTCTATGAGCAAGCTTTATATTATGAGCATCGTATCCATTCAAAAACAATGCAGTAATCAAAATAAATAAATAGAAAGTGATAAACTTTTTGGGTATACAACTTAAACTTTAAGGTGAGATAAGGCAGACATTTTATTCTTCTAACACATGAATAGGTCCAAGCAAATGTAAAAGAGCCTAATTCATGGATATTGGGAACACTTTGCCTGTCCAAAGTACTTATTTAGATATTCTTTGAATGTATAGAAGGATATGAGTTGATGCTTCATCTCCCTCTCGAGGCTTTTTTTTCTAAAAAGGAAAAAAATAAGAAGTAATGTATCATAGATGTTGATTGCCTTGAAAATTATGTTCTATTATCTAATCGCAGTTCATTGTTTAGGGGTATGCATAAACACATGTTCATGCACAATTTCTTTTTCTTATGAGACTTCTAATATTCATGCTTCTTGTTCTACTTGTAGATTTTGTTTTCAACTGAGACATTTGCAATGGGAGTTAATGCCCCAGCGAGAACCGTAAGTTGTTTGTGTAGTTGTTTTGAACAATGAGGAATTAGCATGCTATTGGAATAATTTCTGTCTGGCAAGAATATTTCAGCACCTGATAATTTCCTAATAAACTCATATTTTTGTGGTTGTGTTCTTTCGGAATAATGCTTAAACTAAACTCTACAATCTATCTAGCAAGAATTTTAGTGCTTGAGCTGTTCACATTGTGCTGGGAATTTTGTTGCTCCATGTTATGCCACTACTCTCTCTCTCTCTCTCTCTCTCTCTCTCTCTCTTTTTTTTTTTTTTTTTTTTTCCGTTTTACTTGCTCCTCCATGTGTAGGTAGAATTATAATTATGAGAAATTTTAAGTTCTCTCTGTGCTGGGATTTTTGTTGTTCGCTCCTGTGTGCATATTACAGAATTATAATTATGTATGTCTTTGTGATAGCTACACATTCATTTCTTTTCAGCACACAATCATTTCTATTCTTCATCACTAACTTATTCCCTACACGAAAAAAAACATCATATTTTTATCCAACCAGCGGATCAACGCTCATTTCAATTCAAACTTTTACTTTTTTCATAACAAACCCAAATTTGCTTCGTCCTGTGCTCATGCTTCTGTTGATACTGTAATCTTTGGCCAAATATAACCTATTTGGCTATTTGTACTCCAAATTGCAGTGGTTTCATGTCAGTTACATCATTCTTAAGTTTTGGTTGACAAGTCGACTTCGCTTACTGTTGTTTGCCCTCAAATCTATATCATTGATATAATGTTTCAAGTCAATTATCAGTTATGTTTGAATTGGGGCACGATGCTATTACATGTCACTCTTCTTGTGGATGATTTTTCTTGTTTTTTGGCAGGTCGTGTTTGATTCTTTGAGGAAATTTGATGGCAAGGAATTTCGACAATTGCTTCCCGGAGAATACACACAGATGGCTGGACGTGCAGGCAGGAGAGGACTTGATAAAATTGGTACAGTCGCTATAATGTGTAGGGATGAGCTTCCTGAAGAGAATGATTTGAAGAATGTTATAGTTGGTAGTGCAACTAGGCTAGAATCTCAGTTTCGGCTCACTTATATCATGATCTTGCATCTGCTTCGTGTTGAAGAATTAAAGGTACTATTTGTTTTTAATTGCTGCAGAAACTTATTTTTAAACTACCTTAGATATGATGTCGTAGATGTATCAATAGGATGTCTGTTGTGGTAGCGCGATGTGTTGAAGGTAAATGAGGGAGCCTAAAGGTAGAAGTGTCCCTAATGAAGAGGAATTAGTTTCCGGTTATAGTGACCAACTTTTCCTCTGTCTGTTATTAAGAATCACGCTTGTCTTTGGCAGTTCAATTTCAGCTATTCTGTTGGTCCATAAAACAGCAATGTGTGCATACATGTAAATATGATAATGTTTTCTATGTAGTCTATGAATTTCTACTCTATATTTATTGTCTGAATCTATGATTCCAGATATTGAATGCAGAACACCGTGTCTAAATATTTTAATTTTAGCCTAATTTAGCCCAAGCTTGCAGTTGCTGCTGACATCTTTTTTATTTTTTACATAAATCCATTCAGCTGGTTGGTAAGCTTATGTTTCAGAAAATAGGTCTTTAAGTACATTAACTACTAACTTATTTTTCACTTTGAAATTATTTCTTATTAACTATCAAAATGTTTCTGTGAACACTCCACTGATCTCACAAACCAACCACTACACACTACCATCACAATGATAACTCTCACAACCCTATCCGCACTAGTTACCTTTAAAAAGCTTGTATTTACCTTGTTGTCTTTTTTCCACCCCTTGTCATATGGTAGCATTGATTTGGAAATGTGGATAGCATGGTGATTGGAGGATGATTTGATCAGATAATAATATTTTTTGTTAAATTAGTAAACCACACAATGACTTAACTAATTTTTTGTTCATCTTTCTGGTTTTCTTGGGAACTTTATTTCAGGTTGAGGACATGCTTAAAAGAAGTTTTGCAGAATTTCATGCCCAGAAGAAACTTCCAGAGAAACAACAACTTCTAATGCGGAAACTTGCTCAACCTACGAAAGTTGTTGAGTAAGTGTAGAAAATGAAACGATTTATTTATTTATTAAATTATTTGTGTGTGTAGTGGTTTTAGTGATTTGTGTTTAATTAAGAATCCTGTACTTTTAGGGAATTCAGATTTCCTTCAGAAAACCCGATGATACACATTCTTGTGACTTTATCGCATGTCTTTCATTTTTAATATTTACCCTTTACGAGATCAGTTACCCTATGCATCCTTTCACACCATCCAGTGAGGTATGCCATACAATGTAGGCAGATTTTGCATGTATGAATGAAATTGGAGCTTTTTATTCTACCGCATTGCTGCATTCTTGTCTCTGATTATGGGTTCTGAAACCAGGTTTCAACACATTTTCCTGCTAGTTTAATTCATGTTAGAAGATGGAGCTGAGTTCTTGAATGTGCTGTCTTGATCTAGGAGTTATGATGGACAATAGTCATCCAAAATGCCCTTTCTTCTTATTAGGGACAGTCTCACGCACCTATTATCACACTTTCCGTATATCCCTTGGCGTTTTTTTTTTTTTTTTTTCTCTTTGAGATTACAATTATTTTTTTTTACGTAACCCCAACATCATTCCTATGCTCTGAACTTTGTTTACAGTCGAGGGGAAAGTGGTTGTCTTGTTGAGGTTTTATAATAGAAAGGAAATCTGATGATCAGAAATTGTACCTTAGACTAAGAGTTTTTCAAAAAATCTCAAGATGCGCGTGAGAGATAGAAAGATTGTTTGTCGGAGCCACTTGCTTCAGCTTTATTTCAACCGTAATGTAAACGTCAGTCAACACGTATGGCCTAATCTTTCATAAAGAACCTCCTTCAAGTTTGTTGCTGATCTTTGAGTTGTTCTCAATGGCGTTATAACTTTTTTTGCAATACTACATGTTTACTGTGTGCTTGCATCTACCTTGTTTTAGGTGCATAAAAGGTGAGCCAGCAATAGAGGATTATTTTGAGATGTATGCTGAGGCTGAAACTTATGGTCGCATGGTCACTGAAGCAATTATGCTGTCTCCCGCTTCAAAACAATTTCTGACCATCGGAAGGGTGGTAGTAGTCAAATCACCTTCGGTAAGTTTACATTAAAGATAATAAGTTTATGAATTGCATAATATCCTTTGTTTTGGTGTGTCAGCCTCATTTTATTGGAAAATGGTGCAATTGTGATGAATTTGAAATGTATAGAATACAAGGACATGAATGACTTCTCACTTATTTCTTTTATAAATTTCAGGATCAAGATCATTTACTGGGTGTTATAGTGAAACCGCCGTCAGACAATTATAAGTACTTAGTATTAATGCTGACACCAGAATCACCTGAAATCTCGCCATCAAAAAGTGTAGATAAAAACACTAATGATTTCCATGTGTTAGTACCAAAGTCAAAACGTGGCCTGGATGATGAGTATTACTCTTCATCCACATCACGGAAAGGATCTGGTGTCGTCAATATAACATTACCTCATTATGGTTCTGCCTCTGGGGCGAGTTATGTGGTAAGAGAAGTTGAGAATAAAGAGTTCATATCAATTTGCAATTGCAAAATAAAGGTAGACCAAGTTCGGCTCCTTGAAGATGTGAGCGCTGGTGCCTATTCATTCACGGTACAGAAATTGTTGGCACTCAAATCTGATGGGAACAGGTATCCACCTGCTTTGGATCCTATGAAAGGTAACTAATTTAAAATTTACATATATAATTGTTTGGTCATTTTGTTAGTTCAAAGTTTGGATCAACGTTGATAGCATGTGCATGTCATTAACTTAGTTCAATCAAGGACAAATTTTGGAATTGAGACTTGTCAGTTGGGTTGTATTCAAATGTAATCGAGGCGAACACTACACAAATCCAGTTTGGTATTAGCTTCGTTTCGAATCTTAAATGCAATTCATATTCGATTCAAAATAGTGTGCTTATATTTTATTTGATTTGCTTTGCATTTTTAAAATACGTTATCAATAATATCATTCAAATATCCGATTCAAAATTTAATTTGGTTTTTGCCCTATTCAATTCGAATTTTCTTTTTTTGAACACTTAATCAGCATACTAGCATCTTACTATTCGGAAAGTCTTTTCTTCCCCCTAATTGCAATAATTTTGGTATACTTCACTTGTCATGTGATAAGTAAGAACGGGTTACTGTTTTTGTTAACCACTGCGAGTTTGTAATAATAAGGCCGTAGATCTGTTACAGTTTATAAATATACGCACATATTTACTTCCAAGTGAAAACAATGTTGTTTCTGGATGTTATAATTAGAGGTCGAACCACCAACATTGTACATCAAATGTCCTAGGATGAGCACATTTAATAGGATTCTGATTCCATTTAGTGGATCGACTGAAAAACAACCAACTCATGAGGCACTCATCTCTTTGTTCAAACAATATCAAAGTTCTATTGTAATAGGATTCTAGTTCTATCTCAGCTGCTCGACTTAAAATAACCTATTCATGTGGTGGCGCTAATATCTTCATTTAAACAATCTTAAAGTTCCATCTAGTGATTGTAACCAACACTTCATACTTACTGTGAATTTCAGAATGAATCATTTGTTGTCGTTTTTGTTTTTGTTTTTAATCTTGATGCTTTCCGCATATTGATGGGATCAATGGGAATGTAAATGTTGCCAGATTTGAAGTTGAGGGATGTTGAGGTTGTTGAAGCTTATTACAAATGGACTAACTTAATGCACAAGATGGCACAGAACAAGTGCCATGGTTGTACCAAGCTGACAGAGAATCTTAAGTTGGCCAGGGAGTTGAACAAACACAAAGAGGAAGTAAATGCTCTTAAATTTCAAATGTCAGACGAAGCACTTCAGCAGATGCCCGACTTTCAGGGCCGTGTACGTCGCATCATCTTCTTGCAGATAACCATAATACTTCTTTCCCCAATAGCCATTTAATTTTCAACAGTCATAATCTAGTTTTTGGTTACATTTTAACTCACATTTTTGTCGATGCAGATTGATGTATTGAAGGAAATCGGATGCATAGATGCTGATCTGGTAGTGCAAATCAAAGGCCGCGTTGCGTGTGAGATGAATTCAGGGGAAGAGTTGATTTGCACGGAGTGCTTATTCGAGAATCAGCTGAGCGATTTGGAGCCGGAAGAAGCTGTAGCAATAATGTCTGCATTCGTTTTTCAGCAGAAGAACACTTCCGAACCCTCTCTTACGCCAAAGCTCGCTGAAGCTAAACAGAGGTATCCTAATTTCTTAATTGCTCATTCTGCGGATTTGATTGTTGAATCGTTGGATGCTTAATCTGGATTTGGTACTCGATTCAGATTGTACGATACAGCAATAAGACTAGGAGAGCTTCAGGCGAAATTCAAGTTGGCTGTTGATCCTCAGGAGTATGCCCACGAAAATCTCAAGTTTGGCCTCGTCCGAGTTGTGTACGAATGGGCAAAGGTAATCATCCTCTCTGGTCTCCATTCAATGCCTTTCTCTACTGTCCCTTGCATTTCGATTCTGTTATGTTATGGTTATTATTTTTACATGACTCACTTAGGATGAGATCGCCGTAATACTCCCTCTATCATAAAAAAAATAATAATAATTTTATTTGCTTTTGATACAATTTTAACGTGGTGTGTACTTTTTGCCTTTTATATAAAAAAATAGAGAAAGTAGTTACTTTTTGGTAAAAGAAATTTTTGCCTTTTATCTAAAAATATAGAGAAAGTAGTTACTTTTTGGTAAAAGAAATAAAAATGGTAATTATGACTCCCTCAGTATTTATTTTTTTATTTTCGTCTATCTCATTCAAAAGTATCTATTGTATTACACATATAATTATTTTACGCACTTTCACTTACCAATAAAATACTACTTCCTCCGTCCACATAAAAAGTATACATTTACTTTTGGCGCGGAGTTTAAAAAATAATAGTATTTTAATTATAGTGGGTAGGTAAAAGTAGTGTAACGACATTTTTGCCCTTACTTTTTGGTATAAAAGCGATGTGATGTAAAATATGGGTATTTGTGGGAAAAAATGAGGTATTTAATGAAATGGTTACTTTGTAATTGGACGTCCCAAAATAAAAATATGTATACTTTGTAGCTGGACGGAAGGAGTATTGTTTTTTAGTTTACAATAAAATTTCAAAGTGCCCTTTCAAATGGTACGGAGGTTTTTTATTAAAAAATAAAATGTCCATATTTTTTTTACGACAGAGGGAGTACAATAACCGGACACATTTATTATTCTGATTCGACTGCGCCTGAATATCGATTCTTGTTTTTGTGATCAAACAGGGAACCCCCTTTGCTGACATTTGTGAGCTGACCGATGTTCCGGAAGGCATGATCGTTAGGACAATCGTGAGGCTGGATGAAACATGCCGTGAGTTTAGAAATGCCGCGGCTATTATGGGAAACTCGGCACTTCATAAGAAAATGGAGATCGCTTCGAATGCAATAAAGAGGGATATTGTCTTCGCGGCTAGCTTGTACATTACAGGGGTTTAGAGAGCTAACATTGTCTGTGTACCCATCCTCTTCTATCTATGTTTGTATCCGACAACTCAGCCTAGCCTAGCCTTCCCTTCCCTTCATCAGTACAGAAATTTTGAAGGAAAGATACACAACCAACAGCCACAGGTAACACATTTCATTTTATTGTATTTTTTAGGATTATTTTTCACATACAATTGGATCTATGTACGATTTTTAGGATTTCTATTTATACAATAATTTTAGCAGACAGAGGTAACTATTATATTGTTCATTTTATCTTTACTCCAAATTCATGTCCAAGAAATGGGATTTCATTCTGAATATTAGGCACTCCCTCGGATATATATTTTATACACTTTAATTATATATATATATATATATTTATTTATTATATAATAATTTTAATTTCTAATTATCGTAATATATTGTTTGTGTTAATATATTTATTAATTTATACCAGTCATGCAAAGAGTATCCTGTCCAATCAAACTTTGCATTTATTGTGTTTAAATTAATTTGTTTTTTATATTAAAGGTAGGATACTATGTTAGTAATATAAAAAAATATTTTAAATTGAGTTACTAAAAATATATATCATATTTTTTAAAATATTTATGAAAATTATATCATTTTCGAAACTACTGGGTAGTGGACTCGACGTCGGGTTGTGTCAATCTATATATATAATTGAATTAAAATCTTTTACCCAAATTTAATTATTTTGTGTTGAATTATCGAGTCAATTTTTGTTAGCTCTAATAGAAGGCTTTGTTTAATTTTAAATATTTTTTATTTTACACTATATAAGATAAACAAATTTTCTATAAAATGTTTCAAACAATCATTAAAATAAAAAATTATAAAGTACAATAAATAAAACAAAACCAAACTTAAAGAAGATAACATATAATCTTTTTATCATTGTAATCTTTTAAATTTTACATGAAAACAATACAATCCTATATTAATTGCTTAAAAGGTCTTTTCATTTTAATTTTCAACACAATTTTATTAAAGAAGTCTCCGGGATAAAATCATTTATCCCAAATCTTTATTTCAGATATATAATAAACGGTCATTGATATATGTAACTAAAAATAAACAAATATTTATAGATATTAATTAGAGAGTAAGTGTAGCATAAAAACTTATTGAAAATCAATCATTCATTCATATATCATAAAAACTGTCTGTGTGCATGGAAGAAATATTGACAACCAACTGTTCTTAACAAAAACATCAGAGGGCACAATTAGTACACCCGAAATTCATTAAATTATCTTCAAACATTAAGCTCAAACTCCCAAGAAAATTTTGAACTAAACTCTCATTTCAAAAAATTCATAGAATGTTACCTCAGAATCGCTCGCCAAACCTGAAGAATATCGCACCAGTTCCAGAGTTTTGATCAACAGCATATTCTGCTCGCACCAATCCGAGCTTCACCCCAACACCATACGAAGATCCTTGACCCATTCTCCTGTATACTTCAGTCGGATTGCCTTTCACATCTTTAGAGCTCCCAAGATCATTGCCATGTTCTGCAAACACATACGCGTGTGTATTTCTAACAGGTATCCGCAGCTCGGCAGCCAACTAGATATATCAATCACAATAAGAATCAATCATCAATGGTGTCAACATCAAATAAGCCCTTAAACAATGGTACATTATACCATACATTTACTCGCCTACGTAAAACTTAGATACATCTTAGAAAAGTGAATTATACGAATATTTTGTTTAAATAGTTTCAGTAAATAAGTGTTGCTAGTTGCGACGCACCTCTAGTATATTTCTTGCAGCTCCCAGCTCTCCCATGTTATAACCTCGGACAGAATAAGGTCCACCGAGAGTAAATGCATCGTAACTGGGTAGATCTCCAACACATCCTCCGTAGTGGCCGTGGAGAACTAAAACCGGAGGAGGTGACTTCCCAGCACCTTCTTCTACTTCCTTTAGCTGGAAAAATCTTGTCATTGTTAATTGGTGTCGATTAAAGAAGGGAAACTTGCTGCCAATTCCAAGTCCTTGGTCGAGCTGCAAAAGATATATGAAAAGGAAAAAAACTGAGAACACGGTAACTTCAATCACAAAATGTAAAAATACCTCTATATAGCAAGCAGGCCGCAGGCAGGCACAAACAATTCTTAGTGAAATTCAACATTGGAGATTTGTTAATACACAAAAGAAAGAAAGCACTCCCAGAAATTGATACGGACTTATCACATGAAAGTAGTATTTAAACAACTAAGGATGTGATTAGATATGTTTTGAATTATTTTGTGATTTTGAGTTGGTTTGAGAATAGTCAAAAATTGTATAGAACATAAGCGTTTGATGTGGCATATATAGATGTTGGACCTGATATTTTGAATAAATATGTTTTTCGATGTAATATTCTAAACAGAAAAATAAGTTTGATAGTGATGTTTTTAGAAAAAAATTATGCTAATAGTATGAACTCATAAGTAAACAGAGACTCCATTCCCTAGCTGGCTCCAACTGCAGGGCTATTATTCAATTAGATAATACTGCCACAAGTCCAAAATAAATGCAAGAAATCCAAACAAAGAAAAGAAAAAACTTTCAACTTAATTGGAAAACATCACATCTGCAACGGCATATTATTGAAGAGATACACCTCTGACCGAAAAGAAGAAGATTAGACTTTGCAGACTTGAATTTACAATTTGCGAGAAGGTTAATCGACGTAAAAGTACAATTTGGACGCTATGAACTTGCTAAAATAAACATTTGCATAGAATAGAATTCACTTCAGATAAACTACAGACTACTTTGTTTTTATTCTACAAAGGACTTAAGAACGTTTATATATCTTTCTAGGGGAAGAAAATTGTTGAAAACAGTTAAAAGTATGCATAGGGTCCACTGCAGTGAATCTACAAGTCAGTTTACTCACTTCAACTAGTTTAAGCCTACACCAAGAACTAGATACGAATATCATGTGTCTATGATTGCCCCGATACATAAGCAATCACATATAGTAAAGTAAATGCTCATCTTGACCATCAGTTAGAACAAGCGGAACATAAGGTACACTATAGTAACTTAATTTATGAACACCTTCTGCAAGAAGACTCCGGACAGATGTAATATTAGCTTTATTAGACTTGACTAAATACCACAAACAAACAGTTCGGCTCCTTAGGGCCACTAGACATTAGAGTTGGTATTTCTTATGTTTTGTAAATTGTGGGCGGTGGGAGATGAAATATATAAGAAGACTAATAAAATGTATCAATATAAGACAAGGCACAGAGGTTAAGATTATGCAGCCAAGAAAATTTTGAAGTTAAAAAGCTCATTTCACCTGGAACACATTTCTCTCTCCTACTATTGCTCCATTCAAAAATTTGGTATTGTCGCGAGTTATATTTGACTGCAGAAACACCATTCTGTCAACTCCAGTGCCGCTAAGGGTTGTGGGTGGTCCATCAGCACTGACTCCACCACTCGGCAAAACTCTTTGACCATTTGCAGAAATGTGGCTGCTTTCATCACGGGTGGTAATCTCTTCCATCACAAGTCCATAAGTAAATTTGCTTTGACGAGTGAAATTCTGCCATATACAAATAAATCACATCATTTTGATCACAATGTTAATCCATCAGTCTAATCTTTCCCTTAAATTTGAATACTAAATGCAGATATCCCCACAACCCATTGAATATATTATCACACTTGAATGATCAGGTTTAAGATGAGGTTCAGTTAATAATACCCACAAGATATAAATGTATCAGAAAGGAAAAGCATACCTCCGTAATATTGGCTTTAACCCCAGTTCGGTCAACCCAAATGGGCGGAACTTCTTCTATTCCAGGTCCTCCAGTGAAGACTGGACTCAGCTTTCTACTATTGAAACAGCTAGCACGGAATGTGCGATTACGAGGGTTGTACACACCATCTACATATGGATGAACATAGTCTAGCTTGAAAGCAAGATCATCCTACATAGCATAGTAGTATGTCATTACATCAATGAATATAGACTGCAGATGTATTGTGAGTTCATTCTGAAAAAGAAATTTTAATTAAGATCAAGATAAATGTACCTACCTGGGGATTGAGAAAGTTGCTGGTGGTCACCGAACCTAGAAGTGACCTATTCAAACCTTTAATATTACGGTGTTCGAAGGAAACAGTTCCACCTGGTTGAATTGAAGCCTGAAAAGGATATTTTACAATCATAATACTTAACAATGAAAGTACAATCTCAAATCCACTACTTAGTATATAGAATTGTAGTTAAAGTTGCTTACTAATGTAGGACGACCACCAGCACCAGGAACAATACTCCACTCGGTACTGACTTCAGCAGACTTCTGTTCCAGCTCCTTTAGCTTGATTTCAACAATAATACCCCCTTCATTTTTCTCATCAGGTCGCGGATTTACCTCAATGTTGGAAAAAAGAGTCAAAGCATTGATATTTCTCAATGCTTGCTTTCCGGCCTCAATGTTAAAAACCTTTCCTTGTCGAAGCTGTAACCAATAACACAATAACATCAACCCTAAATCAATCTCTCTAAAATCCCATTTGCATGAATTATTTTCAAAAGAAGTACAACTATTCAAACTGCATACCACTAAGCAACTAGCAAGATCATGACAATCTAAGGAGTATTTAAGATGGTTAATCTCCAAGATAATTGGAAATGAGATACTTATTTTTATTATTCCCACAATCACGTTTAATCTAAAAGGAATAACCAACCTATCATATTGATAAACAATTATAAATTTATAATAACTCCCACACAATTATAAATTGCACAAATCAACCCCAAAACAGGAAGTTAGCAGATAAAACATTAAGAGTTTTTCATTTTGAAATCATTTACTATGACAATGTTTCGAAAACCAGGTGTATGACCACGAATTCACAATTATTGTTAAACCTACAACTAAGTAAATAAGCCCACTTAAATTGCCTTCAAGAATCAAGACATGCCCAAAATCAGTCAAATATTTGAAACAAACAAAATGCTAGTAAACAATAACCTGCTTCGGCAATTCTCTCCTTATCACAGGATATTGTGTATTCCCCTCACAAACATTTCCAAGTTTATCCTGAAACTGAATCACCAACTGCGTGATATCACCCTCTACCACTTCACAAATCACCTCTTTCGTATTCAAATTCCCAAAATTAACAACTTGGGCACACGCATACCCATTCTCTTGATACCACTGCTGAACCCGATCCCTAATCTTCTGCAACAACCGCGCGCTCACCTTCCCATGCTCCGCCAACATCTTAAGTATCTCCCTCTCCACTGACATAGGCAACAAACATGGCCTCGCCCTCTCAATTCTTCTCTTATAATCCTTCTCTTGGCTCCTCCAAAACTCTATCCTCTCCTTTTCTGTCATATCAGGGTCCATTTCGATCGGCTTCGACTGCGGCAATAACCCAACATTAATGCATCTGAATCTATCTGCATACTGCCATGTGGACTCAAGATATGGTATTGTTATCTTGATTGTCCCGTCGGGATTCGTTTTTGTTTCTAAATCGATTTTTTCAAACATTCCACAAGTAGCCAGAGATTCAAGCTCCTTTTGAAGCTGAGCTTTCGTATAAATTCCCCCTGGCCGCAGTGACACCATTTCGAAGAAGGAATCCTCAGTGCCTACAGTCGATGCGCGCCTTTTATCGAAGAACAGAATGTCGGACACTTTGTATTTCTTGAATCCACTGAGCTTGTTCAACTGGACCACAATGTTCGCCGGCAGGCCGTGCGAATCCCACTCCTGTTCGGGGTCATCGTCTTTAGCGACGGCCGCCGGAGAAAGAGTCTGAGACCAGAAATCACCGCCTTCCCCTCCTTCTCCTCCTCCTCCTCCTCCACCACCGCCTCCACTTCCCCCGCCGCCTCCCCCACCGCCGCCGAAATTGAAACCAAATTTGCCCAAGATCGGGGTCGCCAGACGAAACAAAATGCAGGAGGCTGCGGCTACACCTGCCGATTTGGCGGAGAAAACGCCGGTGAGAAGCGGCGGCGGAAATTTCGAGGGTTTAGGGTTTTGTGAAGAGGAATCGGAAGGGGTAGATGAGAGATTGCATTGGGTAAATGAATTGCGCGACACGACAGAGGATGTGCCCCGACGACGGCGAGCGGCGGCGGCGGATGAGGTGATAGGAAGGAGATGAACGGGAGCGGCGAACGACGCCATTGGCGGCGAGGTCGAAGGGATTATTGAAAGGGTTTAGCACCACGCCACTGACGCTTGATTTTCCAATACGCTCTCCCTTATATGGGATTTTTTATTTTTTTATTTATTCAATTTATTGATTTATCTTTCCATATTTCTTTGATAAAATATGGAGTATTATTTTATAAGTTTTTTTTTTACTTTTACTCACTTATATGGAGTATTATTTTATAAGTTATTTTTTACTTTTATTTTTTTCCAAATTTTGCGCTAGTCAACTTTTATTTTATACCATAAAAATTGCGAAATTAACAAAATTATCCCTAACAAAACAAGTAATAGTATTTTTTCCCTTATGCAAACGTGTGATTCTTAGACTAAGTACGAAAATGAGTAATAATTGTTATTTTTTATATAAAAAATATAAATAAATGTATTTTTTTAAGATAATAAAAATAAAAATTGAATATAAATTTAAATGACGAAAGTAGTATTAAATTTTTAATTTTTTATGCCAATATTAAAATCAATTATAAACAATTGTTATAAATGTTTGTGTTTATATGCATACAAAAAAATGGAGGCAACATGATTTTTCTAATTTTTTTATTCATAAACCTAAGTTCTGTTTATTTGTAGGATTTTCACTTTGATTTTACTATTTTAATTTTTTTTACTCTCAAAAAAATCAAATCGAACACCTATTATTTATTTATTATATTACACAAAAATTTTATTTTATATTTAAAGCATCACATTAATATATATATATATTTATATTACATCAAATTACTATTTCAATTCAAAATATTACTATTTAAAATTAAAATCTTCCAAGTAAATACACCCGTACATATTTATGGATATAATTATAATCATGATTAATGATTGCTACACTACACATAGATTAAATCATGTAAGAAAGTTCATGCATATGTCACATACAAAATTGACTTACTATATAATGTTCTTAATCACAATGAATATGTTTCATTAATTTATTTATTTTTTGGAAAAAAAAATAATAATAATTCATTGATCATTATCATAATTGTTTTATTCTATATTTTTTAATTTTACAAAATTCTTGAGAAAATAGTAAGGGTGTTCTTTCTTGTGTCAGCTATTAGAATTGGAAATATGTCATGTTTCCTTTTTTAGAAGTGTATTCATTTAAAATTTTATTAAAATTTTATTGAATTTTAAAAAGTTTATGGATTTCATTTTAGTGAATTTTATTAATTGTTAATTAGTTATTAATTTATATGGATTTATAGGATTGTAAAATATATTTTTTTATTAATTTATATAATTATATAAATTTATATAAAACATGTAGATATTTTTTTATTCAAATTATTAAATTAAAATATAAATAAATATTTTAAATTTTAAAAAATACATTATTATTATTATTACTACTATTATTATTATTATTATTATTATTTTCATTATATTACGGTCTCAATTTTCACATAGCAGTAGCAATATTCATTTTTCATGTATTAACTTTCGATTGTTTATGAATTTTCATCTTCCTTATAAAGATGAGGAAAATTTTAAATTTCATATTCGATTGAAAATTCATCTGATATTATTTAATAAATATTTTTTAAAAATTATTAATGATGTAGAAATATTTTAACATGATACTCTTCCGTCCTAATACAATAGTCTTATTTACCATTTTTCTCTATTCCAAAACAATAGTCTTATTTCTATAAATAACTATATCACCGTAAAACTATTCCTACTTTTTTTTATTACACAATTGTCACTACTTTTTACACTAATACACTCACAAGGACAAAAAATTCTTTTATCCATGCTTTTTACCAACTACTAATATAGTATCAATATTTCACCCAATCCAATTAAGACTATATTTATGGGACAGAGGGAGTACTATTTTTGTATATTAATATTTTTTATATTATTATAATTCAGTATATCAATTTATTTTAATTTATATTTGGTATTATGATTTATATATTTATTACATAAAATAAACATATATATAAAATCAAGATCCAAAATTACGATTTTTGCAGAAAATATTTGAAATTAAAAAAATAAAATAAAAAAAAGAGTAAATATAAATTAATCATTCAACGAAGAATGACACAAATAATGTATTTGATAATTGAAAATATATGATAATTGTAATACATATTTATTATGATAAAATATTCATATTTTTAAAATTTTATATTTATAATATTAAAACACATATTTTTTTAAAAAATAGATAATAATTAGCTAGTATATTTTAATTTTAAATTATTATTTTTATTAAAATATTTTAATAATGTTATTATATTTATTACTCATACATTAATAATAATAATAATAATAATATATTTTCAAGAATCTATCAAAATACCTGCTTATTATGAGAGATTTTGTACAGTACAAATTTTTTATAACATTCTATTAAAATTCAATAAAATCCGTAAACAAGAATTCTAATACCTCCAAATTTTATAAGACTTTTAAAAGTTTGAATTGAATACAGATTTTAAAACATTTTAAAAATTTGGATTGAATACATCCAGATTTTAAAACACTTTTAAAAGTTTGAATTAAATACAAGCAAATTTTTAAAAATCTGTTAAAATCCTATAAAATCTATATTGAATATACCAGTATAGATAGCATTTTTCAAAATTTTTGAAAATTATTTAAGGTTAGCTTAGTTTAGATTTTAAATAAAAAATATTAGTATTGAATGAAAAATACATTATTATTATTATTATTACAAACTATTAAATTAATATAATATATAAATCAAATCTTTAATAGTAAACTAAAATTAAAATTCACACCAAAATCAATAAGACCAATAGTTCTTTTTCTAATTTATTCTATTATCACATTCTTCAGTAAATTATTATAAAGTTGGTTCACCTTATATTTTTTTTATGACATGATTATCATAAATATTAAAATATATATATATATATTATATGCACTTTATTAACACATATAATAATCCAAAATTACAACTAAAGACACCCTATCATACATTACAATTCATATAGAAATATATATGGTACCAAAATTAAGAATTAAATTGAAACTATATATTTTTTTTGATGAGGGGAATCCGCAACTATTTTTTTGAATACGTTCGTACAAGATCGGTAAGTCGATCTCACATTACTAGACTATCATTTAAAAATATATTATTTTATGTATATTTTATATGAGTGATAGGTGTTTGGTATTTTTAAATAAAAATTAATATATATAATTAAAATAAAAATTAAATAATTTAAATACATAACTATTTAATGAAAATTTAATAAATTCCTATAAAAATAAATTGGTTTTTTTTTTTTAAAAAAAAAATAAAATCTCTGCCCTATATATATTTATACAATACACTAAAGAACCATGTATACCGGAGTATAAATCGATAACTTGACGGTCTTATCTTAAATTTATTCTTTACATCGAGACATGAAAGTAATCTTTTGGTTATATATAGTAAAATATATTTTTATAGTATAAATATATGGACCTGCTTCATCTGCGGGGGCTCTGAAAAGTAGTCCATTGAAGAAACCGTATGCAATGCATACTCGCTCATATGCATATTCATTAATTTATATATATATATATATATATGATTATTGATTGAATTCGTGAGGAAAAAATATTTTAATATTGTAATGTAATAACAATAATTATTATTATTATTGAAGAATGGCTCAACTTGAGAGATCACGAAGATCCACCGAAAGCCCTCAAACGCCAAGGACTTCTCCAACGTCCCACCATCTCCACATTGGTACGTCCCTATTATTCTAACATATAATATTATTTTTAATTTTAGGTATTTTTATTATAAAATAGAGAAGCGATAAAAATAAAAAAATAATAATAATAACAAAAATTCACGAGAAATGACGTTTTTATTAACTTTTGGGTATTTTAATTAACTTCTATTTTTATATGTATATTTTTAAGTAATATTTTTGAAAAATCATTATTATTTTTCAATAATTGTGTAATTCAACTGCATGATGTACTTTGATACGTGCAACTAGAGCTGACAATGGGTTAATGTCATGTTCTGTTGGTTTTTATTGGTCGAGCATAATGTATACAATGAATTAGTTGAATTATTTAAAATTAAATTAAATTTAAATTAATATATTAACAAATTATCAAATTTTAATTATTTTACTTATATAATAAATATATTAATCAATATTAATATTGGATTCGTATTAACCCGTTGAAATATTTGACCAAAATTCAATTATTTCATATCGAGTTCGTATTTAGTTGTCGTGTCAGGTCAATTTTTGCTGACTCTACGTACAATTATGCCTTTTAAATTCCTATCTAATGTTTTTACTTGATGTTTGATTTCACAAAATATCGTATCAAATATTACACAGTGGAACATGAGGAGTACGGGACACCAACATTGAGCCCGGGACACGGCTACGACGGAGAACCGTCGGAGGATCCCAACACTGCTGGTCATAACAAAAAATCGGTGCTCGCGAAAGTGAAGGAGAGAGCCAAGAAGTTGAAGCATACTTTGAGCTCGAAAAGTAGGCGACATGGAAACGTCAACACGACGACCCCCATGCCGTCCGGGGGGTTCACCTCCGAAGACAGCGACACCTTTGGTGACGCCGACGATGAGTTCGACGAGGATATCGACGAAGATCCCGAATATCTCGGCGCCCCAAGTAATTCTCGATACTTTTTTTATAAATAAAATAATAATAATAATAATAAAAATCAAGTGATCTTTTTAAATCACTCGATATAATCAAAAATTTCTCTGCATTTTCATTCAGTGTACGAGTCAGAAGCAGCGCCCGAAAACTTAAAAGAGCACGCTAGGCAACACCCGCGAGCCGAGCCCGTCGTGCCCGAGAGCCACAAAATGCCGAGCGAAAACAAAACGACGCTTGACGAAGCTTTGTCGTCGGGCACGACCCAGAAGATTGCATCTTCGATCACAAATCTCGACGTTAAAACTCCTGAACTAGAACGCCCGGCGATCTCGCCCACGCAAACTCGAAATGCGGCGCAAAACCCACACGGAGTCGGGAGTCAGCATACGAGGTACGAAAGCGCCGTTTCCGACGCACTCAAGGACGCCGCGAGCCCTACGATAACGACCGGGGAAACCAGCGTGGTCGGCATGGTTAAAGAGGCTGTGTACTCGGTGTTCGGCAGTCAGGAGTCGTTGGACGCCTTAGCAAAGGATGCACCTGCAGAGAACTTGTCGTCGTCGACGACGACTTTACCAGCCTCGGAAAATATATCGATCTCTCGACAACAGAATCACTATGCGCCGAATGCCAACTCCGCGCCTCTCATAACATTTTCAGACACAATCGAAGAAGGTAAGACTTCTTACCGTTACTTTTATCGACCATCAGTTCTTTCTCCAGTGTTCGTCTGAAGTTGAGATCGAATCTTTGTGCAGCTGTCGAAGAGCAAAACCACGGGAAGATACTGCAGACTAACTGAAGGTTCGAAAGCAACACAAGATATATACGACGTAAAATTCATTGTTTTCTCCGTCTCCAAGAATTTTGGATCACCATCTTCGCGCCATTACCTACTCGATTATCATATGACCTGCAGAATTAGCAATGTAGTGTATATATATATATATATGTATATGTATATAGGCAGTTTGATCGCGATTAATTTGTTCGTATAGTAAAATTTTAGCGTGTACGTTATGTAATAGCTTCGATATGTTATGTAGAAATGTATGATTCTATAAGTTCGCCGTAGAAATTCTTTACATGTTCGATCAATCTATCAAATATCGACATTTGAATATATACAATACATACCTCGAGTCTTCACTTCAAGATCTTCGATTCGATTTCTTCCAAGCTCAAGCCTTTGGTTTCGGGAACAATCGCTATAACAAACGTGAGCGCGAGCAAAGCAATGGCTCCGAATAGAAGGAAAAGATTCTCCGCGCCAAGCAACTCCTGAAAAGAACAATGTGTTCGACAATATATCAGAAATTGGACACGATATGAAGTATACGAACAAACATGATTATTACACTACCTTCAATGGTGAGAAAGCAAACGTTACGATGGCATTGGATCCAAAATTAGTGAGCACGGCAAGACTGATGCCTTTTCCTCGCGTTCGAAGAGGGAATATCTCCGACACCATGAGCCAACTAATGGGTCCGAACGATATCTAAAATTTTGAAATAGTATCGAAGATTTTGTTCAGTTGCGGATATGGTTTTCGATAGCTAATGTAAATAATGTCCAAGAATAACTATATTCTTCGAATGCGATTACAGTCTTAGTAAGTAGACCGTGTAATAACCTGATAGCAACCGACGTAAAGCAGTAAGGAAGCGACAGCGACGAACGGAAATTGCCCGAGGAATTTGTAGTACGCGGAAAGCAGCAGAAGAGAGAAGGCCTGTAAACAATTCGATCTATTTTTATATCGATTCGAGCTCAAGGAAAACAATCAAATTCGTCTCGACAAATAGATCTTTAACTCTAGCTATAAACATAGAATTTAACCAAATCTAAGGAGAAATAAATTCGTCGTTAAAGAACATATTCGAACCGCTTGTTTCATACTTTCGAATACTTTTGCGACTCAAGCTCAGTCGACTAATATAATCAATGAGTTAAACTTAATCGATTACGTACAAGACCAGCGACGCCACCGATAAGCAGAGGTCTTCTACCAAGATCATCGACCTTTAGAACGGCTACTCCAGTCATGAGTAACTGAAAGGATAATGTAAATCACACACCATAAATCGACATTATGTCCGAAATAGACAAAAAAGACTCCGTAAAGGACGGGTGTACCTTAAATATGCCAATGACAACCGAAAGCTTTGTAGCATCAGCAGCAGCAGCGAATCCAGCGCTCTTTCGACAAATAGATGAATTAGCAGACCAAAAAGACGCGATTTTCAACACGGCGAAGGAAGAATAGTACCTGAAGGATTGGGCCAGCATAGTACAGAACACTCGGTTGTCCCGTGATCTAAGAACCGGGAATATACGCTGTAATTAGACTGTAAAAGAAGAAGACAACGATGAAACGTAATGAAAAAAAAAATGGCGACAACCTGTTGAAACAAGACCAATCCTCCTCCAATTACGAACGCTTTCAGATTTGGCCCTTGAAAAACCTCGAGAAAACTTCCTTCAGAGTCCTGATCAGCGTACGTAGCTTTCAGGGAGTTGAGCGTTTCTTCGATCTGCTTCTCGGATGACTTGGCATCAACGGATCCACCTCGTAGTTTTCTCAACGCTTGAACGGCCTTGTCTTTGTATTCTTGTAGCTGTGCTTTACCTTGAACGATCCTGAGAAGTAACCATCGAGGAGACGACGGGAGGCTCGACATGCCTAATCCCATAAGTAACGCGATCGGGGCGCTGAAACCGAACATGTAGCGCCACCCACCAACAGTATTGATTTCGAAGCTACCGACGAAATAACCCAACTGCAGTTCAACGTAAATGTCGATCATCTAGCCTTCAATTTCGAAAAATAATGCGCGAAAAAAATCAAGATGGATTGAAGCCGTACCAATATTCCAAGAACTATGAAGAGCTCCTTTAAAGATATCAAAGTTCCTCGAATTTGAGAAGGACATGTTTCGGCTATGTAAAGTGGTGCTCCGTGCATTGCCTGTAGAATTGTTTTCACATCAAAGACGGGAAATTTTGCAGCAGACGAGCAAAGAAAAACCTTAAAATTCTCACCACGCCAATGCCAAGACCGTACAGAAGACGCGCGATCAGAAGAACTTCGAGGCCGGGAGCATAGGCCGTCAACAAGCCACCGATCAAATACAAAAGCGACGCAATAATGAGTTCTCTCCTCCTCCCTAAAATGGCGAAAAACACTTATAAGTTATAGCCATAGCTATCGTAAAATTAAGAACAAACAGAGAAATGTATCTAACATATAATGTACCGAGGAAATCAGCAAGGGGAAAGACGATGAGCGAACCAAGAAGAGCTCCATATAGCGAGCCACTGACCTTGATTTTGGAAAAAAGAAGTAATTACCAATAAACTACATGAACGAAAAAATCGAACCACGAGAAATGACATTGCATACCACTAAACCGAGCTGAACAGATGAAAGATTGAACCAGTTTGTACCGCTGAGCTCTGGAGACTGTAGGACTAAACCATAGTTAATCGAAGTTCAGTTCCAATACGGTTTCGGGATAAATAAAGTGGGAATTGTACCTGCAACGAAATGGTAGCTCCGGATGTTGCGCCAATGTCATAGCCGAATAGCAAACCACCCAAAGCAGGAAACAAAAATCTGATATTGTGCATAGAGAGAAAGTTATGTCGAATGAAGTATAATAGGCAGCCTATAAAGGAAACATTTCTGCAAGATGTAAAATGTGTACAACAATAAGCAAGAAATCGAAGATCGAATGGCAACAGAAGAGCTTGGATATATAGTGCTCTTATGGCTTCATCTTAGGCTTCACAATATAACAACTGATACACAGAAAATGACAGAACTTCTTTGAGGAAGAAGCAAAAGGAACATGGAGGAACAAAGAGACCATTGGTACTACGGATCATCTTTAAATCATGCTTTTTGATTTCAGTTTCATTTTCTCACTCTAAACTAGTCAAGTCGATGCAAGTTCATAAACATGAACGAATCCAGAAAAACAAAACTATTAGAAATATTTTACGGAAATCCTGAAAATTGCATTATTAATCATAAAAATAAGAAGCCTGTATATATGGGGACCATAAAACATGCTCGTGGATATGACCAAATTTAAATCTAAATTTAATAAATCTAAAATTAAATGTCGAAAATCTCTCAACATCTTCCCTCAAATTCAAGTGGGATCGCATAAACAACTTGAGTTTGACAAAAAAGTTAAACACAAACCAAAAGACGCAAACGCAGATAACAATAACCGCTTGGTCCGTCGTTGCTGCCGCCGCTCTGGCCTTTGATCTCATGTTCTCGCACATAACAGTGGCTCGTCCAAAGTCACCTTCGCCGCCGCTCTCAACTAAACATTTATTCTCGAACACAGACACAAACTCTAACACAAACGCAAATAACAATTATGTTGTCCGTCGTTGCCGTTGCTGCTCCTGACTGAACTTCTGTTCTCGCACATAAAAGTTGATTGTCCGATATCTCGTCCGCCGCTCTCAAAAAATCTTCTGTTCTCGAACACACTCAAATTCTAATGATTGGTTTGTTCGTCATTGCCGCCAACTGAGCTTCTATTCTCGCACATAACAGTTGCTCGTCCGACGCCAACTCCACCTCTCCCAACAAAACTTATGTTCTCAAACAGACTCAAATTCTAATTCAAACACGCAAAATTGCAGACAAATTTCGAAATGGGAAACCTCTGGATACATTTCAGATTAAATGTACCAGAGAAACATAGGTCAATATAATAGGTGTTTGCTCGAGACCATCTTAAGCGTAACAAATCTAAAACTAAATATAGATAAAATTTCAACAAAAACAATTGTGTTTTGCTTCTAATTTCGCACTAGTTTCAATTAACAGAGTGTAATTCGATTTTCCATTCAACGAATCGAATCATTACAACACAAAATTGCTTCAATCGTAAGTAAAATCGACAAGTTCTTTCTTACGGTAAGATAACAGAAGACCACGCAAAAGCCTCCTGATCTGTACTTCTTCCATTGCTGAACGATTGAGCTTCCTCCGGAGAAGCTTGAACCTAGATTCCACCAAAAACCAACAACAATAATAATAATAATGCAATGCAATGAGAAAGAAAAGCATCACATCACAATCTGTCATGTCCTGCAAATTAATTAATTGATTAATTACCTTTATCAATTTGGTCTTGGAAGCAGCAAGCCGCAGCGGAGGCATTCTAAACCCTAGCGAAGATGAGCGGGTGGGAAGAATCAGCTTTTTGGCGGAGGAGCAGAAATGAGCTCGTGGGTGTCTTGTTTTAGTGAGCTTGGGATTCAAATTCAACAATGGCGATGACGCCCAAATTAGAGCCATGCTTTGCCCCCGCACAATTCAATAAAGATTAAATATGTATATATATATATATATATATAAGGTTAAACAAATGAATGGATTGATTCGATTGTTGGGGTTGGGGTGGGGAGGGGAGGGCGAGCGAGAAAAGCTTCCCTGTCCTGTCCGAGTAATTAATTACTACCATTGGTGGGCTTCGAATAAATAAAAGGATGCGGTGTCAGAAATGTCAACGCTTCTCTACACTGAGGTGAAGTTTGGGGTTTGACTGCCTTTTACAACTTGTTAAAGAAACTTATCAAAAGTTTCTCTTCATTTCCGTGGCATTATTTTACTTTTTGTTTCAACAAAAAATTATATATTATCACCATCGATGATTATATATTATAATTCCAATTTATACTATATTATACTCTTTCCGTTCCAAACAAGGTGCAATATTTGATTTTGTCATGGGTTTTTAGGTGGATAGTATTAACTAGGATAATTTAGAAAATATGGGGTAAAGATTAGGTATAATTAATTATTTTCTATTTTGGACATGTTGCATGCGTATTTGGGACGGAAAGAGTACTTTTATTTTACACAATACTAATGGATATTTTTGTCTTTTTCACTGCAACTTATTATAATACTAATATTAAAAAATTTAAATCATTTTATCTTTTTTAAATCTTAAAAAATGCTATTCCATCCGTCCCAAACACCTTGTAACCTTTCGTTTTTTTGTTTGTCCCAAAGTCACTGCAACATTTCTAAATTTAGAAATAATTAATAATATTTTTATACATATATTAATATACACTTCACTTTATCTCATCACATTACTTAAATAAAAAAAACTCATCACATTACTTAAATAAAAAAAACAAATAATCATGTGTCAAACACAAATATGCACGGTATTTAGGAAAGAGAGAGTATTGGATAAACTAAGTAAGGAGGGAGAGAGTTTCATTGAGAGAATCTGCCGATGCTGATGCTCTTATATTACACTCTTCTCCGTTTTGTTTTTTGATAGCTTGCCACCAATCTTTTCTACCTTTCCTTAATCATATGATGCCATATATATTTTTGTTTTAAAAATACATATGACATCGTATAATTCGTTGGTATAAAAAGAGCAGGGACTAACAAAACCAACTCTTATCCTCTTGTCCTTCTTCAATTTGGATTTTAAAAATATTTTATTAGTCTATTCCATATAATTTGTTATTTTTTTAAAAAAGTATAACTATATATTTTACATGTACTTTACTTAAATTACATATATCTACACCAAAATGATCTAGGACAGACAAACTATATCATAAAAATATCATTTTTCTCTGCAAAATATCATATCTATTATTTTCAAAAATTTTCAAAAACTTAAAAAAACTGCTCTCTAAATTGATCTTCATATTACCACAGCATTCCAATTTTCATTCAAACAATAGCATCTGACAACAAATTCACCTTCAAAGAAAAACAAAAAAAAACAAAAACAAACAAAGAAGATAAATAACCAAAGGTGTTCAAATGAGTTCCCGCTTGAGTAACTAATTAATTTGGTCACATAACAAAATCTGCAGAAGTAAATTTTACATAATTCCATATTCAATTGGGAGTTTTTTAAACTCTTAACACACAGGAAGCAAAAACTCAGTATGTACATGGGATGGGGCCAGCCAACATAACTCTTTCCAGTTTTCGATATGTCAAATACAAAAAGGGTAAGGAAATGTCTCCGGTTTCCTCAGAATACACCAACAAAGCTAATTGGGGTTAATCAAAAGTCGAACTCCCCGGTGGCCTGAGAAAGAAATGGAGCAGCAGCTAAACTAAATTAACACTAAACAACGAACGAGCACAGTAAAAATGGAGATGGTGATTGGTTAAGAAATAGGTCACCTTGTTGAACAGATAATCTTTATTATTTATGTGCATAATGCCGGATTTCAGAGTGCATTTCCACCTGCTCTTGGTCCTCGTCACCTGAAAAATATTCATCCAACGATGTATTTTGAGAAATGGCACATTGGAAAAAGAAATGCTGTGGAAAACAACCAGGTTGCGGAAATTTGTGTTAGCACCTTGTCGAACTGAGCTAGAACCAGATGCGTAGTGTCAAGATCCTCCCCCTGGTCCACATCATCGAGATCATCGTCATCATCTTCATTCAAAGGCTCGTCGTCATCGTCATCTATAGGCTCATTTGGAACAGGAGCAGGAGTTGGTGCTTGCATATCTGAAAGTGTAGATGGGTGGGAAATCAGTGGTAAGTGGAAAATACTTGCTAGGCATCTGTAGGTGATGTACAGTATTTACCGTTTGGCATTGGTGTATTCACTATATTGTAGTCTTCATTTACGACTCCTTGATAGTTGTATATCTTTCGAATTCAGAACAAAGCACCCAAGTTAGTGCATAGGGACGCTAACAGTAAATCATATCATAAGAAAAATAGGAATAATAAAGGACAAGTAACAAAGGAAAGAAAGAACATAATAATGACTATATTAAACACACGATGCCAACACTGACAAATATTAGCTGATTGCATGTTATCATTGACAAGTGTAACTCACGAGGAATTCACATTGAAAAGTGCTAGTAGAATAGGATGCTGTAAGATTCACTCAAATCGCCACTATTCTCAATAACAAGAAACTGATCTAGAAAAGGTGAATAAGTAAAAAGCAAATGGTCGCAATATTACAGAAATAATGTGATCAGTGAAAGTGAATGAAACAACGCAAAAGGGGGGTAATCAACAGTTACCAATGATGCCCATACTACAAAAAATTTGAAAACAAAAAGGCTCAACTTACATTGGGTGTAGAAAGCACGTCATCGTATGGATCAGGTATTGGACCATCCAACTGAGTAATCCTTGACGATGAAGTTCCCCTGTCAGTGAGCATTTCTTTGGCACCCCTTTGAACCACCTGCTGAAATTAGAATGAGTAAGAAAGAATACAACTATCCATGTCGAATGATCTATTCTAACACTAAGTACAAAGAAGGTGGACAAGATTAAATCATCTTGCAGATCAAGGTCATTGTGAACTTTCATTGTGATCATTTCTAAACTACAAGGCCTAATGAATGACACATTATTGAACAGGGCGATGTACAGGGCGATGAAGAAACATTGACATAGTAAAGCAAGTAGATAAAGATCATTCTCAATTCAACAAACAGATGGCAGCAGCATTCAGTCTCCTTTATTTCTACAAAAAAAAAAAAAAAAAGAAAAACCCTCTTTTGTGGCAATATGATTTTCCATAATGTTTCTATTTTAAATATTCAGTTTTAGATGTAATAGATTTATATTTAGATTTGGTCTTATCCATAAATTAGATTAGTTAGATTTGAATCTATCGAGTCCGTTTTGAATTGGCATATATAGGCCTTTATTTTGATGATCAATAAGACAATTTTATAATTTTTCCTCCAAAATTTCTAACATGGTATCAGATCTTACTTTTCTCATGTCGTAGATATAGCCTACCAACCCGCATTTCTCCGGGTACATTCAAGCTGGAATGTACCCGAAGGTCTCCCAATTTTGAAATTTTTTCTATAGTTTCTAGCCCTTACTTATTCTTGTTCTGATTTTGATTTTTTATTTAGTCCTGATTTTGTCTATATTTGAGAGCATTGTTTCTAGCTTTGACACGGTAGAGCAGCAGCGGCAACGGCAGACAATGAACTGTTATTATTTTTTTTTGTGTCTTTTGCGTTCGTATTCAACTTTTTAATCAAACTCAAGTTGGTTTTTGTTATACAACTTGAGGAGATGTTGAAATATTTTAGATATTTAGTTTTAAATTTAGTATATTCAGGTGTAGTAGATATTTAAATAGTTCAAACAACTTAAGAAATAGATCAAAATGTAAAAAAAAATAATTCCAAAATGTAATCATTGCTAGAAAATGCAGAGATGCTATAGATCTTATGAAAAACAAAGAATCAAAATACTAAAAATCAGCCACGAAAGATATCCAACCACTGGGATACAAACCAAATTTCTCAATACACACGAAAAACAAATTTCAATAATTAATCCATAGTTGTCAATCACGGATAGCAGTACTTAGCGGTAAACATCTAAAATGCTATAGCGGGATAACGGTATGACTGCTATTTAAATATTTAAGAATATACATACAAATGATTATATATATACAAAATTATAACAAAAAATACATAAGAAATGCCTATATAATGTACCTTTTTTTTTATTATAATTGCATAGTTATCATTCAAACTAATAAAATGTCAAAAAAGAAGAAGATATGATCATAATTGTTAGATAGTTATATAAGTAAAAACAATTAAATCACTATTGTGTGATAGATATATATCAAAGCTAATCAGATTCAAAATATATTCTTCCTCATCTTCGTTCTCATCCATTATTCTATGTTTGTCACCTTACATAATATCATTTCCCTTTTCAGGGCTAGAAGTACCTATAGTTTATTTCTCATTGATGTTTGCATCCTAGTGTAGAAAGCAAGTCCGTTAGCTCCAGTAGCATCAACAACTATCCTAGTCAGATTATCATTATCAAAGACTAACTTTTCTTCCGCAATTATCAACTTTTTTTATTAACCACCAATTGGAATCATTAATATCGTTCAAAACAATAGGACCAATGACATCATTGCTACCATAACGATCTAACAAATTTTGGTTATACTTAATATAAACCAAATTTTGCAATTTTTGGCTTTCTAGTTTTTTTCTTTTCTTGGAATGAATTTAAAAATTTAGTTAAGACTTAAATAAATGTTAGTTTCTTTTTCGTCTATATTATAATAAAAAAAGGTACATTATATAAGTTAAAGTCATATTTTAATTATTTACGTGTTAAAATATAATTCAATGAGCTACAATAGAGGTATAGCGTAGCGTAGCGGAATGACGCTACAGGTGGCTGGGCCGCTATTGCGTAAATGCGGAATAAAATATAATTCAATGAGCTACAATAGCGGTGTAGCGTAGCGTAGCGGAATGCCGCTAAGGTGGCTGGGCCGCTATTGCGTAAATGCGGAATTGTGGAGTGGCCATAGTGGCAGAGTACCTCTCCGCTATGCTACGCCGCATTGCAACGCTATAGTGCGCTATTGACAACTATGAATTATACCTCAATTGGAAATTCCACATACATAATTGTCCATATACACATATAAAAACTCATGTAACATCTATGTACATTCTACACATTGAAAGTTACTTAAAGACACCAACTAAAAGTTAAAACTAAGTGTTGGGAAAATGATCTTATATTTATATAAGAATTAATTGCCACTGCAAAATCTTTCACAAAGCTTGACACATTCTCATTCATAGTGGAGATTTGAATGCAAGACCACCTGCTCACCTCCCTTGAAATATATTTGTTTTATAATATGAATAAGTCTATAATTACCAGGATACAGAATTCTCCATTATCTAATGTTAGAAAATACTAGATATACAAAACACTTATGAAGAACATAAATTCTAACCATGGCTATCCACACCGAAAAAGGACTTCTTTCATCCTTCAAAAATATGTGTCACAAAAAAAAGAGAATCTTCTAAAAGAACTTATGAGCACCAATTTGTCCAGAAACAAACAAACGCGCAACGGCTAGTGCAACATCAGGAAAAAGGAAAAACATACGACCCGGAAACTTAGTGTTGATGTATGTATCTCTTTGGCATATGAACTGTCTGTTAATTCAAGACAAGAAATCTAAAGTAAGATTAATATATATATATATAAAGAAAGATTTGAGAATTGTTCTTCCTTAACAACTAGGATCCAAAAGGTCTTGACCTAAGGCTATGCTCGAAAGGATTATAACAAATAAAACAACTACCTCTGTGTCCTATTCAACAGACAGCCAGGCAACAATATTTGCAGTACGGAAAGCATCACAATCAAAAGCTCTACCTTCAGCTCATCTGATAGGTTGTCCCCAGCTCCATCTTGTTGTGGGATGTATCCACCAGCACGGTGACTCGGGTGCGGAGGAAAATCCTCCCGTTTCCGTTTTCCAGAAGCCACGAAGAAGTCCTGCATTCAGTTATTCAGCATCAATTTTTTACCAATCAAAACATAATAATTAATTAAAAGTGCATCTAATGCAGAGAACTGAACCATAATGAATCAACACAATCCCAACATTAAATATCTTGTTGCCCGAAATTCTACTTTCCATTCCAAAGAGATTTATAGAATCAATATATGTAACTGTTAGAATGTTAGGGCATATATTTATTTTGTACCATCTAAATTACGATTTGTTGCTTAGTTAATATTTTCCACCTAGTAAATTATTTTATTGGTTTAATAAAATTTTGATTCCAAGTTTATTTCTATTTAAAAACTACTTTTTATCTATTTGCAATGTAATAAACCAAGTGCACAATGAGGTCAAAAGACATAATGCGAATGAAAGGCACATAAGAGTTCAGTTTTTCTGTTCTCTAAGCTTCGAATTTGCGTGCAGGGTTGGGAAACTAACATATAAGATTCTGGTGTCCAAAATAGTTTACTATATTTTCGATATCTGAAACAGATTCAGAAAGTAATTCCCATTATTTGTGAAGAAACTGGTGGTATTAAATCGATCATAAAGTAGGCCCACCAGTTTCATGAATCATAAATCAAACTCAATCTCTTAAACACAAAGTATTTGACTAGCAGACTACATCGAAGGGTAATGACTAAATCACTGAATGGTACTCAACCATTATGTGGTTAAATGTTATCAATTTCACTATACCTGAAAACCTCTCTTGACAAAGTTTAAGTAACTTCTCTAAAATATAATTCTTAGTCTTCCAATTATATCACAAAAAAATATATAAATGCTTCTAATTGAAAATGGAAATGCAAAACTTCATTTCTCAAGTGGGGTCATTTGCAAAACAGAATTTAGCTAAAATGGAGCCAGGATAAATGAAACTAGACATCATAATAATGACTCTTATTGATTTTTATTTTTTCTTCTTTTTAACTGCTATCTGAAACAATAAAATCTTTATGCACTTAAAAATGTTTATTTCAACTTCTTACAAAACATAAAGCACCAAATGTATCTACTCAACTCCTCTTGCGAAAGGAATAAGAGATGTCTTAATGTAACTGTGAAATTCAAAAGGATACAATAAAGCCCAGATAGACCAATTGCGCTAACAAAAGTGTTTTTAACCATTCTTAGTTTCTTACGATCAGAACAGTCCAAGAACATCACAACCACAAGTATTACTTGTTAAATAAAATCTTCATTAAGCATTTGATAACAGTGCAAAAGGCAATTAGGTTTTCGCTATTATGGAATGATTCGGTAAAATCCAAAGAACAAAGTAGTTCTTCACTCTTCAGGTCCAACAGTAGATCTTGGCATTCCCTCAACACAAGAAAAGTTTATGATTGCTAATAACCACTAGAATGTAGACTTTTTATTGTGAAAAAGGTGTTCAATAATACCTTAGTATTTACGTAAGAAAATTCAAGCAGTTTCAACAACAATCTCTAAGTTTTCAGTTAAAGCAACTCATAACAAGGCTCATAAAAATGACCCACAAATGACAATCACCTGAGTTGTTGGCTGATGGAGTGCTCCCCTGTCAGCGTCTTCCCGACCTTCCACATAAGCTACAGGAAGGGGAAAAAATGAGTACATTGAAAGATAAATTAAGAACATTTCCTTCCACCAACTTACACCCATATTCGTACACTGCCACTGTTTTACATCTCATATATACATGGGCCATTTATGAGAACTTATACCCATCATACTCACCAATATTCACATCAAGAGGCGGCCTTTGGTTTAACCAAGATGATGGTGGAGGCTGCAGAATTGAAAAACACATAATAGTTTTATAAAAACTCAGAAACCAAATAAAAGGCAGCAGACATAGATAATAACTTTATCCTAGGTGAATTGAGTTTCAAAAAATCTTTCAAGAAACACAGTTCTAATAATTGGGGAGAGGCAAGTTGCAGTCCTGCAAAAACATTGCAAGTAAAGGAAATGACGATACCATATATGAGCTAGGTCTTCCCTGTCCACCTTTTACCTCAGGAACACCACCATTTTCATTATTAGATGTGTACTCATTAGGCGTAATCGGAGTGCCGCCAGTAGGAATATTATACAAAGAACCACTATCACTTCCAGTGAGAGGAGTCGGAGTTGTTCCAGGCAATGGAGTCTGAGGCATTCCCGGCAATGGAGTCTGTGCAGTTCCAGGCAATGGTGTCTGCATTGGAGTTTGCAACGGCGTCTGCTCACCATGAAAACCAAATAAATGGTCAATCCATTACCAAACTCAAAGATGGCTCTGCAGTGACAAAACACAGATTCCTCACCGGGGGGAAAAGTAAATCAGCAGTGGGGGTTTCATACTCCTCCGGGCCTTCATAAGGCACGTTCAAATCGTGCACAGGGTTGGGCGTCATGCCAGCACCTGCCCCTCCCTTCTGCGACGCTGACCTATCTATCGGACCCACAATTGCCCCAGCTTGCATCATCTTCAGCTCCCATAACTGCAGATTTCAAACATAAAACTCGTCAGCTCTTTCATCCCAACTACAGATCCAAAACTTTCAAATCCAAAACCTTCAAATCCAAAACCCTAACTCAATCGGAAAAATTAAACAAAAACAAAAACATCACCCCAATTAAACCAATAAATTGAAGTAAAACAAAGTCAAATCAAATCATTACTCCTTGAAGCTCCGTCAGTATCTCCTCCCCCTGGCCGCCATTATTGACGAACTCCTCGCGAACCTTGTTGATGACGTCCTCGATTACTTGGATATAAACATTGCTGGTGATAGAGCTCGCCATTTCCGCAGATATTTCCTGCAAAGTCAAATCCGGTCAACGCGATTACAGAAACCGCGATCGATTGTCCGCCAACACTGAGAATACAGACGGTGGGGTTTCAGAGTGAGAGATTCGCAGACAGAGAAACGATCCCCCAAGACAAAGAGAGAGAGAGGGGTAGAGAGAGAGAGAAGAGGCGGAACAGAAAAGGGAAATAAACAGCGGAATATAAATACGTTTGCATCCGTTTATGTCCGTAAAGTCCACGTGGCGTCGTCTGATAGATCTCTGCCGAATTTTCAATTTGTTTTTTTTTTTTTAAAATCAGTGTAATAAAAATATATTCGAGACATAAATTAAGGAAAATGGAAAATGAATAATCTCGAACAGCATGAGATATTTTTTTAAGACAAATATCGGGTGGTCTGCTGATGTGAAATGTCTGAATTGCCCCTCTCCAAGAAGATAAGCCCTTTTGTAGTTGAATCGATATTCCCTCCATGTTTGGTTGTATCAATTACAGGTATTCCCTCTTTGCCATTGAAATATTACTATTTTTTATTTTTATCCGTTTCAAAATAAGATTATTATTTACTAATTTAGTAACTACTTGTAATAAATACTCTTTCAATTTACAATATATTACATAAATATCATTACTTTTATATTATACCATACTAATAATAATATTTTTGTCTTTTTTACTACAATCTAATATAATACTAATATTTAAAAATTTACGTGCAAAAAGCAAATATTACCCTTCTAATGGGACGGAAAGAGTCTTAATATTTACCCTTATATATATTTCGATAAACATTTATTTATAACTTGTAAAGGTTTTTTTTTTAGTATAAAATGGATAATATGGTAGCATAATAACAAAAAAATATTAAGGTCTATATTTATATAGAATATGTTCACCCAAACTTATTTTTTGGGTGTGTATGTTTGGAGGTTTGGATTTTGAGTTGGGATTTGAATAATAAAAATTTTGAATTTGAATAGTTGTATGATGTGATATAAATATATGTTGATGTGATGTTTTGAATGTAAAATTGATTTTTAGTATAATATAAAAAATAAAAAATAAGTATTTGATTTGATGTTTTTGGAGAGAAAAAATTGGATGAATAGTGAAAAAAAATTTCAATCCCTCAAACAAACATACCCTAGTGACATGATCCCCACAAATTTCAATATGTTTTTTTTTTATTAGAAAATATCTTTTGAAATTATTTTTTTTAAATTTTAAAATTTTTATATTATTAAAGAAAAAATTCTCTATAAATTCATAGAGATATATTTTTAAAATTCTAATTTGCTTATTAAATTATATTGCTATATTGATATGAATATATAAATTTAAACATATGAAATAATATATAAATATAGATATTCTCAAGGAATAAAAAATATAAATTCAATAATACTTCCAAGGTGAAATCCAACCATTTGAATCCCACGGTTCTTAACATTTGGGTTCGAAAAAAGCATCACATGGACAACACCGTTATTGTGAAATTCCAACCTATTAGGACTACAAGTAAGATAAAATTGGCTCTATTTACAAGTAAGTATTAATTATGAAAGACAAATGAATAGATGTTTTTGGTGGTCAAATTGCATGAATTATGCAAGAACACATCATACTATTTATGTGAAAAGGGGTTTTGATTGTGTTTTCTTACCTGCACAACAAGGTGGCTGTACAGATAATTGTGAGGAAATAGTTGGTTGTTGGAAGAGTTTTGAGAGTTACGTGCAGTGAGAGAAAATGTGTTCAATTCTCTCAATCTCAATCATTCTTTCTCCATGTATTAAGTGAGTGCTAATCATTTATACCTGCCGGAGACCTCGTTGGAAGAAGAAGAAATCGGAGTTTCGATTAAGAGAAACGTCCAGATTCTAAACAGTTTTACTCCGTGGTCGTTGTCAACGTGAGTTCGACATCTCCGAATGTAGAATTGTTTATATCCTAACCAGATAAAAAAACCCTTGTCTCCTTTACTGCCTTATATTTATGTATGCATTTGGTTGGCACGAGGGTAATATAATTTCGCTTCAAAAATTGGCCCTTAAATAAGTATTCGAAGGAATTTTAATAAAACACCTATTCCCCTCACGGTCTCTGGTAATATGTTCGTCCATGTGCTATCCTCATATGAATACTTCAAATGTTAGTTAGATGAGATAGGTTTTATTAATTTTTAAATATTTTTAAACACAAATAACGTAATTATATTAAAAATGATGATTTATTTATTTTATATATTAAAAACAAAAAAAGTATTAAAGAATAGATTACACAAAAAGTAAACCGTTACGTCGTCGTTTTATAGTGGGCGAAGTTTCAATTGAATATGCCCAACGACGTCGTATTGCACCCCATAGGCAAATTCACACACCACAAGTAAGAACGCATCGTACTTGCGTTTAACAAAGGCGCTTGAAGAATCCGCTGTCCCAAAAGAAAGCCGCTACTCAAACCCTAGAAAAATGTCGGGCGGCTTTTTCCGGGTAGGACGTTCTACTGCTGCCTTCATGATTTATGCATCCATCGACTGAATTTAATTATCTCAAATCTTGATTCATCTATGCTTCGTGGGAAGTAGATCTTACCCGCTGTATTTTTTATTAAGCGAATTTGTGTATTTCTTGTTAACCAGGGCACCTCGGCTGACCAGGACACTCGATTCTCGAACAAGCAGGCGAAGCTGCTTAAGTCTCAGAAATTCCCCCCCGAATTGGAGAATCTGGTGCGTATTTTTGGGGATTGTTGTTTTTCTTCTCAAAGTGCCCTTTTGTTTGAGGCTTGTAACCGCGACGTGTTTTGCCCTTCATTTGAATTTCTGTGCCAATATTTATGGTTGGCACTTGGCAGTAAAGCTTGGTATTGTGTAATAGCACCACGATTAATATATTGCTATATGAAATTATTGTTGTAGCACTTTTGAAGAATATTCAAGTAGAAAGGAGTGTTTGTGTTTTCTAGGGTGTCATGTTGTTTTGGAGATATGATGAACTTGAATTGAAAACAGGTGTGTACTTGATGATTGGAATTAAAAATAGATGTTGAATGTCATGTTTTAAATAGAATTAGGTTTCGTATTCGATTCTTTAAATGAAAAGTAGGTATTTAACGCGGTGTTCTTGAAGGGGAAAATGTTACTGTATATTATGTAAACAAAATTTAAAAGGCAGAATCGCATTTGCTGCTGGAGCTGTTGGATGTATTATTTATACAGCGGCATAGATTGAATTGGTTTGACACTGTTAACCTATTTGTGCGGTTTGTTATTGTAATATTTTTTTAGTTCACTTAATGGTATTATTGAGGTTTGATTGTCTCAGTGATATATTTTTTTTTGTTGTAAATTGTTCATTTAGGTGGACATGACGAAGGTTAAGATGGATATCATGAGGCCATGGATAGCAAAGCGTGTAACTGAACTTATTGGGTTTGAAGATGAAGTGCTTATCAATTTTATATACAGTCTTTTGGAGGGAAAGGTACTTTGTATAACATCTCCTTTGTTTTGAGATGTGCATTGTATTGTATTTTTGTGAATTTTGTGATTCACAAACTTAGCTGTTTCAACATAGAGTTTTGGGTTTGATGTTGTTGACGCAGGCAGTAAATGGGAAGGAGGTTCAAATTTCACTAACTGGATTCATGGAGAGAAATACAGGGAAGTTTATGAAAGAGTTATGGTCTCTGCTTCTTAGTGCACAGCAAAATGTTACGGGCATCCCACAACAATTTCTGGATGTAAAAGAGGAGGAAACCAAGAAGAAAAAGGTTGCTCTTTTGGTGGCTTCTTTCTGCAGAAACTTGATCTACATGTGTTATGATGGCTTTGGCTTATTTTGATAATGGTTGTTTTCTTCATCACTGCAGGCTGAGACTGATCGAATAGCTAGTGAAATTAATAGGAATAAAGAAAGAGAGAAGCAGGAACTTGAAATGGAGAGAAGAAAGACGGTAACCTTTTCATGTCATCCTAGAGATTTAATGAATATAACTAGATTATTTTATGTTAACTCTTGTTTCTGTTTTGTTGCATTCAGCTTGATTCTGCTTCTGCAATTATTTCGGTTCATATCCTTTACCTCGAACTGCTGTAGGGTGGTGAAGATTCATTTTCAACTGATAAGCATACTGAGTTAGAGATTGGTGCCAAGCACAATTCAAGGGAGTCTAGCATACTGCCTGCAGATGACAAAGAAAGAATTAAGAGAAATGGCAGGAGGCAGAGGTACTAATTTGATGCTATGAATTACTGTTGCTCCTTGTGTTGATGTTGCTTTAGGAATCATGGGATTTTAAACTATAATTAAGATGAGTATTATACCTAAAAACTTAATTTTATCTTTTGGCAGTTTGTTAAGGCTGTAGTTTGTATCAATTAGACTTTGTTTGCATTTGGGAATATTTACACTTGGAAGTTAACTGAGCTACATGAAAGCAAGGTCAGTGTATTTGAATTGAATGGAGCACAATTAAATATCTAACATTTTCTTTCTAGTAAGCTCCCTTCTAGATGTGTCTTTTCAGACATGTTCTCGAAGGGCATGGTTAGTAAGAGGAGAGAGCCAAATTAGCCTTCTTCTGTCTGATTAGTCATAGGATTCTCCTTTTGTGAAATCTTCTGGTCTTTCTTTGCCTACAGCATCCTAGATGGCAATTGACAGCTTTATTCCATATATTCTTAATAAGTTAAAAGTTTTCATATATGCAATCGTTTGATCTTCTTTATCTTTAACAAGATTTTAATCAGTTACAATGATTGTCCTTGAATTTTGTGCATTCATTTTTACTTTTGGAAAGTCTTTAATGTGCCACTGTAGTTACTCATCTTTCATACTAACTTCTTCGTTGTGGTTACGATTTCGTTTCATAAAAGTTCTAGATTTTTTAATCATTTAAGCTGTTAATATATACTTTGATGAGGCATTTATATGGATTATTATAATATTATCACTGTTTTCACTTTATACTATCTTATAGATAGCTTTACACTTAGTTCTAAGAGTTGCAGCATTGGTTGATATAGATGATCATAAAGGTTGTCCATGGTTTACCAAGGCATCAAAATAGCAGGATGATAACTAAACTACTTTCAGAGACTGGATTCCTGAGCTATTAAAAATTGAAATATTTAATGTTAGTAGGTAGTAACAATTAGTTTTCAGAGACTGCCTTTGTAGTGGTAGTAGGTAGTAACGATTAGTTTTCTGTTCCATTTATGTTATACTCTTTGAAAATTGTAATAATGCGCCGTAGAAATATATTCAAGCCTCTGAATTGCTTTACTAATATATGTTCCTTATGCACAGGGGTTCACATAGTCCAGATTCGGCTTACCATTCTCAATCTCCTAGGTATGCGTCTTGAATGACATAATGTTGTTTCTATGGAACTAAGTGAACATTCAATTTATTCTGTGTTAAGTGTGTTTACATTAATTTGTTCCTCCCTCATTTGATCAGGAGGAAGCATTCAGCATCTCCAAGCAAGTCCTCCAATTCTAGAAGTTACTCAAAGTAGGTTTCCATTTAGGAGTAGAAAAGAATCTGTTGCTTTCTTTGTATGATATAGTATGCTAAGCTGCTTTTGTATGTACAGTGAAAGAGGGAGGTCAAGAAGCAATTCAGGAGCACCAACATCAAGAAGTCGCTCCATTTCCTTGGAACGACACCGCCGTCGTGGTAGAGATCGGTCTGTGACGCCCATTAGGAGGCATAATGTGCGACGCTCTCCATCACCCAAGCATGCATCATTTTATTCCAGGCGAAGATCAACATCGCATTCGCGGCACAGATCCCCTTCTCCTGTACGATATAGACCTCGCTCTCCTCTCCGCCGTAGATCTCGGTCCCCCATACGCCGGAGATCTCGAACCCCTGTGCGTGGTAGATCTCCCTCCCATGTTCGCCGGAGGTCAAGGACACCATTACGTAGATCACCAGCACGGTTAAGGTCCCGAACACCTTTAAGACGTAGATCGCCTTCTCCGATACGTCGTAGATCCCCATCTCCTATCAGAAGAAAATCTCCTTATCGCAGGTCGCGATCTCCGGGCAATTACAGTTCACCATCTCCAGTGCATCGTCGCATAGCATCTCCAATGCGGCGTGGCTCGCCACCTTCACGTCGCCAACCATCACCCTCTCGAAGACGGTATCACCGGTCTCCTTCAACCCCACCACGGCGATCTGTATCTCCAGCTCGAGGTAGGTCATCTTTGCGTGGCCGGAAGAAATCCTTTAGTCCTGCTCATCGAAAATCTACTCCCGAAGGATCTAGTTCGCCCTCCCTTGACCGCCGTGGTTCTCTTTCTCCCATTGAGAGAGGATCTTTGAAAACTGTCAGATCATCAATGGAGTCTCCCCGAGGAAAAACCAGGTTTGTTATAGCCTTGATGTTTAAAGCTTCTTTTCACTTTAGATAAGCTTAACATTGGAATAAATTTTAATATATTTGATGCATTGATAGGACTAATAAAATCTTATCTGTACCACAAAAAGCTCTAAATGCTGTAGCACTGCTAATGGTAAATGAATACTTGTTGATGACGTTTCTCAGAAGTATACTCAGTATTGACTGATTAATTTACTATTCATGAGGAAACAAACAAGCCATTATCTGAATAAGAATGACATTTGGAAGGCAGAAATAGGTCTATAGGCTTGTTTTCGTGCTTTATATACAACTTACAAACTAAGATTACACTAGTTTTCCTCAGAACAAGCTCAGTTACTTTATATTGTGTACAAAAAAACATTATTAAAACACCAGATTCTGCAGGTGACATTGTATATATGACCAGAACCTGTGTCTCTCTCTGGATCATGATGTTTTGGTAACAAAAAGATTTCAATTTAATGCTTCTGTTAGACTTCCTGTTCATTGTATCATATCTGCTGCGTTCACATACAATAGCTGAATGAAGCTAGCATGTTATATGGAACTTATAGGTTAAATCAGTTTGTTACCTAGCTTACAACTTGTTTCCCTTGCTGTAGATCATCAGGTGACATGTCACTCAACTCATACTGAATTCTTCAATGCCCTGTATGATGCACTAATGACAAGGTCCTGTTGCGATTTGATTAGGAGGCAATGTATCCCGAAAATAATCAACTCGTTTGGCCTTTGGTCAAGTGGATAAGTCTAATATGCAAGGAAAGCATGCATATATGATAACCATTTGTAATATTTCTCTTAGGGAGGTAGCAAAATCTGTGAATTTCAATTGTTAAAACTGTAGTATGTTTCTTGCCTTATATTTCTTAGATGTACACGATTCTAAAAGTTCATCTTTTTTTTTTTTTTTTTTTTTTTCTCCAGTAAGTGATCTACCTTAGCATAGTTAAATCTTTATTTTCTCTTGTATTAGTCTTCATCTGCATCTTCTGTTTTTCCTCATGTTTGTAGAAGACGTGGTGCTTATTCTCCAGTTCAGGGTGCTTCTGATAAAAAAGAGGAGCTTCCAATGGATAGCCAGAGGGGAGTAAAATCTGTGGAAAGCAAGCCCGTCATTTCTCTGAGGTCTCCGCAGAGGGATATGCTGGATCAAGATGATTTACATGAAAAAAATCATGACTTGTCGGCTTCTAGGTACAAGTCCTCGCTTGTGTCGCATGTTTCCAGGAGCAGAAGTTACAGTGATGATAGGAGGTGTAAAATATTTTTTACGAGGTTTGTTTTCCATGATTTGGTAAAATATTGCTTGATCTGAGTTTTAAAGTTTTTTCTTGTAGATCGACCAGTCCTCATGGTAACGATGAAATAGATGCCCCTGGGACAAAGTCCAGAACGACCCAACTGCGAAACAGGTTGTTATTGCTACAATATTTTGCCTATGCGTATTTGTGTTTGTGAAAACTGACCTAATCCGTTGATGCTTTTGTTGTTTCATTGTTGTGTGACAGTGATACGGTCTCTAATAAGATGGATGACGATGACAATGATGGTGCTCGAGTTACGGCTAAGAAAATAAGTCAGGAAGATGATGGCAAAGGCACTCGTCAATATTCGCAACAGGAAACTTCCCATAAACCAAGGAATTTCAGGGAGAATGATCAGAATGGTTCTCGGGATTCTCCATCGAAGGAGGCTAATGAGAGCAGAGGTAAAATCAAGGAGAAGCAGAAACGTAGGAAATCGGATAGCCAAGAGATGGAATCAGATGACTATTCAAGCTCTGATTCCTATGAGGATAGGAAAGAGGCTAAAAGAAAAAGAAAGGAAGAAAAAAAGCTGAAAAAGGAAAAAAAGCGACGCCGCCGGGAGGAGAGACGCAGAAGAAGGGAAGAGACGCGAGCAGAGAAGATAAAGCTGAAGTCAGGTGATTCTGACGACAGTTCATCTCCTGATCGAGGGCGACGCCATCCTGAAGAGAAACATGTCAAATTGCAAGCCGAGGCGCAACTCGATCAGAAGAAGCTTGAAATAGAGCTCCGTGAAAAGGCTTTGGAGACGCTTCGAGCCAAAAAGGGCCTCGGCAATTGAACTTTCTGATGCTCTCGAGCATTTCGCCGGTTGCTTTTACGAACGTCTTGTTGCGGTAATGAATGATAGGATGAATTAATGTACTTACTTTACTGTGTTTGGTCTTTCTGAAATGGATGAATGATGGTCTGAGGTAACGAGGTAGTAGTCATTTGAGTGTAAGTTTATGCCGAATTTTCTGTCATACTCATTTACAGGCCTTTTTAATGTTTTCTAAGATGGAATTTAGTAGATGAAAAAGATATGTATACATTTTCTGTGTTCTGGAAATCTTAGAAGGACCTATTTGATGTTGTTTTGATTATCTATCACTTCCATGAGCCAGTTTTTCATGTCCTCATTTTTACTAATATATTTTTTAATCTGTCGATGATGTGAAGGTTTTTGGAGGAGTTAACAACCATAAATTTGTCAATGAAAGAGGTTTATATATATATATATATATTTCCTTGGTCTTTTAACAAATTATTCATTTGATTTATTTTTGGCCTGTTTTATAAGAAATTATTCATTTTTCTTTAGGCAACGATGCTATAATATATTAAACAAATATCATTATATTTATATTACACCATATTATTATTTTAGTCATTTTTACTTCATTTTTACTATATATTAATATAATACTAATATACATAAAAACTATGTACCAAAAGTAAATGAATATTTACTTGTAGGACGGAGGGAATATATATATATATATATGTATGGTTAGCGGTGATGATTAGTGTTGTTCAACATTATGCCGTGTAACTCCAATCAATTAGCACGTTGTAATGACATATATTCAAAAAAAAGAAAAAAATGAAAAAGTTATTGCATACTAAGAAGCAAATGAGCGTTGAAATAAAAGACGAATTAAGCAAAACTTTAACATTATAATTCAGACATATGTTACGAATCCAAAGTTTCGAAAGATTTAACTTGATGTGTACTTATAGTATTATATAAATATACTTGATTATATATGGTAACGATGTTACAATATATATTTAAAAATATTAATTTTGTTAATTGATGTTGTTTATAGTAGTAGTGCTTAGAAAATATAATGTTGTATTAATATTTTTTTATTGTTAATATTTAAAATATTGAATTTTACAATTTAAATTTTACATCAATTTTTGTATTGCTCTGCATATGTAAAATTAAAATATTTTATTTCAATTGTTTAAATATTAATTATTTATGACAATTTATTCACATAAGCCGTTGCATGTGTGGAAAAATTTTGTAAATAATTTATTATTTATATGTGGAGAAATATATATCAAACTTATTATTGTGGCAAATAGTGTGTTAAATAAATTTGTGGCAAAATATATTGCAATTTGTCATGGTAGTTTATGTGAGCGATATATTACAAATTGTCTTATGTAGCAAAATTAACTACACTGTTTATAGCCACTAAATATATTTTCATTATTAATTTTGTAACAAATTTATTAATTATATATATTTCTAAAAATTTTCAAAACTAATATTAATACTTTATTGTAGACACAACACGACACAATAACACAACCACATTATTAAGTTAAATACATTATTAAGTTAAATACATTATTATTATTATTATTATTATTAGGTACAAAACTTAAAAACAAACGTATATATAAAGAAAAATAAAGAAAAAAAAAGAAGAAACGTAATAATAATAATAAAAAAAAAACGTAAGGGGAAGACAATAAAGAAAAATATATGTATATTATATTAATATAGTTATTTTGACAAAAATAGTTCATTCAAACACTCTATATTATTATTTTGATTTAATATCTTTAATTAAAAATGAGTTTAAAATTTTAAATTTCAATATGAATATATTAATCACTTCCAAGCACTAAGGTGCATATTGGCCACACCCATTTTCAAATATAGTCACAAGGGGCATAGGATCCTCGGCATCAGCCTCCCCAGCCCCGCTCGGACCCATCACTCAAATATGATATATAGTTCCGTAAGAGATAGTCTGGTGATGTGGGGTTGGACTTATGACTGTGAAATCATGGGTTCAAACCTCCGACGCCTCAGGTCATCTGTCACGTATGGTTCGTCTAGTGTGATTTGCCTATCAGGCCTAGTTTGCAAGGTATTAGGTTAGACCGAGAGTTTACCCGGCGCATACTTTCGGGTAGCGACTGCGGATTTTCAAGTCTAATAAAAAATGAAATATATATCATATAATGTATATATATGTATATACATATATACACCTATATATATATACATCAAATGACACACTCATTTTGAAGTATATTTAATAATCATGTCATAAATATTATTCAATCATTTTATTAGAAATATCATTTGTATCACACTTTATGCATAAATATTCTTTAAGCAGATAAAAAGATAAAAATGTACTAATAAATTTAAAAACAAATATTTAAGAAGAAATTAATGAAAACAATGTGTAGACCCTTTTTACTTTAACATAATAATAATAATAATAGTAATAATAATAATAATAATAATAATAATAATAATAATAATTTTACAATTAATCTCACTAAAAACATGATTATGTTCTTAAAACATTGCATAAAATTATTTTTAGAAGGTTTTGTACAATATTTTAAAAATACGATATAATTTCATATAATTTTTACAAAATTTCATACAAATTTTAAATTACAATATATGGTACAAAATTATCAAACTACATATATATTATAAGCAATTTTGCCATTATTATTTCCATGTAACGTCCCAATTAAAATGAAGCCCGTGCCTCACTCGTGCCACTCGCTCGTGTTAATTGAAATTATGTTTAGTTAAGAATCTTAATAAAATAAAAATATAGAGTGTGATCATTCAAACAATTTTGTGTTGATATGACTTTGAATTAATATTATAAAAAAATATACACAATATATTTAAATTTTTAATTTTTAATTTTGGTGATTTCAATTTAAAATAACCGATCCCAATTTCAACAATATATATTTTTTTTCCTTCTAAATTTTGGATCAATGGATTCAATCAGTATATCACATAAAAATAATCAACATATATTTTTACATAATATTATAACATTATTAGATATCCAATGATATCCACGACCAGTTAAAATCCCTAAACCTTTCTCTTTCAGCACAATCGACGTGCAACCAGTAGCAGCATTTCTTGCATTCTAATGCTACACCTTCTCTTCGACCTTCAATGGTATAGTTGCAAAGCCCGCATGTGTAGCTGTAACTGGTGAGCAGTTGAAAAGAAGTTAGCGGACAACTGTGGCACCCGACACGGACACTCCCTCCAAATTTAAACTTGGACAATCGATCACCAACACGAGGAATGCATCTGGTGTGGAACAATGTGACGCATTTTTCGCAGTGATAAAAAGAATCTTGAGTGTCCACGCCATCTTCGCAAATCTCGCAGAATTTGTCATCATCTTCGAGGCTGGAGATTGACGCAGAGGATGATGAGTACATGAGCTTCAATGGATGCCTGTCGAGCTTGTGCTCTACCGTCGATGGTAACAGAGCATTACGGACATCTAGCTTGCAATTATGACAGCTGCCGCATCCATAGTATAAATTATACAAGGAATAAGTCGTGCTATACTTGTTATAAAAGGAACCGCGTGAGAGAAATAGAATATGCGACTTTCCATGTGCTTCGTGAGTTATGATCTCCGGCATGAGAGCACAACTCAAATCTAATATTCTCTGACATTCATTGCATTGATAGGCAAATCCGTTGCTCATTTTGCAGCAGCCGTGACAAAAGAACCTATTAGGAAAAACATTCGATAGTCTTCTTTTTGGCATGAAAGTCCAGCTGGATCCACTGCAATATGGATGCGGTATATGCAAGAATGGCGGCAGATTAGCGCAGCATTTGTGGAGATAAAAATCAGGGCATTCGGAGCAGCTGTAGAATGGCCCCGAAATGGGTTCGACACATGCGTCGCACAAATAGCGGGATGAAGACGACGACGACCCCTCTAAATAATCCTCATGAAGGATCAAAGAATGATCATGTATATTGTCAATTGCTACAATATTCTTCTCATTGTTGTTTTCGTTGCTGCTGCCGCCATTGTTGTCCATCCTCATATACTGCATTGCACTTTTATGTTCATCCATCATTGGAAAATGAATTAGCCCGCCAACTGCTTCTCGGATCGGCACTGCATTCGAGATATCACATTAATTATAACAAACACCAAGAAATATGTGCATGGATCAGCGGCTCATCCGGTCAAGTCAGCTTCGTGCTGATTTGATCGGATCAACTTATGTTATAAGAGTAACCAACATATATTTATAATACTAACACGTATTATATTATAATACAATACACGCTGAGATATGTACAAACATATGCTGGTCACCCGTGGTCTGGTCAAATCAGCAAAGAATTTGCTGCCTTATCAAATTCTTATTACTCATTAATTGTGCGTACCATGTTCAAAGCCACCGTGTTCTTCTGAAATCGCACACTTGATGTGAGCGGCAAAGTCGCACCTTGTGCAAATATATACTCCGGAATTCTTCGATAACTTTCCGTGGCAAAGTGAACACTCAACACACTTTATCTTTTTCAGAGAATCTTGCGGAAGATGGTAGGTAAGAGTGAGAGAATGTTGTTTATGCTTCTCATGCCGAATATTGTTGTGCAACAAGGCGCAACTCTGATGAATATAGAAGTCACACAAGCTACACCAATAGAACTCACCATTGCCCACAGATTCACAAGCTTCGCAAGTGATCAAAGCTGATCTACTTCGAAAAGGGACCAATGTGTGCTTATGACTTCTGTGTAAAATATCGACGACTAATCTAGCACATATTAAATCTATTGTGAAACCACACGAACCTTGATGACATTGATAGAAGGAGCCATTACACATCTTTTTGCATTGGGTACATATGACACAACCACTAGCAGTATTGCACTTATAAAACTGGAAGGGTACCATACGATTCAGAGTATACAACTGGAGGGGTACCTTAAGATGCAGAGGATGGTCTGTTAAAACCTCGGGTATTTTCCAGCAACATTCATGGAAGATATAGTCTCTATATCTCTTGTAAGGCGTCGAGAAGATGGGCAGTGTGCAAGCATGGCACAAATTTTCATTTCCTTCATCCGGATCGAGATCGTTTTCGTCGACGCTTTTATATTTATGAGTATATATCACTTGTGGGGCACGACAAATGTTTATGTGATCCATGTTAATGCATACAAATTTTATACTATGTAGGTATGTATATATATAGAGAGAGGTGTACGTTGTCATGCATAAACAAAAGCAAATCCACAATTACTTTAGTTGTTCCAAACTTTTTTTTTCGCCACTTTTTGTTTTTGTTAAGTATTTTCTGTGTATGATATATATATATATATACATATATTATGAAATAGGTGTCTAATTCAATATTTTGTAAGCTATCAAAATTAATTAAATCCAACCCGAATACATGAATTCATTCAATGGATAATTCTCAGTTTCGACTCGAACATCCAAAATGGAAAAAAAAAAAAAAAAAAAAAAAGGTTAGATTTGGGTTGACCTGATAATACGAATGTAAAACCTGATTCACTGCATGTCCTAACATTCAAACCCGGAATGAAAAAAAAAAAAAAATTCAGGTCAAATTTCGGATGTATTTTGTATTTTTGGGTTTGTTTCGTGCTTGTTACTTAAGTTTCATTATCGGGTGTCTTGAAACATAATCGATTAACTTGAATCCGACTTAAAGAAATTCATGAAGTGTTTTGAGTTTGGAATTTTAGATTGAAAATAAAGTTCAGCTGTATTTGAATTTGCAATCTTTTAATATCTATATTTCACCCCAATACGAAAATATTTATATGAAAAAATGTATTGAGTGTGTTATTAAAATAAAAAACAGATTGAATTACGAAAACATAGACACACATTTCACTCCAAGAATAAGGAAAGAGAATCAACAAAAGATATCAAATATCGTACACTAGACGTTGTAAATATCCTTTTGAATAAATAATTAATTTTTTGTAGGGAATTTAATTGAAACTTGCCGACTTTAATTTTCGTATCCTTTTCTCTTTTAAACTTTATTATTAGTACTCCAAATTATATTTATAGTAAAATGATTGAATAATAATTATAACATGATTATTAAATTATCATACAAAAGCAAACTATCCTTGTGACTATAGTTGAAAATGGTGCTACATGCATATAATGTGCACGTTAGCTCTTGGCATTGAGTAATTATTTTTAATGAAATTTAAAATATTTTTTGAAAATAATTTTTTAATATTTAGATATTAAATCAAAATAATATTATAAAGGATGTTTGAATGCATGAAATGCCTTTTGTTAAAATTACTTTAGCAATAAATATATTTCATTCGTCCCATAACTAAATATCAATATGCTTTTTGCACATAATTTTAGAAATATTAGTATTATATTAGAATGTAGTAGCATTAAAATAGAAATGACTAAAATAACCTTATTAGTATGTGTGATATAAAGGTAATGACATTTGTGTAATATATTGTAAGTTGTAAGGATATTTGTAATGTTAGGTAGATAGTACAGTTACTAAAAAAAAGAAATGAATACTTTGTTATGAGACCGACTAAAATGGAAAAATTGATACTTTGTTATGGGACGGAGAGGATAGAGTATATATGGGTGTCTTTGTTCGGGGTTTTGAATTTTGAGTTGAGATTTGAATGGTAAAAATTTTGAATTTGAATAGTTGTATGATGTAATATAAATAGGTGTTGATGTGATGTTTTGAATGTAAAATTGATTTTTAATATAATATAAAAAATAAAAAATAAGTGTTTGATTTAATATTTTTGAAATTTTTTTTTTGAATAAATAGTAAAATTTTATCTAAATCCTACGAACAAACCCAAAGTATATTTTACTTTATTGTCTCATTCTTTTGTTTATTCTTATTTTTTTCTCTTTTTCTTTTTCCTTTTCCTTTTCCTTTTCTATTTTTCTGTGTTTAAGTTTTGTACCCAATAGCCTAATAATAATAATAATAATAATAATTCATCCTATTTCAAATTTGTTAAATCCAAAAATGGTGGTTGTGGTAATTAAGACAATATATAATTTCTTTATGGGTTAAATATAAAACAGAAATTTTATAAACCACATAATGTATTTTATGTTATCTATAAAATTATTGATGGATAAGGTCATCTCGAATCCATACACTTTACTTATACAGTTTTAATTCCAAATATGGAGTTGCTTACACTAGTTTTACTCTAACTATAATTCTACTTTTCACTAATATTATTTAAATATTTAATTTTTTTTTATTATTTTAAACAACTTTTTATATTTATAATTTAAAATATTTTTTTTAAAAAAATAGAAAAATAAAAATAAAAATAAATTTAAAAGAAAAAGAGGAAAAGCAACACCATATTTTGGCGTTGCTACAGTGCAAACGCCATTTTGGCGTCGGTACCAACGTCAAATCCATCAACCCAGCGTCATTAGTGGTTCTGGGTTAAAGATACCCTAAGTAGTGCAAAAGAAAGTGTTTCTTCGCCCAATATTTTTCAGGGGCATAATTACCTATAAATATTACGAAAAACATAATATACTTTAAAATAATATATATTCTACTTACTCACAAAAAGTTAATCATTCAACATAAAATAAAACGATGTGTAGGGTTTTCAAGAATGAACCTATCAAATTAGATTAAGGACTGATGTAGAGTTTAATGGGCTAGTTAATGGTAGTAGGATTTCAAAAAGAGAGTCCGAATATAAGTCCAAACGCTGTTAAGGAAAAGGCTTCCTCGGGAGAAGACAGAGATCAGGTGTGATAAGGTCCGACACGGAGCTCAGACATGATAAGGTCGGGTGCAGAGATCGGGCATGATAAGGTCGGACACGGAGCTCAGACATGATAAGGTCGGGTGCAGAGATCGGGCGTGATAAGGTCGGACACGGAGCTCAGGCATGAAAAGGTCGGGTGCAGAGATCGGGCGCAGTACGGTCGGGCACGAAGGTCAAATATGATAAAGTCGGGCACTGAGGTCGGATGTGATCAGGTCGGGTACTGAGGTCGGATGTGATCACGTCGGGCTCGGAGGTTGGGCATAATAAGGTCGGGCATTGAGGTTGGATGTGATCAGGTCAGGTACAGAGTTCAGATGTGATAAAGACGAGCGTTAAGATTGGGCGTGATAAGGTTGGGTGTTAAGATCGGATGTGGTAAGGTCGGGCACGAAGGTCGGACGTGATAAGGTCGGGCACTAAGGTCGGACGTGATCAAGTCGGGCACGAAGGTCGGACGTGATAAGGTCGGGCACTGAGGTCGGACGTGATCAAGTCGGGCTCGGAGGTCGGGCGTGATAAGGTCGGGCACTGAGGTCGGACGTGATCAAGTCGGGCTCGAAGGTCGGGCGTGATAAGGTCGGGCAATGAGGTCGCATGTGATTAGGTCGGGCACGGAGGTCAAATATATAAGGTCAGGCACAGAGATCAGAAGAGATAAGGTCGGCCGTTAAGATCGGATGTGGTAAGGTCGGGCACGAAGGTCGGACGTGATAAGGTCGGGCACTGAGGTCAGACGTGATCAGGTCGGGCTCGGAGGTCGGGCGTGATAAGGTCGGGCACTGAGGTCAGACGTGATCAGGTCGGGCTCGAAGGTCGGGCTTGATAAGGTCGGGCAATGAGGTCGCATGTGATTAGGTTGGGCATGGAGGTCAAACATAATAAGGTCGGGCACAGAAATCAGATGGGATAAGATCGGGCGTTAAGATCGGATGTGGTAAGGTCGGGCACGAAGGTCGAACGTGATAAGGTCGGTCACTGAGGTCGGACGTGATCACGTCTGGCTCGGAGGTCGGGCGTGATAAGGTCGAGCACTGAGGTCGGACGTGATCAGATCGGGCTCGAAGGTCGGCGTGATAAGGTCGGGCAATGAGGTCGCATGTGATTAGGTCGGGCACGGAGGTCAGACATAATAAGGTCGGACACAGAGATCAGACGGGATAAGGTCGGGCGTTAAGATCGGATGTGGTAAGGTTGGGCACGAAGGTCGGGCGTAATAAGGTCGGGCACTGAGGTCGGACGTGATCAGGTCGGGCTCGGAGGTCGGGCGTGATAAGGTCGGGCACTGAAGTCGGACGTGATCAGGTCGGGCTCGAAGGTCGGGCTTGATAAGGTCGGGCAATGAGGTCGCATGTGATTAGGTCGGGCACGGAGGTCAAACATAATGAGGTCGGGCACAGAGATCAGACGGGATAAGGTCGGGTGTTAAGATCGGATGTGGTAAAGTCGGGCACGAAGGTCGGAAGTGATAAGGTCGGTCACTGAGGTCGGACGTGATCAGGTCGGGCTCGGAGGTCGGGCGTGATAAGGTCGAGCACTGAGGTCGGACGTGATCAGATCGGGCTCGAAGGTCGGGCGTGATAAGGTCGGGCAATGAGGTCGCATGTGATTAGGCCGGGCACGGAGGTCAGACATAATAAGGTCGGACACAGAGATCAGACGGGATAAGGTCGGGCGTTAAGATCGGATGTGGTAAGGTCGGGCACGAAGGTCGGACGTGATAAGATCGGGCACTGAGGTCGGACGTGATCAGGTCGGGCTCGGAGGTCGAGCGTGATAAGGTCGGGCACTGAGGTCGGACGTGATTAGGTCGGGCTTGATAAGGTCGGGCAATGAGGTCGCATGTGATTAGGTCGGGCACGGAGATCAGACATAATAAGGTCGGGCACAGAGATCAGACGGGATAAGGTCGGGCGTTAAGATCGGATGTGGTAAGGTCGGGCATGAAGGTCGGACGTGATAAGGTCAGGCACTGAGGTCGGACGTGATCATGTCGGGCTCGGAGGTCGGGCGTGATAAGGTCGGGCACTGAGGTCAAACGTGATAAGGTCGGGCTCGAAGGTCGGGCTTGATAAGGTCGGGCAATGAGGTCGCATGTGATTAGGTCGGGCACGGAGGTCAGACATAATAAGGTCGGGCACAGAGATCAGACGGGATAAGGTCGGGCGTTAAGATCGGATGTGGTAAGGTCGGGCACGAAGGTCGGACGTGATAAGGTCGGGCACTGAGGTCGGACGTGATCATGTCGGGCTCGGAGGTCGGGCGTGATAAGGTCGGGCACTGAGGTCGACGTGATCAGGTCGGGCTCGAAGGTCGGGCGTGATATGGTCGGGCAATGAGGTCGCATGTGATTAGGTCGGGCACGGAGGTCAGAAATAATAAGGTCGGGCACAAAGATCAGACGGGATAAGGTCGGGCGTTAAGATCGGATGTGGTAAGGTCGGGCACGAAGGTCGGACGTAATAAGGTCGGTCACTGAGATCGGACGTGATCAGGTCGGGCTCGGAGGTCGGGCGTGATAAGGTCGAGCACTGAGGTCGGACGTGATCAGATCGGGCTCGAAGGTCGGGCGTGATAAGGTCGGGCAATGAGGTCGCATGTGATTAGGCCGGGCACGGAGGTCAGACATAATAAGGTCGGACACAGAGATCAGACGGGATAAGGTCGGGCGTTAAGATCGGATGTGGTAAGGTCGGGCACGAAGGTCGGACGTGATAAGGTCGGGCACTAAGGTCGGACGTGATCATGTCGGGCTCGGAGGTCGGGCGTGATAAGGTCGGGCACTGAAGTCGGACGTGATCAGGTCGGGCTCGAAGGTCGGGCTTGATAAGGTCTGGCAATGAGGTCGCATGTGATTAGGTCGGGCACGGAGGTCAAACATAATAAAGTCGGGCACAGAGATCAGACGGGATAAGGTCGGACGTTAAGATCGGATGTGGTAAGGTCGGGCTCGAAGGTCGGACGTGATAAGGTCGGTCACTGAGGTCGGATGTGATCAGGTCGGGCTCGGAGGTCGGGTGTGATAAGATCGAGCACTGAGGTCCGACGTGATCAGATCGGGCTCGAAGGTCGGGCGTGATAAGGTCGGGCAATGAGGTCGCATGTGATTAGGTCGGGCACGGAGGTCAGACATAATAAGGTCGGACACAGAGATCAGACGGGATAAGGTCGGGCGTTAAGATCGGATGTGGTAAGGTCGGGCAGGAAGGTCGGACGTCATAAGCTCGGGCACTGAGGTCGGACGTGATCAGGTCGGGCTCGGAGGTCGGGCGTGATAAGGTCGGGCACTGAGGTCGGACGTGATCAGGTCGGGCTCGAAGGTCGGGCTTGATAAGGTCGGGCAATGAGGTCGCATGTGATTAGGTCGGGCACGGAGGTCAGACATAATAAGGTCGGGCACAAAGATCAGACGGGATAAGGTCGGACGTTAAGTTCGGATGTGGTAAGGTCGGGCACGTAGGTCGGACGTGATAAGGTCGGGCACTGAGGTCAGACGTGATCAAGTTGGGCTCGGAGGTCGGGCGTGATAAGGTCGAGCACTGAGGTCGTACGTAATCAGGTCGGGCTCGAAAGTTGGGCGTGATAAGGTTGGGCAATGAGGTCGCATGTGATTAGATCGGGCACGGAGGTCAGACATAATAAGGTCGGGCACAGAGATCAGACGGGATGAGGTCGGGCGTTAAGATCGGATGTTGTAAGGTTGGGCACGAAAGATCAGACGTGATAAGGTCGGGTACTGAGATCGGACGTGATCAGGTCGGGCTCGGAGGTCGGACGTGATAAGGTTGGGAACTGAGGTCGGATGTGATCAGGTCGGGTACGGAGGTCGGATGTGATAAGGTCGGGTGTTATATATAGGTCGGGCGAAGCGAAGTCAGGCAAGGCAGGAGGTCAAACAAGTGAAAGACGGACAAGAGGAGACGAAGCAGCAGGTGTGCAGGTTGGGCGAAAAATCAGTTTTTGGACAGTTGAAGAAAGTTTCAACCGATGAGCGGATTTGAAGGCACGACTTGATAATAGCGGTTGACATGGGTTTTAAATAGGTCTGTTCGTGAGCTAAGAAACCATCTTCAATCGACATCAAATTCAAAAGAATTGCCTTTGGGGATCACCACTTTATTTTCTTGTCTGTAATTTTATTTTTCTATTTTATTTATGTATATACAGTGTTTAGAGATTTCTAATCTCATACTCTAATTAATCAAATTCGAAGAAAATATCCTATTTCCGGATTTTACTTTTTATTGTTGAAAAATCGCATCAATAATAATAATAATAATAATAATAATAATAATGTGTTACCATCTCACCCCATGAGTATTATGTAAAATATCGTAACAACTTATTAGACACATAATTTTGTTGTTGAATAGTTAATAGTGTAAACAAATATAACTAATAATAATAATAATAATAATAATAATAATAATAATAATAATAATAATGTGTTACAATCTCACCCCATGAATATGATGAAAAATATTATAACAACTTATTAAACACATAGTATTTGTTGTTGAAAAGTTAATAGTGTGAACAAATATGATTAATAATAATAATAATAATATGTTACAATTTCACCCAATGAGTGTTATGTAAAATATTATAACAACTTATTAAACATATAGTATTTTGTTGTTGAAGAGTTAATAGTGTGAACAAATAAAGTTAATAATAATAATAACAATCTCAACTCATGAATGTGATGTAAAATATTGTAACAACTTATTAGACACATAGAATTTGTTGTTGTAGATTTAATAGTGTGAACGAATATGGTTAACAACAACAACAACAACAACAACAACAATAATAATAATAATAATAATGCGTTACAATCTCACCCATGAGTGTCAAGTAAAATATTGTAACAACTTATTAGACACATAATATTTGTTGTTGAATAGTTAATAGTGTGAACAAATATAATTAATAATAATAATAATGTGTTACAATTTCACCCATAATTGTCAAGTAAAATATTGTAACAACTTATTAGACACATAGTATTTGTTGTTAAAAGTTAATAGTGTGAACAAATATGGTTAATAATAATAATAATAATAATATAATAATAATAATAATAATAATAATAATTTCTTACAATCTTACCTCATAGGTATCATGTAAAATATCGTAACAACTTATTAGACAGATGGTATTTGTTGTTGAAAAGTTAATAGTGTGAACAAATATAGTTAATAATAATAATGTGTTACGATCTCACCACATGGTTAATAATATGTTAAAATATTGTAACAACTTATTAAACATATTGTATTTGTTGTTGAAGAGTTAATAATATGTTACAATCTTGCCATATGAGTGTAATGTAAAATATTGTAACAACTTATTAGACACATAATATTTGTTTTTGAAGAATGAATAGTGTGAACAAATGTGGTTAATAATAATAATAATAATAATAATGTGTTACAATTTTACCCCATGAGTGTTATGTAAAATATTGTAACAACTTATTACACACGTACTATTTGTTGTTAAAATGTTAACAGTGTAAACAAATATGGTTAATAATAATAATAATAATAATAATAATATGTTACAATCTTACCCCATGAATATAATGTAAAATATCGTAACAAGTTTTTAGACAAATATATTGTTATTGAAGAGTTAATAGTGTAAACAAATATGGTTATTAATAATATTAATAATGTGTTACAATCTCACCCAATGAGTGTCATATAAAATATTATAACAATTTATTATACACATAGTATTTGTTGTTGAAAAGTGAATAGTTTGAACAAATATAGTTAATAATAATAATAATAACAATAATAATGTTTTACAATCTCACCCCATTAGTGTGATGTAAAATATTGTAACAATTTATTAGACACATAGTATTTTTTGTTGAAGAATTAATAATGTGAACAAATATGGTTAATAATAATGATAATGTGTTACAATCTCACCAATGACTGTCATGTAAAATATTGAAATAATTTATTAGACATATAGAATTTGTTGTTGTAGATTTAATAGAGTGAACAAATATGATTAATAATAATAATGTGTTACAATCTCACCCATGAGTGTTATGTAAAATATTGTAACAACTTATTAGACACATAATATTTATATTTGTTGTTGAAGAGTTAATAATGTAAACAAATATGATTAATTTTTATTATAATAATTGTTATTGTTATTAATAATAATGTTTACAATCTCACCCATGAGTGTAATGTAAAATATTATAACAATTTATTAGACACATACTATTTGTTGTTGAAGAGTAAATAGTGTAAACAAATATAATTAATATTATTATTATTATTATTATGAATATTAATGTGTTACAATTTTACCCCATGAGTGTGATCTAAAATATTGTAAAACTTATTAGACACATAATATTTTTTATTGAAGAGTTAATAATGTAAACAAATATGGTTAATAATAATAATAATAATAATAATAATAATAATAATAATAATAAGGATGGTTCTATCACAGATTTATCGAAAATTGTACGAATTTACGAAATCAACTAATCAATTAAATCCCAAATTGAAATATAGTTCGGTTTTTCCTTACCTCTTTGCGCTCAACCGTCGGAATCCCTATCCACTGTCAACGTTCGTCCCCCGAACTTTTTCGCAGCAATCCTCTGCTTCATTCACCAACGAAATCGCTAAAATCCCACTATCCTTGCTCTGCGACGAAGAGGGTGAAGAAAATTTGGGAGCAAGATGAGAAATAATAGAGGAAGAAGAAGAAACATAGTAACGAAGGAAAGATGAAATAATAGAGAAGGGAGATATTTATTGTCCTAGCCTACGAAGCTACGGCGCAGACTTTTGTCTGCTTAGATTTGCCGCCTCGCCCCAAAATAGCTATTAAAAGTAAATGAATAAGAGGTTTTAGAGGAATTGTGCCACAAAACACACCCTAAGATTTTTAATAAATCAGAATTCGAAATAACACGAGCGAGTGGCACGTGTGAGGCACGCTTTCATTTTCATTTAAACGGGACGTTACATGGAAATAATAATTGGCATGTTTGCGAAACGTCTGGCGAGAAACTCCCGCGCTATAATATCACCAGATAAACCCCATCCACGTGGCAGCCTCCTATTGGTCCGACTCTCCACCCCCATCCATAACCGCCCTACCCACGGGCAGAATTTTTTTTCACTATCTCTCTCAAAAGGAATTAATGGATAATGCAAACTGAATCGGAGCCCGTCGCTAATGGCGCCAACCCTAACTTCGAATTCCTTCCTCGTAGGCGTCGCTCCGCATCGGAGCCACCTCGCACTCCACCGCCGGAGGCTCGCCGTCAAGGCGTTCGCCAAAGCAGCGGCCGGCGGCGACGAAGGAGGCAATTCCAGCCCCTTCCGGTTCGATTTCGCAAAATTGGGCGATGTGAAGTCGTTGGTGCCGGCGGTGGCCAATCCGACGTCGGGATTGAGCTTCGGGAGGCGCAAGGATCCGGCGACGGTGTTCGTCGCCGGCGCGACGGGGCAGGCGGGGATCCGCATTGCGCAGACGCTTCTGCGCCAGGGTTTCAGTGTTAGGGCAGGCGTACCTGACCTTGCGGCTGCGCAGGAATTGGCTCTTCTGGCGGCTAAGTATAAGGTTAGTTTTTCCCCAATTTTACTTTATGGAATTTTGAGCTACTGTCTGTTTAATTTCAGAGCATTGGTTCGTTAATTGATTAGCTAATTTCCTTCGCGATGGATGAACTGGTTGAAGAAGATAACCCTAATTTGTGTGGCTGATTCATAACTATATGTATAGTGATAAAAATTAAGGTGCTAGTTGTTAGAAAGAATAGAGTTATAAATCAAAGAATTGAATTGAATTGAATTCTTCTGTGTGTTAAATTAGATAATTCAGTTAAATTAGATAATCCAGTAGAAAAATATACAAAGTAAAATAAAATACAACTATGATGAATTGATTTAGAAAGGATTGAGAGTGAAAAATGAGAGAATAAATTAATTAAGAATATCTATGAACAAATATTCCCGTGTTTAGTGATTTTTTATTTAAATAATAATTTAATCGTAATTTTTGTAAAATAAGTTATAAAAATTAGTAAGAAAGGAAAAAAGTAACAAATATATACTTCCGGGATGTTATCAATTTCCACTTCTCTTTCATTTCTTATAGGAGAATAGTATAAACATGGAATAAAAAATAATTATTTTTTAAATTTGAATTCCGTAGATCAAATAAACAAATATTTTCATTTTTCATTTTTCTGTGTTAAACACACTCTAAAGTTGCTTTTGGTATAAAAAATAAAATTACGAAAATATCATATTAATTATATAAATTAAGATAATATAATAATATACTAAAATTAAAATTTTAGCAGGTGTGCTGATCACTCAAAGATTAATATATATAATTATATTATTAGTAAACTAAATTAATATAATTAAATTGTTAAGTGATTAGCACAACTGTTGAAATTGATAATTAAGTTTTAAGCAATTCAGTATAATTGCTGGAATTATACTTTTACTACATGATCTCCTGTACAGAAAATAAATTCAACAAGTAATGAGAATTGATATTTTGTTTGGTAAAATAAAAAAATTTAGTTGAACAATGTAAATAAAAATAAATAAATAATAATAATAATAATAATAATAATAATAATAATAATAATAATAATAAATTGATCTAAATGAAACAATGTGTAGCTAATCTAAAAATAAAGGATGAATGGATAAAAAAAATTGAATAAAGTAAAAATGTGTTTAAATGAAATGAGAATCCATAAAAAAAATATATTATATATTTATTTGGTGATATTTTTATTTAAATAATAATTTAGATGTGATAGTTTACAAGATCAAAGTAATATATTTTCAAATAAACACATTGCTATGTTTGTAATATTCCTTTCTCTTAATGTATATTGAAGAAAAATTAAAGTCACGAATGAAAAATTATTCATTTCTCAAGTTTGAATGGGATTCATATTTGCATTTCATTATCCCTATTGATTGTTGAGAATGCCTCTTGATTTGATTGGGAATTTTGAACTAGGAATGGCTTAAACATGAGAATCATTGTTATCTATACATGCTTACAATTTAGATGATCTCCAAATTCCAGTGGGATTGTAGTGTTTTTAACCTTAGAACAATTCTATTCGATTATTGTCGAAAGTGCTTAGCTATATATGTAGTAAATCTGTTATGTATGCATTTCAATGGCAGATCATCTCTAACGAAGAATCAAAGAAGCTGAATGCAGTAAACTCAACTTTTGACGACGTGGAATCAATCGCAAAGGCAATTGGGAATGCCAGCAAAGTGGTGGTGACGATTAGTCCGGCAGAGAACGGTCCCTCTGCAGAAGTGACGACATCGGATGCATTGAGGGTGATTCAGGCTGCGCAGGCGGCGAACGTTGGCCACATTGCGATAATATATGACACCAGTTCTGGAAACTCTTCTTCTTACAATGTTCTTGATGGGATCACATCGTTCTTTAGCAACCTGTTCTCGCGAGCTCAGCCCTTGACGGCTGTGGAATTTCTGCAGAAAGTTGTGGAGACTGATCTCGGGTACACTTTGATTCGGACAAGGCTGACGGATGACTTCTCTCCCGAGAATTCTTACAATGTGATCGTGTCGAATGAAGAGTCGAGCGCAGGTGCCGAGTACAAAGTAATGTAATGTATGGGGATTTCATTATAGTTGTTGTTGCTTTAATGGTTGTTTTGGTTGACTAATTTTGTGTTGTGTTTTGGATGTGATTTTTTTGTAGGTTACAAAGTCACAGATAGCTTCACTGGTGGCTGATGTTTTCTCCAATGTAGAAGCTGCAGAAAATAAGGTAACTCAAAACTTTGAGTTTTTCTTTTGGAGTTTGGTCTATGTGTTTTTTTACTATGCAATTATCTCGATTAACTACTCCCTCCGTACCGTACCGTTTGAAATGAGTCTTTTGAGATTTTCTAGTAAATTAAGAAATTATACTACCTCTGTCATTCAAATTTGTGTTCAATGTCTTTGTAAAATACAAAGGGAATGAACACAGATTTTAATGACGGAGGATAGTATTTTATTAATTAATGGAAGTGTACAAAATTATAAATTATAAAATTTAAATAATCATTTTCTAAAAAATAGACTGGGACGAATAGAAATAAAAAATGAACATTTTATGTGAGACGGAGATTTTGCATATAGTATTTTAAAAATATATATATATATGTGAATAATGAGTATTTTTTTTATTATATGCTCAATATTCATATTTTGTATGTAAATTGTGATGAGGTTAAATATTGTTGGTTTACTCCCAGTTTGTAAATAAATAAATAAATAATGCATATCTTTAATAGTTTAAATTTTTTAGGTGAAGCGGACACTTATTTCATCTAACAAATATGAATATTAAGCGGGATCATATCATCTTTTTATGTAAATGTAAATTCATTTCCCAGAAACCAAGGTCAAAAATACTTACCTCTTGAATGGTGCAGGTTCTTAACGTTACCACAGATCCAACAGCTCCCTCAAAGCCAATTTCCGATGTTCTTAGGTAATCAAATCAATCATTCCCATAATTTGCATCCAACTTCAATGCATTCACTACCCTTCTTCACTACTCATAGAGACATTCCAGAGGACAACAGGAGAAAGCTTTACGCCGAAGCCGTCGCCAAAGCCAAGGCCGAAGAAGAAGCCACCCGAGCATCACAAGAACCCGAGGAGGCCACCACAAAGCAAGAACAACAACCCAAAACTCCGAAAGAAGACACTCAGGCTGCAAAGCTAGCAGCCGAAGCCCAAAAATTAGTCGAGGCTGCATCAGTCGACGCCTTTTTCACCAAAGCTAAAGACATCACTTCCGGATTCTCTTGGGACAGCTTTAGCGCTCAGCTTAAATCCGCAGTTCAAAAACCTGAGGGCGAGAACGAACCTAAAGTGGAGGTTGCCACAGTCAGGGGACAGGCGCGCGCTCGAAGCCTACCTGCCCAAAAGGCATTGGTGAAAAATCAAGCACGCCCGTCGTCTACTAAATCAAGAATCGCGCCTAAACCGAAGGCAAAACCGGCGGCTGAGACGAAGGTGGAAACGAGGAAGGTTTTTGGCGGATTGTTTAAGCAGGAAACAATCTACGTCGATGATGACTAGATTATGATAGTCGGGGATTTGAGATTGTATTCGGTTAATGCGCGCCGAGAAGCGGCAGCGGCGGCGTTCCGCCGATATTGTGCAGATAGTGTAAACTTGTACACTACACTACACTTATTGTATGATAGGGATGCAGGCATAGGTGCTTTTGGATGATGCTAAGGTTCTATTCAAATTTGTGTATTTATGTATTTTTTGCTTTGGAAAGAGAACATTTTGTTTGTGTGAAAATGTTTTGTAATATGAATAATGTAAATGGAACACTACATTTTTACTATATACTCGGTCTGTCCTATATAATTTGTCCATATTTTCTATTTCATCCATCCCACATAACTTGTTTTTTCTATTTTAAATTTTAAATTTTATAATTTTTTTAATTTTAATTAAACTATTTACTTATCTTAATTTTAATCTATAATTATTTTTACTAACTAATAATTATTTTTACTCTTTTTAATTACTTACTAATTATACTTTACCTAAATTCTCGTGTCTAAAGTAATATACCCATATTATACTCACATGGGATGGAGGGGCTACATCTTTTTCTATGTAACATGAATGTGGTAAATGGAACACCACATTTTTTTACCATATAAATCTTCTCTCTCTCTCTCTCTGCATGGCCTCGCTGGTTAGCATGTTGATTGAGTCAAATTAGTAATATGAACCAATTGCATATGACCAAATTAGCATATCTAATGATAAAAACAAATTATTTTATTTGATTATTTATATTCTATTCTAGATAAATACTATATATATTATATATATATATATATTCAGGGCCCTGGCATTTAGAAAGATAAAGTATTATGCTATATATTGTAGTATAATTGCACTAAAATTAGAATATATTGTATCGTATATAATTATATAATGTTTTGTCAAAATATACGTAATTGTTGATTTAATCCAATGAGCACAGTAACCAAACATCTCTATATATATACATACACCATAAAATATTTAAAAACATAACCTGTAAACGATGAAACTTTTTCCCAAGAAAAGCTTTCCAGTTGTTCTGTAAGTAACTCTCAACTCTTTTTCATGGTAACCTATACAACTTTGATCAGTTAGTTATTTCAATCAGCTGCCAAAGATCATGTGATAAACAAAGTTACCTGGGAATTAAAATATTATGTGTTAGCAGCAAAGAACACAGAGCTGGATTCAGTTCTAATATATATATATATATATATATATATGCGTATATGTATATAGTACCATGATGGATAATCAACCAAAAGTTACATCCTCTATACTGGTGATATCTTCGACTACAGGGGCTTTAGGTTCCAAATCTATGAACTGGTTGGACTTGCTCGCAAGGTGAGAGATGCTAACCCGACCCTCGCGCCTGATGTAATCCGCGACAGCTCTCATTTCTTCCAGTGAAATGTAAATGTACTTTCCTCTATCATCCATCACACCAGACAATCGTCCTGTGAAGGCAATAATCATATTCAATTTGGAAAACGAAATTCAGGAATAACTTCGAAGAACTGAACTTGTAAAAAAAAAAAAAACTAATGTATGAGAAAAAGCTTACCCATAGTTTCTAGTGAGTTTATTCGATTGATACAGTCCTGCATCAAATCAAAACGATAAAGCTGGAGGGGGGCAAAAAACAAAGTGTGGAGAAAACATGTCTATACAGCATTTTAGGAGTGAGATAAGAAGTTTGGGGAAAAACGTTAATTAAAATAACAAACAAACAAGTTCATTTGGCACTTGATGGTTAACATGAGAAACACACGAATACCTGAGTTCGCAACTTAAATTCAGCCGCGATATCTTCTAAAGGGACACACTTGTGTTTCTGCAAAATCAAATTAAAACAAATGAATTCTTCCCATAAAATGTATGATTCACTTACCTACAGAAAATCTCAAAATAATGAGATTATATGCATGAGATGAAGAATTTTGGGTGTGTTTGTTTGGGGGATTTGTCAAGATTTCCACTGTTCATCAAATTTTTTTCCCCCAAAAACATCAAATCAAATCAAATACTTATTTTTCATTTTTTATATTATACTAAAAATCAATTTTACATTAAAAAATCATATTAACACCTATTTATATCACAACATATAACTATTTCAATTCAAAATTTTTACTATTCAAATCCCAACTCAAAATCCAAACCCCCCAAACAAACACACCCAACTTGTTATGGATTACTACAACATCACATTGACAAACAAACAACGATAGAAAATGGAATCAGCAGGTCACGGTAAAGTTACCTTAATGTACTCTACAAAATCAAAAAGCAGTCCCTGACTTCCATCTTGTACTTCATTTTCGGTTGTGCCTTCAGCGTCAACAGAAAACTCTCCTTTCCACTGATCAAACTCTAACGCAGCAGCTTCTTCTTCCTTAGCTTTCCTAGCATTAGCTTCTTCTTCCTGGATTAAATTATATCCAACACTCCTTTACAAGGTATGATAATAAAAATATACATTTGAAATAAGTAAGAAATTTCTTTCTAGTTACCAGCTTTCTTTCATATGCTTCTCGCTCCTCATCCTTCCTCCTCCTCATCTCTTCGTATCGATCCTGCTTAGTTCTCCTTGATTCACGTGCAGCATCTTCTGCCTAGAGAAGAAACCACAAGGTGCCAATATGAGCCCTCATGTCCCTAAAGATCAATAAAAGTGGATGCATCGGCTCGTTTTTAGCCCTGTTGATAATATGTGTGTAATATCTCTGAAGTTCATATCATTATTCTCAAATAGATTTCTAATTAATCAGAAATTTTCGCATTGGAATAAATTAAAAATGAAGCAAATCTAAAAATTATCATTGTGTATTGTGTGTGCAGTTAGGGTTCTCTGAAACTCGTGATTTTTAGGGACATTTCTAAGAAACTCCCTAAAATGAGTACTAATCCCTTTTCCCCCTACTCTAGCCACTTCAAATAACCTTTCTTCTATCAAATGAAAAAAATGCATGTTGGATGGATAGCTTATATATTGTTAGGCATAAGCCAAATCGTTTCAAGTTTAACTTCCTTCTGCCTTAGAAAGCAGCTTCGAGAATATAGAAACTTGTTCTTATATATCCTATGATTTTTAAGGAGGCAGTAAAGCTCAAAATGTAGAGGTCAAATCAACAGGCTGCATGCAACGAGTGGAGAGTTTCCAGTTAAATGTTTACCTGCCGTTGTGCTTCCCGCTCTCTCTGTTTCTTTTCCTTTTTCTTTGATGCTTTACCAGAGTGCCACCCTTCCGCAGCCACTTCATTATCACTTCCATCAGAAGCTTCTGTATCCATGTATAATTACAACTTACTCACATACTCATAACAATATTAAGGTATTTGAGAACAGACCAAGCTTCACACAAGCACGAGTTTCTTAGCCCTAACGAGACTAAATTGGGAAAATAATTGAAGAAGCCCTAGCACATAATGGAAAAAATATAAATGCAAATATGTAATATTAGTTCCCAAATGTAACACAAAGCAGGGTAAGGTAGTGCTTACATTCACACCAAGTGTTGCCTAATTATACAGAATATTACCAGTCAGACAAAACATGCGTAGCATATATCAAGAGAAAGCGAGAAAATCTTCAATATTAGGTCAGGACTCTTCTCAAAAAGCATATTAAATCAAGAAGAAAGACCTTCAGTGTTAGCATGACCAGAAGACGAGCTAGCAGCAGCAGAAGCAGCGGGTCTTCGACGCATTCGTCGTGTGTTGGTAGCCCTAACTGCTTCCCCCCTTCGTATATCCTGCATACAATAATTGGAAAAATAAAAATTAATATATACAATCATTATTTTGTCCACATAAAATCATCATAGGCCATTCAAAAGAACATGAGGATCACAATTACTTCAGAGTAGCTGAAATAGATAAAGATCTAGACTAATCCATCTTCGTTCTATGGCTAACAGAAGATTGGCGTAATATTACCACATTGGTGCCCATATAATTCAATCCAATAACAGGTTATTAGCCACGAAGGATTATTTATAATGATATCACACAATTATCAAATAATCCTCCATAGCAAACAACCTCTAAAAACTCATTTTCCATCCACATTTAAATAATATTTTTAGTTAGAAAACAAGGCCTAAATGGATAAATAATTCTGTAAATTAATCTTTTTCCATCAATATAAATGAAGAAGCTAAAATAAAAAATCTCTACATAATTATCTACAGTAGTTGAAACGAAGCACAAATTCATATTCTGGAAATCACATTGAAACAAATGTATATTAATACACCTGAGGCTCATCTTCATGTTGGTGAGATTCTCGAGAATCAACTCGACGCCTCCAAATATATAGTGGGATCAAAGATAAAATCACAACCATCATCACTACGGCCACCAAAATCTCCTCCATAATTTTCCACCGTAATCAAATTAGTAAAACCTTGACAGAGAAAAACAAATAAACTTGTCAATTCACTACATAATGTAATAATCCATAGATCAACACACAGAGCAATCAGCCCCAAGCTTCCAGTTATAAACCCTAAACATTATACTGTTTGCATATAATATAAGAAGATGCATATCCATCATTTCTACTTATACACATGAGTTGATTATTCAAAGTTATTCACACCAATGTACGTTGCACCATTACAATTCCTAAGCTCAAACGCATACCACCACCATCCTCGACTTTGAAATATCAGCAAAACACAAGCGGAGGACGTATGGACCGAATTCAGGCATGGAAGAACAATCACTTAAAATTAATACAAGATAAACCTACATCACAAGCCCAATCAAACCATCCCATCCCAGTCATTAGTCCATTATTCAATATGCATAAACCCTAAATCGAATGTAACAAAAGATTATAAAAAAGCCCAAGAATCACCAGAAAAGAAGCTCCGATTAGAATTTAATACAAGATAAACCTCCATCACAAGGCCAATCAAAGCATTCGGCAAGAATCGTACCTGAAACTGAATCGGCGGAGAGAGGAGAAGACGCAAATCAGCAGAGGATCAACTGCGGCGGTAGAACACTGCAGGACGAAGTTGTGAAGAGTTTAATTACAAAAATAACCCTATATATGAAATACCAATTTTGCCCTCGCGTCTTTTGCAAAAAAGTATATAAGACAAAATTAATTGTAAAATCATCGACTCTGCGTATATAATCGCGTCCTTCGTCGACGTCGGAAACCCCCAAACCCTAGCTCGTCCGCCATTACAGATCTGCGAAACACAACGATAATAATGGGGTCGAGGAGACCGGATTTCGGAAACGGTGCTAGCCCCGGGTTCGTCTTGATTTCGCGTTGTCTCTGGCTATCTTATTTTGTTGTGTGTGTGAGTGTTTTGAACTTTTGGGTAATTTTTGGATTTATCTGATGGGTGTTGGTGTTATGTCTCATCCAGGAAGATTTTCATTGGGGGTCTGGCGAAAGAGACCACTTTAGGTTTGGATTTTATAAGAAATAGCTTTATTTTTCGTGATTGTGAACATACTTGTGCAATGGATAAGCTTTTATTTTGTGAGTTGTGTTTTTGGGCTCATTTGTGAATGTGAATTTGTGCAGATACTTTTGTGAACTATTTTGGTAAGTATGGAGAGATAACGGACTCGGTGATCATGAAGGATAGGCACACGGGTCGGCCCCGTGGTTTTGGTTTCATTACATATGCTGATCCTTCTGTTGTCGACACTGTGATTTCTGAGAACCATGTTATCGATGGCAAAGCAGTGAGTTTTTGTTCCCTTCTTTTTTCTGGGGCATATTTTCTTCTTAGAATTTGCTGCTTGTTTGGTAACAAAACTTTCCTTTTTCTGAACAATGAGAGAGAATAAATCTTCCATTTTGTTGGGACATGCTGTTTTTACAGCAACGGATGAGGCTTTTCTGGGAAAAAGATTTTCCTTGTACAAATTCGATTTTATGTGAGACCCTAATATGGTTAAGGTCTTTCATTGGAGAAAAGGGCTGCCATCTGTGTATTATGTTATTACTTCTATTAGATATTGTGATACTCTGTTGTCATATATAAGGATAATGATTTTATGATGTCAATCATATATCCGTAATCCGTTAGTTGTTTTACATGAAGTTTTTGTCTTTGTCATATATTAGATATGCTTTTATCAAATAAAATTAACTAGACAACATGTCTCAATTGTTGAAGAGGCAAATAATTTGACTGGCAAGCAAGTGTCTGTGATTGAAGGCGGAGTAGTATAGTGTGCGTGCTTGATTCACAATTGTTCAGTATTCAGATATCATGTTAAAGATTTTCATCATGAAAAAACAAAATTTAAGAAAATGTATTATTGGTTGTTGAAAAATTAAGAAAACTTATTAGGTCTGTGTTATCTTTGAATGATATGTAACACATGTGTAAATGGCACGCCATGGCAAATCATCCATCCTATGCATTAGTTGCTATGGCAAGGTGGCCACATCCAGAGGCGTACACCTGAGACACGTGCCAGAAGCTCCATTGCCATAGTGCATGGTTTCAATCTTCTATATTTTTAAACTGAGATTTAAAAAAATGTATATAAGTATATGAAAGGATTTTATTTTTATCTTCTTCCTAAGTTTATGTCACAAGGCGGGACGGTGACGCCTGGCACTCCCCAAAGAGCGCCAGAACGCTATGGCGGCGCCTGCCATGGCGACGCCGTGACAACCATGCCATGGACCCATGGCATGCCATATGCCTTGCACTGTGCGCTATTTACAACTCTGATGCGTATTGTTGTTGTGTCTACATCCTCTCCCTTTTTGGATTGGCGTCCAGCTAAAGAATTGACTTTCCTTATATTTTTGGGTCAGGTTGAGATTAAAAGAACTGTTCCTAAAGGATCCGGCGATTCCAAGGGTTTTAAGACAAAAAAGATATTTGTTGGTGGAATTCCAACGACTGTCACTGAAGGTGCATGTTTTATATTTATGTATTTACTTTGGTTAATGATACGGTACACTGTTACATATGATTGTTATGATTTCTCTAAACTGTTTCCTTAAATAAATTCGTTTGTAGATGAGTTGAAAAGTTTCTTTTCCAAGTATGGGAAAGTGGTCGAGCATGAGATAATTCGAGATCATGCAACCAAGAGGTCCCGTGGCTTTGGATTTATTGTGTTTGAAACCGAACAAGTTGTTGATAGTCTCCTAGCTGAGGGGAATATGATTGATATGATGGGTACCCAGGTGAGCTTCTTATGTTATTGGTTGTCGTTGTACATGGTTTACCACTTTATTGGCTACACTACTTGTATAAAACTTTGTTCCCGTGGCTTCTTAAAACAGTTTCTATCAAGTTGTTCCAAAATTATTTGAGATAGGCACATCACATTATAGTAGTGATCTTAAAACCATTTTTCGTAAGTTGCCACTTGTATTATAGACTTAGATATAAGTTGCTAAGATAATTTATAATACATAGCACTAAGTTCAAAACTTTGCAGTTGAAAGGTCTAGGTTAACTTGCTTCTTTGTTGTAGGTTGAGGTCAAGAAGGCCGAACCAAAGAAACCCTCAAACCCAACACCTGCTCCTGTATATGGTAGTTATTCTAGGGGACGTGTCCATGGTGATAGTAATGGTGGTTTTGACAACTCCTATAGCAATTTCAGCAGTGGTGGTTTCGGCGCTGCCCCTTATAGGTCTATGGGGTCAGGTCATGGTGATAGGTTCAAGGACTATGGCGGATACAGCAATCGAAGTGAATTTGGTGGTAGGTATGGTAATTATCCTCCCAGTATGGAATTCGGTCCTCGAGGAGATGGGCCAGTTGGCTACTCCAGTCGGTTTGGTTCTTATGGTGGAGGTCTTGATCCTGGCTATGGTGGTGGGCTAGGATCCTATGGTCGTGGTGGTGGTGGTGGTTATGGGAGTTATGGGGGTTATGGTGGAGCTGGATTGGGTGCCGGTTATGATTCTGGCCCTGGTAGTGGTTATGATCTGGGCCCTGGTGCTGGTTATGGTGGACCGGGAAGGGGGTTGTATGGAGATAGGCCAGGTTATAGTAGCAGTCGATACCATCCTTATGCCAGGTAGATGTCCCCGAAAATGAGGTAGGAGATTTATCATGCCCCTTTGCGGTTTCTTGTTTCTCATGGTTGACTAGGTTTCGAAGCTCCTTGGGCAGACTTTTTAAAAGTGCTAAAGAAACCTAGTTTCTTAAGTGGTATTTGTTGACTTTATGCTCTATATATTTCGTCTTGGTCAATGAGAGATCTTTATTTAGATATACCTGGTGTTGTACTGAGCTAGATCTATATAATCCTGTACGAATTGTAACTTGGTTATATGTTTTGGTGTAGAATGGCCTTTTGATTTATAGTATTTTCGTACTAGATTTCTCGTTTATCTAGAATCCTTTATGCAGGTTCAAGCTAGCTGCGGGTTTGTGGCACAGCAGTTATAAGTTCGCCTTTTTTATGTCTGCTCATGACTGTTTATTAGCTGTTTTTCTTACTAGGTCTTCGATCATAAGTATTTATTTTCTTAATTTAGAGAAATGCAACTGAGTAGGAGAAAATCTTTTAAAAAAAATCAGCTGCAGATTTGTTAAATGACCAATCTATAGTGCAGGCAGTCGAAACAGATTATATCTGGAACTCCTATACAGGTAGTAGTGTAATATGACAAATTATCTAACGGCGGATTAGATGATAATTTTGTATTTTTATCACTAGATTATGGTTGGGGGGGTCTGAAATTGTTAATTATAGAACTTTGTTGTTGATTCTGTAGATAGATAGTTTGTATGGTTATGGCTTCAGACAGCAGGTTTCTGTATGAAATACAGGTGCTTGTGTAGGTCATTGACAATGGAGTTGTGTGAATTTTACTGAGATATATTGGCCATTGGAAATTTCATTTGTTTGAAAGAAATTAAGAGTATTTACAATGACTTCTTTTTAGAAGGCTTCTTTCTTTGTTCCGAAGCTTTTCTGTCTAGACTCGAAATAAATCAGCCGCAATGGACCAAACATAGAGGCTAGATTTTTGATGCAACTTCCCTTTAGACGTCGAGGCTTATTGTAGTTTTCTAAGTCGTAGTTTTTATTTGTCCCAACCCTTGTTATTGTCGTAGTTTTTTTTCTTCTTGCCAAGATTTTGCCTCTTTGATCTGTTCTCTAAGTTTTCTAGTTTTCTCGCCGGGAATTGTTTTTGCCCTCTTTGATCTTTTATTGCCAAGTCACTGTGCTAGAATATGAGTGGCTGTTGCAAGAAAGTGTTTTTTTGTTGTTTGAAATCGAGTGTACGGCGGAGAAGAGTTTCTGCGTTGAGCAAGGTTGTCACGGCGCCCTTTTGCGGCGCCTGTGAACCGACATGGCAATAAAATGGTGAACACGGCGCACATGTATAAAATCTTATATATATTATATGTTATAAGAAATTAATGCCTATTATTATTAATTTTATAGTAACATGCTAAGAAAATATAAAATAAAATAAAAATAAATAAATAATTTGAAATTTAAAAATAAATAATAATGTAATACCCAAAAGACTAATATTAATAGTATAATAAATAAATAATAGCACTATCAGAGCAATGAAATAGATAACAAATTAAGAAATATAAAAAATAGTGAAAAAAACTCCATGATGTGATGTGCAGTCATTAGCAACTAGACCAGAGAGAGGAGAGAGATGAGAAGGGGAGGGACTGCACAAAGCAGTGAATATTAGCAACTAGACCAGAATAGAGCAGGGAGAGATGAGAGGGGAGAGAGAGGATGACAAGTTAAGGGTTCGGTTTCAAGGTTGATGTCGAAGCGGTTATGAGGCTTGGGTTCGGCTTTACAAGGCTCTGGGCTAGCCTTCCCAGTGCCATGGCATCGCCCTAGCTCGCCACGGCGTTGCTTAGGCACCTCTAAACACCCTTCTGTAATAAGGCGAGGCGAAGTGTTGCGGCGCCCCCTAAAAGGCGCCATGATGCCATGGCGATGCCGTGACAACAATGGCGTTGAATTCGATTCTCATCACACACTATGCTCAATTTTAGAACCTCTCGTCGGGCCTATCGACAGCATCGCATCAGGTGTTGAAAAAATACCTCCGCAATGGCTGTAACTTCAATAGAGGTTTATTTTAATAGTCACTGTGAGTGAGTTTTACCGCTCCTCCTGTGGAATATGACTTTGACAGTCGGTCCTACTTTTTTTTTTTTTTTGTTATGAAGTGGTAATCCGCAGTCGCTGCCCGAAAGTGCGCACCATACTTTGACAAGTCGGTGAGAGATTTTAAACAAAGAAATAATGTGTGCTCTAAGTACATTCAACGTGGACAACAGAGACAATTTTAAGTTTGGCCACTGTATGTGCTCTAAATACGTATATTATAAATATATAAAATGTCGTCGTATTTTTTATTTATTGTGTGAATTATTTTTTGTATTATATTTAAAATATTTATCTTATTTATTTTTATAATACTTGTATAATTGGGTAGTGTATTTATGAACAAATCATCAATGTTGGGACGGAGGATGTGTTTAGTATTTATTTTAATATAACACAAGAGAATTTTATGTAATAAAATATATATATATATATAATTTTATACATTTATAATAAAATACAGTTAGGTATTATTTATTTATTTTTAAAATAGTAGTTTGAATGTGATAATTTTATAAGAAATGAATGAATGTTTTTTAAAGCAAAAGATTATATTGAATAGTAGAAATTTAAAAAATAGATCCTCTGTGCTGGCTTGGTTTTGGTTTGTAGTACAGTTTTGGAATGGTCTAATTGTTTTAGATGATTTTGATACTGCCTTTGATTCTTACTATGTTTGGTTATTAAAAAGCAAATACACATTATTATTATTATTATTATTATTATTATTACATGTAAAAATATTTAGATTTGAAGTTGTGTTATCAATCAAAATATTTTTGTTAAAAAAAATTATTAAATTAAATTTTTATTTTTTTATTTAATCTATTATTAAAAAATTAATCCTTTTTTTTTTCAAAATGTATTTTTATTAAATACTATTATTTTAATATAAAATTAATATTCTCTTCAAACCTCAAACCTAAAGTAACAACCACATACTGGCCTTAAAGTTTGATTTGGTTTTGGGTTATTTATTAATCATTTTTTCAAAACATTGAATTAATCATTTATTTTTTTAATTTAATATATTATTAAAAAATACTCCCAATGTCCGCATTTCAGATCGTATTTATTTTTTGCGTCATAGTACTTAACATTAAAAATATCTTTATATTTGTATAATTTTCTTTTTTTTTTTACAAATGTCCTTATATTAGTATTATAAGACACTAATCAAAATATTTTTTGCAATTTTTTTTTTTTAGTTGTACTATATTTTGATATAATACTTAATATTCAAATATCAACACGCATAAAGTAAATGAGACTTTTAAAACTGAACGGATGTAGTATATATTTTTTATGCAAATATTTATTTACGATATATTTATATTTGAATTCATGATCTCATAATCACGAGTTCAGTCTCATACCATGAGATCATTTTTATATGGAATTTCTTTACTTTGATTTTCAATTCCGAATTCTACATAATCCTTTCGACTACATTACGATTCTCTTACATTAAGTTGTCGAGCCAAATTGGCTTCATCGCATATCACAGTTAGAACAACTTGTGCTTTGTTAGTTAGAAAAAAATTAGTATGCGATTAGGGACAGCAACAACGAAATTTTTAGCTACAATTAGAGCTGACAATGGGTCGATTCGTGTCGGGTTCGTGTTGACCCGTATACATAATTAAGTCGAATTTCTTGATTCAAATTAAATAATTTTTTATTATGTTGTCGTGTTATGTTAGTTTTTATTGGTTTGAGCGTAAATTAGATTGAGAAAATTATTAAATTATGATTATTTTACATATATAATAAATATATTAATCAATATTAATATATTATAATCGGATTGTCGTGTCGGGTTCGAGTTGAGAGCCTCATCCCTAACCCGACTCGTTTACTATCGTGTCGGGTTCGTGTCAATCCGTATACATAATCGGGTTGAAATATTTGACTCAAACCCAATTATTTCGTGTCGGGTCAGTTTTTGTTAGCTCTAGCTACAATCGATTAGATATGTAGCTTCACTAATTTCATATTTCGAAGAGTCGAATAGCTTATTAAGTTTTGTTGGCAAATTGTAATAAGCATTAATTACAACATTATAAATTAGGATTCGATTTTTCAATACTTTCATTTTCCTATCTAAGGCCTACATCTTAATGATAATACCTATTAATATTAAGCTTAAGTAATTAAACCCTTTATTTCGATTAAAAATCATGCCTATTTGATTAAATAATATAAAGTTTGTAAAATAATTTATTCTACTTTATTACATACATTTAAATTTTTTTATAATGATGAACTTTCCATTTCCAATTGTACAAAATTAAAATTGACATGCATTAAAATGTGCTTTAATAGTATTTCAATAACAACAATTATTTTACACATTAAAATTATTTTTAATAAAAGTAATTTTGTAACCATCATTTCGATATATTTTTATTTTATTTATATATATTTTTAAAGAGTAAATTGTTCTTTTAGTCCCGTAACTGGACCCTTTATCATTTTAGTCCCGTAAGTGGAGCTTGTTGCAAACTAGTCCTATAAGTGGAAAATTTTTGTTGTTTTAGTCCTCCGGCGCCGGAAAGGTCCGTGTGGCTCGACGGAAGCCACGTGTCCGCTAGGTGTCCCGCCAGGTCAGCGACACCTAGCGGACACGTGGATTTTTAAATTTTTTTAATTTTATATAATTATTTTTTCAATTGGACCAAATAAAAAAATTAAAAAAGGCAAATAAAATTTAAAATAATTTTTTAAAAAAATAAAATAAAATCCACATGTCCGCCAAGTGTCGCCAAATAAAATAAAATTTACATTTTCGTTTACTATTTATATTTTGTCTTGTAAAAAAATAACTTAATAGTGTGGTCATGTGCAATGAATTTGTGACCATAAAATCATAGATTTAAACTATAATGGTTCTAAATTTTACATCATAAATATATATATTGATTATTAATAATATTTAATTAAATTTATTTAATGAATAACACCATGGCCTATACATCATATTTATATTTATAGATAATTGTCCAATCAAATTATTTTATAAATTTGTATAATACTCCTTCCTTTCCATGATCTTCTTTGTTAGGGACACAATATTTTAGTAATATAAATTAGTACTTTATGATTTATTTTATTTTTTTTATATGAGTAATTTTGTTGGTATTTTAAATACTTTTAACATTATATTTTAATAAAAATATATATAATATGAATATAATTTTGTAAATATATAAA